AAATTCATACCATATGATAACACCAATCTTATAAATACTGCACAAATAATACAAATTGACGATAATAGGGTACTTTCGGTAGTGAAAAATTAATTATGAAATTTGATAAAAATTATAATTTGATTTGATTTAAAGTGTAAACAGCTAGGTACATATCTATCAACTTTACTTTTCTTTCGTCAGTGCATTTTATTTGTACCTATTTATTTCTTGAAATGCAAACCGTTTTGTAAAAGCAAATAATACGAATCTGCCAAAAATTGATTCAATGATGGTTGCAAAGTTCTTTGCATGTAACGCCTAATTCCGGAATCTTAAAACATCTTTGTAAGTATTACTTGTTTTATTATACTGTTTTTCTATGTAAGTGCCAGGTATACCTAATTGGTAAAAAAATATTGTAAAATTATTATAATTAGGGGGTTTTACTTGCATTGAAATGATCCTCACATAAATACAATCGACTTTTAGATGATAATGACTTAGGATCTCGTTTTGCGAGTTCCAAGTGTTCCAACCAAACATTCCTCATTTCAATATCACTTTGATAAACAACTTTTTTGGAGTTTTAATGCTAGTATTTGTACAACTCGACACGACACACCAACGATAGCGATTTGAATTCATTATTTTTCCAAATATATATTTATATATATATATATATATATATATATTTATAACATTTTGAAGTAATTTTTCAAACAGTAGAATACCCTATTGACAATATAAATTTATGTGACGTCCGAGACGTGCCTCTCTCTGTACACCATAATTATTTAAGGTATCAAAACAAGTTAGGGATAGTATCAGAGCGGTAAGGAATTTGTCAACATTGGTTGTTTTGTTACATATTTTGGAAAATCTCAACACAAGTGATAAGATGTTACGACTGTTATGGTGATTGATCATGCAAATATACATTTAATATATTATAAGGCATAGCAAAGCGATAGTTTCTAACAAAACAAAGTTTACTGCTACAATATTATATGTATATATTTAAAAATATATAAGTATGTTTATCAGCAGTCTGGTTACCATATGCGTTTGCATCAATCGTTCCACTGAGATCAATTTGGTTTTCGTGAAGATCAAATTCAGTTCGTTTTAAAACCTTAAAAATTTATAAATTTAGGAGTATTATAAAGAACACGGCTTAATTGAGAATGAATTCAACTTTCACCTCGAATAACTTTTGACCGAGTTGATCCATCGATATCTGACATCAGATCTTTTTTGTGAGCGTTCAATTCTCTACAAAAATATTTAATAACTATTGCAGTGCAATTTATCGTTCATTAATTCTAAAAATCAGAAGAAAAAAAAACCTGTGTTATTCTAAAAGGAAATCGAAAACAGCGATACGGTCAACCTTAATATTAATGGCTCATATTTTCAGGCATATTTTGGCATCTAAACGAAAGTTTTGTGTGGTTCCGAGAAAAAAAAAGAGTATTTTTTCTAAATGCCCTACTATATATGTATATAATATTGTTCACCCAAAGGTTTCTGCAAGGTACAATGTTACAAAAAAAAAGTAAAATTAAGTATACCATACAATACTGCAATGAAAAATCACAACAATTCTTTCAACAAGAAGTTCGTATAAAATATTGCTACAATCAATAAACAATTACACACAAATCATATTTACTTATATCCACTTGATAACATGGTATTTATCATCCGGTACTTCAAGATAAAAAAAAAATAACCTAGACAATAGTTATTTTCCATTTATTTATTACTGGGACAAACAACAAAACGTTTCCTGTTTACGTGTTAACGTAGTTCACGTCAAATTACCACTAATGTTAATCATTTGTGGTTCAATCAAATAAATGTGTATAGGTACAAATTGCGCACATTTTTACAGTAAGCAATGTTTTGCTCAAGGTTTTTAAATGTAGCGGATTTATATGTTATTGGGATCTAGACATTTGAATGAGATGTTACATATAAAACGCGATTCGATGAGTTATCAAACGCAAGGATTTTTTTAAAATAGTTAAACCTAGTCGGTCCTGAGAGTACCTAATGATATTTAATACGTATGTGCACTAAGTGGGAATACTTGAGACTGGCCAATTTTTTTTAGCAGAAACAACTAAATAAGAATACTGTTTCACCTCTATCCAACACACATGATATATTATACATTACGTGATGATGTTCATAAAGTTTGATGAAAAAAATATATCTGAATATTGTAACCCTTGAATTGTAAGCTGTAGTTAGGTACATTTTGTCATTACAACTAACATATTGACTCTAATAGCACAAGACTTGATTATATTTAATACTAGCTTTTGCCCGCGGCTCCGCCCCCGTGTATGTCGGTCATCGCGGTAAAAAGTAACCCATGTGCTTTTATAGAATTAAACTATCTTCATACCAAATTTCATCAAAATCGGTACAGCGGTTTAAGCGTGAAGAGGTAACAGACAGACAAACTTCCGCGTTTATAATATTAGTATGGATTTTCGGATATCGAGATTTAGATGGCCTACGGCCTAAAGACTGAAGAAAGCATAGGTAATAAGCTTATTTGATTTCTACTCCACTTTAAATAAACGATTTCTAGCACCGGCATTTCAAATACAATTTACACTATTTCGTTTTGTACGTACACTTGAAGCTTGGCATTTTTCCATAACCGACAAATATTCCTAAAATATACTCATAGGTAATCAAAGTTTACAGACGGAGATGGATCGGATCGGAGTGGGAGTTCTCTCGCTCGATAGCCTGATTGCGGCTATCGTGCGGAGCGAGAGTGCGTGGAACTCTGCCGTCTCCTTCTGCGAGCAAGTTATGCTCGCGAAGGAGACGGCGGGACCGGGAGAGGTTTAGGACTCTCCCGGCCCGCCAGGCCCGGGAACGGGCCAGGTACCGTAGGCGACTTAGTCCTCCATAAGCGCAGGCCTGAGGGTGATAGGTGAGGCCATATGTCACAAGAAGGAACATCCGGGTTCCCATACAGGAGGGGTCATCTATAAGCCGTAGATGGCCCGAGGTACGTCGGGGTACCAGGGCTTTCCTTTCTAGGGTAGACCTAGGGCACCTGGAGACGGCGTGCGGTTTTTGGTCGGTTCCAGTCCGACATAATCATCCACTGGTGGTATCCGAGGCTAGCACAGAAAAAAAAAGTGGACGCAAGCGAACGTGTAGGTACTAAAAAATAAATTAGTCTTTATAATTACATATAATAAAAATGTAATTAAAAGGTTTCCTTCTGCAAGACTATGCAAGCATGAAATATAAATACTAAAGTTTGACGTCACAATCCTATTATCAGTCGCACAACTTAAATTGCGTGGAAACAGATAAAGTTTTTAAAAACAAATGTATTGTTATGGATAAAGCATAAAACGATCAAAAACGCCTTATCTACACATTCAATCACGGAATACTGATACATAATATGGCTTTATGTAAGTTTTGTCACAATGGTTATTACAAAATTTTTGCTAAAGCTAAATGAAAAATGTGAAGAAGAACAAATATTCTTTTTAGTTCGATAATAATTTATAGATACTAATCTATATGTTTAAATAGTGTTCCACAAGACTAGTCATTGAGCCGTGTATTAAAAGCTCGCTTTTTTTACTAAGAGGCTAAAAGCCTTTAAAACCCTTTAGCCTTCAAACTATTTGTTTATTGGAACCTTGACTGTGAAAACTTGAACTTATAATATGTTATGATACGACTATACCTTTTATATTATATTTAGGACTATTTTACTTTAAGGCTTGGCTTGGCTTAATAAAAAACTCTTTCATTCGCCTTTAACACTTTAGTGAAAAATCTAATATGAAATTAATGTTCGTTTTTCTTTGCATTTCAATAATATATTACAACACAACACTTATACTCGACGCTTTATTTTCTGAATTTGACTTAATTACGGCAATATTGATTGATTATCTGGTTAATTAAAGATTTATAATTATTTACGAATTTAAAAGGTATTTTGTTTACTTCAACAAATTTAATGATCCTTCAGTGAAATTAAAATAGTTATGTAAATCAGTTTAAATGAAACAGTGTTAAAACCTATAAGCATACACAAAACACACTCATATATACAGAAAATGTTATTTCAGATACCAAACCAAACCAATGCAAAATAAATCAGTGAATAAAAGAATAACCTGGTTGCATTGCACCTGTTAAAATCCTACTTGGTGCATTGCACCTAGTGGACTAAGAATGACTGTGGCATTAACCAATGGCAGACCATTGTACAATTAATGCATCAATAATCAAAATAAAAACAATATTGAAAAAAATAAAGCAGGGATCAGAACCCAAAACAGAACAAAGCATATTAATTTAAAAAGCTATAGCTCTTGCAAGACTTGATACTTTATGAGTCCATTCTGAAAGTCCATGAAAATTCATTCTGGCACTTAAAAAACCTCTAATATTGATTATCCTGTTTTTTATATATAATTATTTACATAAATGAATAATTAATGATGACAAATAGTATTTATACAATAATAAAGCAAATATTTCCTCTAGGATTTTACCTTAACATGACAAACCATATTTTTTTTATAGAATAGGGGGCAAACAAACAGACGGGTCACCTGATGGAAAGCAAATGTAGATGGCATGAACACTTGCAACTCAGGAGTCACAAACACATTGCCAGCCTTTTCTTGAAGGTTTTATCGGTCCGGAAATAGCGCAGCCGATAACTTGTTTCACAGATTGGTAGTGTAATGAGTACAGTTTAGTAGTAAAAAGCTTAACCATATTCTCACTATTGGCTAACAATATATATGTTTAACTGTAGTGGTCTGCTTAATTACATATTCATGAATGCATTCTAATTATACTCTAGATTTTGGCTAGGGGCAACTATTACCTATTACAACAGCCCTGAGATAGAAATATTAAAGTTCTTAATTAAATGGTTTTAATTATTAAAAATAGAAATAAACAGCGTAAGAATCAATAAAATACAGAAATTATCATCACTATACACTCACTTTGTAGGTTTTTTCATCCAAGCAGCTGTAAATCCATCTTTTAGTTCAGGGTCACTTGATGCCATTATGAATTGTTTATAGAAAAATAACTACACTCAAATAAAATAGTACTCAATATTTATAGGATGTTTAACTTGTAACGTGTAAAGACAATTGTGAATTATGTACACTAAACACTGAATAGTGTGTTTTATCTTGAGCAGAAATGATAAGATTGTCTCAGTTGGCAGTATTGACTGACAACATTAAAGAAAAATTATAAAAAAAGAAGTATGTACAATAATAGAATTAATTTATATTCTAGGAAATAAATTAAGGAAGTGCTTAACACACTCCTTCAGTTGCAATATTGTTCATTAGAGGAAGGTTTGAATCCATCTGAAATGAAAATAAAATGTTCTTAGTAATAAATACTTGAACTTGAAGTATTTATATATTGAAAAAAATATAACATCCAATATAACGTTGATAAACTGATTATTGAGCAATAATTTAGATTTAAATAAGATCAGCAACATCTTGAAGGACTCCATCTTAATTTAAAAGGGATGCAATAAATATGTTTAGAAAACTAAAAAGAATTTTCCTTTTTATATTTAACCTTTATGATTTATGATTGTCAATAATGTTTGCCTACTTTACTTAGTTGTGACATCACCTACATATTATCTATCCACCTACCTATACAAGATGAATGTTCAAATTGTGTATATTCTTCAATATCCTTTCATGATTAGTTTATTTTTATTATTTAAAATGAATTCATTTTGTTTTTGTAAAGTACCTGTCCATAGTGTTGTAACTTGTTGTTGGTACTTGTTTTACATGTATAGTCAAGTAATTAATTAATATTAATTAAATGAGTAATTTTTATTCATTGTGGAGGCACTGATGGGTCTATTGATCTAGTGGTTAGTGACTGCTAAGCCATAGGTTGTGGGCATGGGCATTTGGACCCAAAACAAAAAATTGAGTGGTAATAATAATCCTTTGTTCTGTGTCTGGGTGTAATCTATACTAATATTATAAAGCTGAAGAGTTTGTTTGTTTATTTGTTTGTTTGAACGCGCTAATCTCAGGAACTACTGGTCCGATTTGAAAAATTCTTTCAGTGTTAGATAGCCCATTTATCGAGGAAGGCTATAGGCTATATAGCATCATGCTAAGACCAATAGGAGCGGAGCACCAATGAAGAATGTTTAAAAAACGGAGAAAATTTAATACTATTGAGAGACGCAGACGAAGTTGCGCGGGTCAGCTAGTTTATGTATAATATGTATGTATTTAGAAATATTTAAGTAAGTTTATCAGCAGACTGGTTACCATAGCACAGGTTCTGCCTAGTTTGGGATTAGACTCCGTGTGTGTGAAAAGTAAAAAATAACAGTTTATTATTTTTGGTAAAAAAAAATGTTGTGTGCCTAGTTTAGCAGACTAATTTAGCATTTAATTCATTACTTTATTTAAAAATTCTTATTTATAATATGCTATATCTTCTATAGTACTCTAAATCCAAAAACTTAAATCAAATTCCAACAAAACAAATATACTCCCAACCATTGATTCAAAATTATTCAACAGGAGTACAAATTATCTCATCGTAAATTTGCATACCTAGCTTTGTATTAGTTCTAAACTGTGCAATGTGCATTAATCGTCAGTCACGAGGCATTAAGGCGAGTGTTATACGTACTACAGCTACAGAAGTATCAATGCCAATTCACAATAATAATTGTAGCCCACGTGACGTAATAAAATATAGACGACGACCATAACAGAATTTTATAAATAAATGATGCACTTTACACAGTAATTATAATAATAACTCAGAGCCTACGAATCCAACCACTACCAAACACATTTTCGGCAGAAATAAGGCCAAAAATCACAGTAACTTCAAAAAGTAACGTGACCTGTTTAGTAGCGTTAGTGATTTGGTCATGATCTAATAGATGAAAAGATTAAATTAAAAAAACTTACAGTTTCATGGCAAATAGATAAAGCTTCAAATAAGAACAGCATTTCGATCGATTACAAAGAAAACGTCTTATAAACACAGAACGAACGGACAAGGAACGGATAATCAACAAAAATGGCAGCACAATAGCGACTAGAGTAGCCCAGCCAGTGTTGCCAACAGTTAAATGAACTCTCCACCAAATTCAACATCTAAAACCACCAGAAAACCACTAACGAAAAACGACCCTATATACTCGTATATATACGTAATAGGCACTTGATATTCCATTTACCAATTTTTTTTAAGTAAGTATATTAATAACTATTTTCCTTCATTAAAATTTAATACTAATCGTTTTTGTGAGCACCATCATAGTCGGTTACATATTAATACGATTCTTTGGTACCTATTTATTTTACAACATTTATTGGAATTATTATATAAATATTAGTCCGTGTGGTGACGGATTAAGAATACAAATTGTCACCACCCCAATTCATCCCATGGGTGTCGTAAGAGCCGACTAAGGGAGCAAACTAAGCAGGACAACAGCACTGCAAAGAGAAGGAAAACTTGAAACAAACCCTTTACCAACCCGTCTGGCCAGCGTGGTATAGTAGGCCAAAACCTCCTTTCTAAGGAGAGGCCTATGTCCAGCAGTGGACTAGTATAGGCTGTTGATGATTGGAATTTTATATTTGTCGCAGCATTCTCCTTCCTACTTCAAACCACACCATATTCTAAACATAGCAGATAAAATATTTAACTTTATTCTGTTCCTCTGTTTTAGACCTAAAGTATCTCAACTCAACATCGGCATTGAACTGAAGCCGTATGAAGAGAGTAATACCAAAAGTCGCTAATTCGTAAATTTTGAAGTCCCTTGCCCACTTTCTTATTTATTTTTTTCTGTACGGAAATCCCCTCGGATACCCCCCCCCCCCATGGGGGTGGTTATGTCGAAATCGAGCCGACCAAATCCTCACGCCGTCTTGGGCACCAGTAGGTCGGGAACCAGGTGTACCCTAGAAAGGGAAATCCCTTATACCCTGATGTACCTTGGGCAATCTACGGCGTGTAGATGACCACCTCCTGTGTGCACAAAAGGAACCCCCGTGTTCCTTTTCTGCTCCCGGAAAAGTGTTCATTGGCTGACAACAATGGACCGAGTTTCATTGGTCTGAATGATATCGATCTTCATTTCTCTACTACTACTCTATCGGATCATTAAACAGTGAGTCGGTCCCTGAATTATATCTTCCTCTTCTCTTCCTGAGCATTTCCATTTAATCGTTATCCTTCCGTGCCTATTAAACGTTCTCGAGGTATTTATGTACGCAAGTACACAAACAGTTCTCAAAGTTCATCTTTCAACTACATTTCCTAAGTCCAATACAATCCTAAGTACAATCTGTCAATTACTACTAAAACACTAAAAAAATACACTGGCCACTAAAAGCAACATTTTGACAATGGAAGGGGGTCGAAACCACCAGTCTTAGTGGAAAATCTACTAGGTTGGAAACACTTAGCCTAGCAGACAGCAGTGTTGTCGTTTGCAAAATCACTAAAATACTAACAAAACAAAACAACTTTAACACCTTACAAGTGTAAGTAGTAGCTTTACTAACAAAATAACCATACAAAACAATATAATCTGTAATTTTATATTCATTTAAAATAGCCTAAACGTATAGGTAGAATGGCGGATAGCAGTTCAAGTTGATGGTTCAAGCAGTCGCCACGCCGCTCACTACTACGCTGTGTTGTTTGTCCGATCCCAACATGGGACAACATTTTGTGTGATCCACAAATTGTTGTTCTGGGCACGGTACAATTATAATACAGTACTCCAACTTCATACAAACGGACGAAACGCGAGCTATACCTACGCGCCTCGATCTCGGGGTGCGCTCGGGGCGCAGACAGTGACTGTCTGCGCCCCTGTACCTCAGTGTCGAACGGACGGTGTGTTGTTATTTTAGTACGAGTACGAGTAGGAAATATTGTGCTATTTTTGGTTGTATGAATTCGTCAATAACGCATCCAGACATAAGTTTTTTTAAATTACCTGGAAACTCTGAAAGGTAAGACTATAAAATAATTTTACTTACTAGTAGGTAGGTACATAATGTGTGTCTTTTTAATGGATAAGTATGTGTCATTAGATAGTATTCGAAATTTTCACAAAGTGTTTCTGCTGCTACTATAACAACATATACCACTAAAAACTGGTTTTATTTTCTCGGTATTAACAACAACAGCTAGACTCATATATAATATTTAGATGTTTGAGATTTGTGATTTGAAACATTCGTAGTCAGCTGTTCAGCTTTTTAATAATTAATTAATTGGTGACCAAAGAATTTTTGTTTTGAATTGTTGCGAGTTGTAGGTAGGTACCTAATTTATAGAGACGTTAATAAGCTGAGATAAAAGTTACTTACTCGTCAGCTGTTTCTTGCATTCTAGTTGAGTAGGTAGGTGTTGGAGTTTCTAAGGATTGGAGTTTTGTAACGCGTAAGGAGAAAGCACATTTTTTTATTCTATAGAAGGATTTTTAAGCTATTGCATAGCTTTTATCGCGGGCTCTGAGCGCTGCGCGGCGCGGTGACCGAATCCAGAAATTCTCAAAACCTAACGAAAAATACCTGACACCACGCAGATTTTTTTCTTATAAAAAAAAATGTTATGCAATAGCTTTACCGCGGCAGTCTCCGAGAGTGCTACATGTATTTTTTTTTTCAGACGTAGTCAATAGTTGCTGCTGATCCGGCTAGATGATTTGGAAACCAAACCTAACTTTAGTTCCTACCAAGTTTGTGAAAAACATTTTAATTTGGAGGATGTATTACATTCATCAAATAGAAAACTTTTAAAAATAGAATGCCCTACCATTCTTGATGCTGTCAAGCTTTCAGGAGTCTCTCTAAAAGAAGATAAACTAACCCATACTGCTCCGTTGGTAGGAAATGAAAATAGTACACAGACTGAAAATGCAACAAATGAAATCTTTGCTCAAACCTCAACGAGTCTCTCTAGCAACACTCCAAGAAAAAGAAAATTGAAACTTGAACTCCTCCAATGCAGAAAGAAAATAAAATAATTAAATCTACCAATCAAAAAACAGCACGCATTTTTATTGAACACTTCCTATTCAATATACAAAGTATTTCATTTATTTAAATAAAACGGATATTTACAATCACAAATCTAAATAGAAACAGAAAGTAGGCAAATATAATTAAAATGCTGGAGACGGGCAGCCCTAACGCATGTTTACGTACCGCGCGGCTGTAGGCATTTATTTCTATCATGCGGCCGAGTTACACTACTGTATTATAATTGTACCGTGTTCTGGGTCTGTGTGTTCTTTGTCTGCGTTTCATGTATGTTTGTAAAGTCCCCGCAACACAGGATATATTCCTAATGCAGTTGTCTTTTAAAAAAGGAAAAAAAAATTAGCGAAAAAATCCGGAATTATGCCCATTGGAGCGAAAAAAGTTGTAATTTTGTTACAATTTAAAAAAAAGCCGTGTCAGCTAAAGTGCCAAAAAAAAAATGTTAAATTGGTAAAAATATATTTTTTGCGTATGGAGCGAAAACTAAAGCTCCTAAGAAAAAAAGTTAAATGTAACCATTTGTAACATTTAACTTTTTTTGTAGTTTTAACTTTCGCAGTGCAATAAAAACCAAATAGAATGAACATGAAACCGATTGACATGTTTTTTCTTTTATTCATTCATTAAAACAGGACAGATATATGAACTACGCCGAGAGAAATATCGAACCGAGTTTGAGCAATCTCTTAATTAATATTAGTTGATGTTCACAATTTGTAGTCGAGAGTCGAGAGATCAGTCGTTGTCTAAGAGTCCTCCTAGCTAGATGAAATTACAAATCGCCCCCCAAGCCTCTACACAACGCCCCCAAATTTTTTCTGGGTCTCTTACCACGCCCCTTTAGGCCTGCAGTGCCCACAAGGGGGCGTTATCGCCCACTTTGGGAAAGGCTGGCTTATATGAAATGCAGCCAGTTTTAGTAACTAGTTTTAAAAACAGTCTATGGTTAAATAGTATAGCTCTCATGCTGTCAAATGTCAAGGCATGCCTCCATCAAGTTCCATCATGTCATTATTGTCAATGTCATTCATTTAAAAATGCTTTTTAGTACGTAATTATTCGCTTTTGTTTTATGAAATCAAATATTTTCATGTTAATATTTTAAAATAACATACATAATTTCTTACAGTCTACCTCGCATATAGATAAAAGTATATAATAATGTCTAACAATGAGCCATCAGATTTGGATTGGGTACAGCTTCGAAAAGAAATGGGAGCTCAGCAGCAATCTGAGACGACAGGAGAAAAATTTTCAAGAAAACTTAATGAAAATCCCTTTGTCCCTATAGGTATACCTGTATTTTAGTATGTTTACTTGTAGTTCCATTTTTATTTCATGCAACCACTGTAAAAAGTGATACAATGTTTGCAATGGAAAAAATCTTTAAATGGAAACATATTTAATACGAACAATGAAAATTTTAGGTTGATTGATTGTTTGCAATATACGTGTAAGCTGGTAGAAGATACATCATTTTATACATAGGTGTGCTGAAATATAACCAAAATAAACTAATAATGAACCATTTCAGTGTAATTTATTTATTTAAAAGTGATAGAAATTTTATCTGACTGACTACTGCATGAGTGAAAACACTTGGCATCAATAAATATTACATTAATAATTAGGCGGTCATATTAAAACATGTGATTAGCTTAATTTTGATTGCTCCACTTGCCTTGTGAAAATATTAGTGGGTCAATTGTTTAAATGAACCAAATAAGTAACATTAATTAACTTGAAATTAATATAATTGGGTTGCTAGATAACTGCCTCCATTAGTATAATTAAATGTTTTGTTTTATAGGTTGTCTTGCTACAGTTGGAGCTTTGTCATATGGATTATGGACTTTTAGAACTGGTCATAAGAGGTTGTCACAGCAAATGATGCGCTGGAGAATTGTAGCCCAAGGATTCACTATTACAGCTCTTGTTACTGGTGTAATGATGACCGCAGGCAGTAATTTGAAAAAAATTTAAAAGAATACTCAAACTCATTCAATTAGAAATAATAGAATGCATTTGTGAATCAATTTAATATTGCATGTAGATATTTTAATTATAGTTGTGGTAAAGCACCCGATTTTTATTTATATTCCAACTATAGCAAAACTGTATGTTAGACACATATAAGTAAGTATGTTTAAAAGCTAATTTTGATTTTAGATATTATGTCTTAATTGATTTGTCTTCAATGTCAATACATTTTTACTGCTGTGGTTACTGCCGCTCATGGATACCAAATACCTACTGTTACTTAATAGTTTCATACCTTTAGCAAGCTGCTTCGCGTTCCACTCGTGTCTTTGACCCGATGTTATGCAATACGTTAAGAAGCATAAAACAAAATGACAGAGAAATTATCAACTCGGTGTGAACTGAGCCTACACGCTTGTAATGGTATTCCAAAATTTGTGATCTTGCCGTCATTCAAGTGTGTTTTTTTTTGGAAGAACTGTGTATGTTGCGGCAGTCGATGAACACAATTCGATCAAAAATCAATACCAAGAATGAAAAAATTGAGAAAACCCTCAACTCAAGGTTTGGCTGGAAATACCACTAAGTATTAGTAGGTAGGTACACCAAATATCAAATCAATCGGAGTTGTGCTAGTTAGTTCAACTAACTAAACATGAACCAAGGCGCAATGGGATAAAATTTTACTTTGCGATGAGTCCCGTTTGGATTTAGGCCTGATACGAGAAGGGTAAGGGTATGTGTGTAATTGCGGTCCAGAGTGGGGACCTCTGGTGTAGAGTTGTGTAGCTCCTGAGTGAGTGATATAAAAGATATATATCATTCACGACGATAAAATGTATCACTCACTAACACTAGCTCTGAATATATCAGTAACTCAGTACTAGCCTTCGATCAACAATAGCAACTAGATATCGGGTCGGCGCAAAAAATACGTCTCAATAAATAAGAGCGCACTTGAGACGTGAGCTCTTATTTTGTTTGGTTCGCTTAAAACACAGCCAATGTAAACACGTCTCACAGTGCCGCAGTGTGTATTCAAAAGTTGCAAAAATAATTCCCGAAAACGAAATTTAACGGCCATAGTATCTCACTTTCGGTAAGTACATGAAGAATAAGTTGTATTTTAAGCTTTAAACTAATAAATAATATCAAATTTTGAACAAAATTACCGACTTTAAACCAGCGCTACAAATGTTTGGCCAATGCTCGCCAACAAACGCACAAACTTTTGTTTAACAGAACAGTAGATGCATGGAGTAGATTTATGGTGTAATAATAATAAAAAAAACTTAACAGAACTTCAAAATTGGTTGGTTAAAATTAGTTAAAGCTACTTTTGTGTCTGTTTGTTGGACTCTCATTAGATACTTAGCTTTCCTTTTTTATTTTAGCTTTCCTAGCAATCCATTTACGTGTGCAGAATGGATCTCGATTGTCGCCAGAGAAAGAAGAGATGGCTTTTATAAGCCAGATAAGAATTCGGTGATATGCTCGGATCACTTTCATAGGTTAGATATATCCGAAAATAATAACCGACGTCGATTGGTTAAAACAGCAGTTCCTAAATTACAGATACATTCATTAGTGATTCACAATCGAAATGTAATTTTATATCTGTTTTTCTTGTCTGCTTAAATGTATTTGTGACGTGATCAATGGGATGGGAATGGGTGGGAATTCATGTTTATCTATTATTAAAGAGTCTTTTCAAAAACACAGATTCAATCCCCGCCGGACGACCCACAATTGGCAGCACCCAATACTAAACTATTAGTATCTGACATTGAAGTGCAAGTGAGTCTTTTTTTTAGCAGTAGATATATAGATATATAGAACTCTTTACTTGTACACCATTTTACAAGAAGCATGATAGTTACATGAAAGTGTTAGATATACAATGTCTTCTACAATCTTCCAGGCAATCTTAGGATGGATCAAAATGTTCGGGAAAGATAGTAGTAGTTGATGGTGAAATGAGTTTTTCAGGTTAATACTAACGAATATAAAAGAGATAATAACTACATATATAAAATATAATATAATAAATATACACATTCGCAAATATATATAAATACATATACATATTTATATTCATAAAAACAAATACTTATACATACCAGCAAATATACATACATAAGTACTTAGAAGTAGGTGTCATAAAAAGATGTGGAATTTAGAGATATTTTAATTAGTATATCTGTGCGGGTCCTGCTTTTGGTGTCAGGGCGGGTCGCTTAAAGCATTAAATGCCTACATTTTTTTGCATTACCTTGTTGGTTTTGATGAGTTTTATACGCGAATTTATTCACACGCGCGTAGTTTTTAATTTAAGATATCTCCTAACATATTCATTTAAATTGTATGGTGTAAAGGGTCATTATAATGTGTATGAAATGCTTAAGATAACTAACGTACTCGTATTTATTTTGATAACGACTAATACTGTATCCGTCTAAAGGGCTTTTGTAAATACCACATTATATGTAATAAAGTAAATACACATACATATTACACAAAAACGTAACGTTAATAAAATAATAAGTAATGTAAAGATACTAACAAACATACATAGATGTCCGAAACATAAAAAGTAAGCAACTAATATTTTACGTTAATATTATAAATTATTTTAGTGTTCAACGCGACTCCATACCTTCTGTAGTAGAACTCGAAGAAGCAAAAATAAACAAAACAAAACGATGTAGCTCTCATGGCAATAACGAGAAAAAGTACTTTATTTTTTGCGCAATAAGGTTGATTTTACACTAAATGTCATTTAAGTTATGTCTTTTCGTTTGAAAGTGATAGGAGTAATTTATTCCTTTGCTCGTTTTTTGCAAGGAATGATCGTAAGTATTAGATAATATTTTAAAGATTTGTGACTTTATTACTGTGTACCATAGTTGTAATTAGGTTGAACTTAAAACTATTTTAAAACTTTTCCATCCGTTTGTTGGTAAACAAATGTAGCTGCATAAGTATATATTCACGCGGACAGCATTTAGCTTTGACTTTGTACGTGACCCTTTATCTAGTTGCTATTGTTGATCGAAGGTACTAGCTCAACGACGCCGATCTTTGTTTCATGAGCGAGTGAGACTACAGACAAATGAGTGAGATAGATGATGGTTGAGTTCACGCAAGTTTCTTTATGCAAAATGTACATTATTTCTATAGTATCAAAGTTAATTATTACTTAAGAATTAAGCCAAGTACAAGGAAAATCAAATTATGTATGATTTCTATTATACAACCTAAAAAAAAGTACAAGAAATAATTTCTTATTTTTAATTATTATGTAAAAGGATGTTAATAATTATGTTATCTTATCAAAATGAATAAAATTGAATTTAAAAAAAATAGGTTAAAAATGTAGTTTCAAAAACTGAATTTAGGTTAATATGAAAATAAAAAAAGGTTTGTATGGCGAGAGAGGCTTAAAGTGAGTGATATACGAGTATACTGAGCTAAACGATCTAGATGAAGAAATGAATTATTGAGAGACCAATCAATTGAATCGGATTAATGAGCTAGTGAGCTAAACGAGTTAGTGAGCTAAATGAGCTAGTGAGCTAAACGAGTTAGTGAGCTAAATGAGCTAGTGAGCTAGATGAGTGATATATATATCTTTTGAGCGAAATGATATATATCAATCTTTTCAGCTCAGTGATACATTTTGCGCATCACTACTCTGGTGCAAATTAATTACCTCGGTGTGCATATGGTAAATATATATATGCAGCCTGATTGCACTAAAATGTGATTGGGCAGCAACATGTAGTGATAGGCGAGGGGAAGCCTCTTGCTTTCCCTGGGAAGCCTAGTTGGGTGCAGCGTCAATCCGGGGAGGAACTGAAACCACTTGGTTCGAGTTCTTCCTGGCCGAGTTTTAGTGGCAACACCACGTGTGTGTTGGGTATCCCGGCGAACCGTTCTACCCACTATACATCGCGGCGATCTACCTCTGCAGTCGAGAGGAGTTCCATAAACGTATCGGCGAATTCTGGAGTACTGCCCTATACAGTAAGAGGCACAACAGCGCCCCACCTTAGACGACAACACCCGATCGCATCAGGGTGTCATCTGTCTAGGATTATTACACATCGCCCCAAGATGTGGCTGCAGCGAACCTTAGGCGGCGATTGGGAAGCTAGTGACCTCTATTGCCTTCCCTTTGCCGCCTTCTTCGAGCAGGATCGATCCTTTCAAGACTAGCGGTGACAGATGTCATCCGAGCTGTCCGACTGTGACTCGACGCTCAGACTCTCATGTAGGGTATCTCTTAAGGTCTATCTATTAAGGATAACCCACTGTAATTATTTTTATCTTTTAAATATTACGAAAAAATAATGGTTTCTTTAAGAATCTATTTTAAACAATACGTTATTTTCTTTTATCCCATTAAATACGTTTGATTACATTTAATGTAGATTAAAATTGCGCTACACAGCATATCATTAAAATAAATATTTTAGAAGATATTAGAGGTACAAAATGCGGGGCCCGTGCGTCCGTTCCGGGTGCAGCGGACGGCAGGATCACAGCGGACCTATAAATATTGCATTTAAAGATGTCCTGTCATGATAAAAGTATAATTGATTAATCAATACTGGTACTACATTAGTATCTAGATTGCACCCGCGCGAAGCCGGGGCGGATCGCTAGTTATTTATAAAAGAAATTTTAAAAAATCGTTCAAAGTTCAAAACCGTACATGTTGCTTAGACTTTCGAGGTGTGTATTCTTACCTTCTTTTTTAAAAAGATTATTTTTCATGAGGACTCCAATTATATATTAATGTTAATTTTGAGCAAGTTTATATAACGGGTTTGGTTATTTTTTTGCTACTGCAACATTGGTTTAATCAAAATTCAATTCAATTCGAAGTAGAGATGGGATAAAATCACAATCACATGTTATAAATCATATCATCACAACTATGACTGATGTACAAAACCACTGCTACTTAATTATTATTATTATGCTAGCGCAAGACTCACGACATGGCTACGAAATGGACTATTAAAGGCTGTTGATGTGATGATGACGAAATCACAATAACATGTGAAGTCGCTGTAACTAAACTCAATCATTTCATCAAGTGAATATGATTTAAAAATAGCAATAATTTCCAAGTCTAATTCAAACTAGTGATGCGCAAAATGTATCACTGAGCTGAAAAGATTGATATATATCTTTCGTTCCAAAGATATACATATATCACTCATCTAGCTCACTAACTCGTTTAGCTCACTAGCTCATTGATCCGATTCAATTATATATTTTATATAATTCGTCATTGGATTCAATTGATTGGTCTCTCAATTAACTCATTTCTTCATCTAGATCGTTTAGTTCAGTATACTCGTATATCACTCACTTCAAGCCTCTCTCGCTATACAAACCTTTCTTTATTTTCATATTAACCTAAATTCAGTTCTTGAAACTACACTTTTAACCTATTTTTTTTAAATACAATTTTATTCATTTTAATAAGATTACATAATTATTAACACCCTTTTATATAATAATTAAAAATAAGAAATACGTGTAATAATTATTTCTTTTGTACTTTTTTTTAGGTTGTATATTAGAAATCATACATAATTACATACATAAATTGATTTTCCTTGTACTTGGTAGGCTTAATTCTTAAGTAATATTAAACTTTGATCCTATAGAAATAATTTAAATTTAGCATAAAAAAACTTGCGTGAACTCAACCATCATTATCATATATCACACTCATTTATCTTTAGTCTCACTCGCTCATGAAACAAAGATCGGCGTCGTTGAGCTAGTGATATAGTGATCTAGTGAGCTAGTACTGAGTTACTGATATATTCGGAGCAAGTGTGATTGAGTGATACATTTTGTCGTCGTGAATGATATTTATCTTTTATATCACTCACTCAGGAGCTACACAACTCTAATTCAAACCAAGCGTTCTTCTTTGACTTGACCAATCTGATCGGAATCTTGTATTTTTACATTATTCGTTTTATTTACAAACGAAATTTGAATCCGTAAGGGGTGTTTACGTGATGATGACCATTGCAACAGAACCAGAATTGATGGAATCAGTTTCCCGTCATTTTACTTATTGATTATTTACTTATAATGAATGGTTTTATTGCTGTTCACTGTGGTAAACAAAATATTTACATGCCTGCCTTTGTTTATACAAATCTGTAGTTATTAAAATATTTTGATGTTGCAGGAGCTGGTTATCATAGCGACTCTTTGAAGAAAGATTATCAAAAGACGTGCTATGCGGCCTGCAGAAAAGCTGCTGAAGCCCTTCGGTTGGGTGGCAACGCTGTAGATGCCGTAGAGAAGGCCATCATCGGTCAGTATAAATTATGCTAATTATTATAGAAAGAGGAAAAAATATTTTTTTTCAATATTGGCCTCATTACAAATATTTTTTTCAAATTATTATTTATCATTTTCAGAGCTCGAGAACAGTCCTTTAACAAATGCTGGATATGGTTCAAATTTAAGTTGGAATGGATCAGTTGAATGTGATGCCTCTATTATGAATGGTCAAACATTGCATTTTGGTGCCTGTGGAGCTGTCTCTGACGTGTGGAATCCTATTTCCCTAGCTAAGCACTTATGTATCAAACAGTGTGACAGTTTGTCTTTGGGTCGTGTTCCACCTTGTATACTAACAGGGAACGGAGCTAGATCTTGGGCAGAAAGAATGGGCTTGGAAATAGTAAGTGATCATAAAATGGTGTCCGCCAGGGCCTTTAGAAATTATAAACATTGTAAAAGAAAACTAAAACGTTACTCCATACAAAATGACATAAAGTTTAGCCCATTGGATACAGTTGGAGCTATTTGTGTAGATTCCAATGGGGTTGTTGCCTCTGGAGCAAGTTCTGGTGGTGTTTCTTTAAAGCATGAAGGCAGAGTTGGGCAAGCAGCCTCTTTTGGTAGTGGGGTCTGGGCAGTGATGAGTAGAGATGGCTTGAAACCTTCCATAGCTGCCTGTACATCAGGATGTGGAGAACATTTAATAAGAACCCAATTGGCAAAAAATTCTGCTGAAAGTTTGCTTGATTCCTCACCTATTCTGGGCTTAGATAAATGCCTAAAAAACAATTTCTTAGAATCCCCATTTTTGTGGGATGTTCGTGATAGACTAGGTGGCACACTAGCACTGAAGTTTGAGTCAATCACTGGGGAGGGTGAATTACTATGGGGTCATACTACAAAAACTATGTGTATAGGTTACATGGCCAGCGAGACAGGAAAACCTAAGGTGATTATTGCTTTGATTCTTTTTTAACATCTATTCCTTAAGCAGGATTGTCCAAACCAGATACAATCAAGGCCAATAAAAATTACAAAATATAGTGCTACAAAAAATATTTGAAGAGAAAAATAAAGGTATATCATTGTTTTAGATTCTATTACTTTTTGATAAACTTATCTTTTACAATTCTATCAACAATAACATGAATATATTAGTTTTGAAATTATATTTTCTTATTTAAAGGTAGATGAAAAACATTTTGCAGGCCTCAGAAATCTAACCTGCAGGCCATGGTTTGGGCAGCCCTGTGCAAAAGCATGGTAACTGAGTTAAAACTGTTTTTTTTATTCTTATTTACAGTGTATCATGTCTTATTTGCCTCCTAAAATCGAATCAGGGCAAAAAGCAGTGGTATCTGGACAACCTTTTAAGGTTTCAATGCAAACTTGTCCGGAGTTAAAATGGGAAGTGAAAGCTGTACCAAGTTCTAATGGATCTCTTTAAAACAACAGTATTAGTTCTAATCTGAGTAATAATTATAGATGCAAAATAAATACATCAGGCTTAAAATTTTTGTTTCATTACTTTTTAAGGTTTGGCAAAAATAATAGTCAGTATCAGTTTATTAAGGAATTGTATTTAAGAAGTTACATGTGTGTGCTAAATTATAAATTCGGTGAGAGGCATTTATTATGTACCTACAAGTATATTATATGTAATAATCCTATTGAGTTAGGGTACCCAAAATAACAAATTAGTTTATGTTCTGTATTGTCACGATTAAATTGCTAAACATTTGGAATAAGAAAATAAAGAACTGCTTCTTCTAGTTACTCACATACAAATTGACTTTAGACAAGGTAAACATAAAACGAAAATACCGTCAAAAGAATAAAAAGCACCATATAAATAGAACCAATGACTGTATATTTTTATTCATAATTTATTATACTCCTAATATTTTTATCAAAGGTAATACATATAAAAAGGCACTATTTCTTAAATATTTATTCAATACTAAAATAAACAAAACTGCCGATTAGATATTTGAATAAAGTTAATGATAAAATATAATATTTTGTCATTAACTTTTTTGTAAAAGGGGATGTCGAACTATAAACTAAATAATCTTAAAGTACATTTATTATTATTGAGTAACACAAACCTTATTTTCATTGCAAGTGATTTGTACTGCGGCTAATGTGATGACCAGCTACATATGCACTGTCCTACAAGGCCCTATTTATTGAAATTATGTATTAAAAAATAACCCTGTTCACTATATCCATAAATCCACCGATACATCTGCACTAGTTTGGACAGTTAGTTTTTTCCATCAGTATGTATGTATATTGTTCAAAGGATCTGTACTGGTTGCCTACATCATATTAGGTAATGTAGTTGATGATACACAAGTACTCAAAACTTAGAAATTAGCAAAATAACTCGAAAGCTCCGAAAGCCGGAGGATACATAATATGGTCCATTATTCTTCAAAATAACAGTAGGTAATTTTATAATTATGTTTAATTACATTACATTAAGTAGTTGTAGTTTTATTTGGTGACCGTTTAAAAAATAATTTATTGCTGAAAATAAATATTTGATAGTGCAGAAAATATACATTGAAGTACAAATTTCGACTCACGGAAAAAATCCACCTAACCTGACCAATGCGGATATGTGGATCGGGCGACAAAACACGTACATAGCTTTATTATTTTGATTTATTATTATTATTAGAAAACAATTTGTACATAATACGCCACATAAATGCCTATAGATATTAAATCACACTGAGAAATAACATAAAATCTTCACACTAGCACTGGCAAGGAAATATTATTTTAAAAAGAATAAACTACACTGTAAGCCAAAATTTTAACTTAAAATATTTACATTGGTATTTATGAATAAATTGATAAAATGCATAGCCTCAAAGTATTCAATAATAATTTATCGAGTATTAATCACATATAATGTATACATTAAGTAAATAAAATGATCGAATGTTTCCAACAAAACATCGGTCCAATTCGTTTCTGAAAAATTTATTTGAGATTTAAAAACTTCCTTTGTCAATGTTTCCTTTCTATCGGTTTTTGTACTTATTTTTAAATTGAATTAAAAAAAAAATATAAGATACGTTCTTACAAAGGCACAAGTATGCTTCCATATTCATGTCAGCTACGCTGATTTCGTTAATTTTTAATTTAAGTACACTTATGACACAAAACGCATCTAACGACTTAAACCTTTATGTAAAATTAACTAAAATTGAAAAAGTATAATATATGATCAGCATGATCAGCGTAAATTAACTTAATAGTATGTCATGAAGTTTGTAGAAATTAATCTAGTCCTACCTACCTATTACTAAATATTACAACATTTATATTGATATTCATTGCATAACATGACATGCATTACGTTTCAATGTAAATAATATCAATTGGTATTACGTAAAAATGGTTACATCATGGAAATTTAAAGCTTAAAAGAAATTTATTGTCTGTCAACAAATTAAATGCCAAGTAATACTGCTTTCGAATATAAAACAAGTTATCACATTATCAAACCATTGAATATGAGAAGTAAATGTTTTGATAAGTACTCCAGTAAGGCAAATACAAATGATCCTGATTTCCGAAGTGCAAGGCATCTTATCAGTCTGCTCCATTCCAAACATTATGTTTGAGCTATATCAAACACAACCATACTCATACCAAATAGCAGATTCTTTGGAGTTTTCACTTTTTTCGTTTCTATTTGAATTCCTTCTTTCATTCCTAAGATCATCCCTCTCTGGTACACTTTCATCGACTGCAGAACGCGAATGTTCGGATACCGGCCTGTGCTGTTCTACGCCTGGCCTATCGTTCATACTCTGACAAGCACCATCACCTATAACGGTTGATATTCGATTGTACACCAAGTAAGTAGGGTTCTCTTTAATTGGAGTACTTTGTGGTTTTGAATTTAGATTGGTACTGGGATCGTCATCTGCAACATACACAGTGCGGCGAGTGCCGGCTGTACCAAATACTGGTGTTGGCGACGATGCTAAAAAATAAAAAATCAGTTAGAAGCTTCCAGAGGTATATTTTTACTATAAACTAATGCTATACGATTTTTCTAAAAATTATTGCTGCAAGACCAATATCACAGCACCGGTTGTTGTGGCGAACCTCGGAGGAGGCCTATAACCAGCAGTGGACGTCTTTCGGCAGAGCTGATGCTGATGACGATAAAGCAAAATATTTTAAGTAAAGTGAGGTCTGTATAAGAAATTAAAATATATCTGGAGCATTAAGCATTGTTACCTGGGATCTTGAAAAATAAAAGTATGTAAAAATGACTAAAGATATCTAAATAATTATCTTTGCTTTCTCCTATAGATAATATCTATATATTTCATTCAATATCATACCTGCTGGTAATCCTGCATCTCCTTCTATACCCTGGAAACTATTTCTATGTGTAGGCGGTACAGCTTTGTGCGGTCTTCTTCTCAACGAGGCTCTTATAAGTGCATCGTCACCTCCACCACTGTGTATAGACGTGCCAGACAGTCGCCTAACAAAGTTCGATTCAGTGGTTATCCTACTTGAATCTAAACTTGGGATTGATCCACTCATATCAATATTATCTGATTTTTTTAGTAGTTTATTTTCGAATCGCCTCGTGAAACTGGTTTCGGAACTATGTCTCGGTGATTCTGTACTTTGGTTTGAGGAACCTTGATCTTGGTCAGGATTTTTTGATATCTTCTCTAATTCATGGCTACCGGGATCGGACTCCCCGGATTCTGAACCCGCCAAAGTTAATTGAGACTTTGAACGGCTGCCATCTTCTATACGTTTATTGTTTCGAGATGGTACTTTGTTTATCAAGTCTGTACCAGCTTTCCTAACTTTCTTTAAAAATGAATCACCAAAGCCTCGTCTTTTAGTGGTGCAATTATCCAACTTTTTGTAATGTTCCATGATTTTTTCTTCCAACTTTTCTTTCTGCCGACACAATGCATTTACTTTATCAGCAAACATTTTTTCTTCTTCATGATAATGTTGTTTATCTTTCAAAGAATGTGCTAGTAGCTCATGATATTGTGTTAAAAGTTGTGAGACATGGTCCATTAAAGATCGCCTATCTGCGTCCAAACTTTTATTCATTTGGATTAACATTTCACAATGTTGATTGGTCTTATTAATTTCTAACTCCATACTGGTTATTATTTCAATTTTTGTGTTGACTTCACCAGAAATCTCAGTATTTCTTAACTTTAATTGTGCGACTTCACTCCTAAGATTTCTGTATTCCTCTTGCATGTTTCTGTATTCATTTTTTAACCGATCACTAGCCGTAAACAAATTTCTAAAGTCATCTTTTAGTTTCGAATGTTCAGCTCTAAGATTAGTAAGGTTTCTAGACTCAATTTTTAAGTTCTCACGTTCCATTTCAAAATCAGTTACTTTTTTCTCAAATTGTACTAGTTTTTCTTTTAATTCTCTATTTTCCAATTTAAGATCTCTAATGGTCACTTTTATAGGTTCACGCTCAGTAAGTAATGTTTCGTATTCAGTATTTAATTGTTCATGAAGTGTTTGTAAAGCAACTTGATCTCTTAGTAGGTTGTCTTGTTTGTCTTTAAGAACTTCTAACTGTTTCACGATCTCTTCTTTTTCAGCTGCAAGTTGGCTGTTAGCAAGTTGTAGAGTCATTTGTTGAGATATCAAAGAGCCGTTTTGAGAATTCAATGTTGCAATATTAACCTGTAGCTTAGCATTCTCTGCTTGGCAATTTTCTAGAGACGTCTGTAGTGCTGTAAGATCTGAAGAAAGCTGTTCTATTTGAGGGTTTACCAAACTGACATCATTATTTGTATCATCACTTTCATGGTTGCAGTCGCAAGGAACCAATTTCATTAAATTGGCTTTAGCAGCAATGTCAGATATTAATCCCTCATGATCAGCATTTGTAATTATTTTTTCTAATAAATCTTCTATATTAACATCTTTACTTATAATTTCGAAGGCGTTAATACCAATCTTTTCCATGCAATTCCTTAGTTTATCAAAATTAACCTTTTCTGATATTAAATCTTTTTGAAGAGTCTGAATAGTTTCAGAGTCAACCTTCTTTTGTGACTTCAACTCTTGAGTCTTTTGTTCCAAATCTTGGAGGCGAATAGTCAAGTTTTGATTGATTTCAAGTTCTCTGGACAAACGCTCAAGTTCTTTCTTTTTTAACTCAATTTCAGTTGTCAATTTATCAAGAGACACATCTTTTTCTTCAATAGCTTCTCTTAGTTTGTTCACTTCTCTTTGTAAATTGTGGGAATCCCTTTCACTGTATGTTAATTTGGTTTTCAATTCCTCAGTAAGGATTATTAGACCAGTTACTTTATCAGCTTCAGGCTTTAAAATGTTCAACTCTTTAGTTCTTGCATCAAGCGATTTTTCTAATTCATCGGCTCTTCTCTGTATAGAATCACATAACATTTGAATTCTCTGTTTATCTTTGGTTAACGATTCTAAATGTTTTTCGAAGTCTCGCAATTTATTTTTCTCTGAATCTCTGTCTATTGCTTGACGATCTATAAAAGCTTTTTGACTATCCAAAGAATCTTGTAATTTTCTGTTTTCTTCTAGAGCATTTCTGAAAACTTCTTCCAGTTCAGAGTTCTGTTGCATTAGTCTGTTACAATTTTCTTGTAACTGTTCACATTTCAAAATTGACCTTTTCTTTTCTTTTTCTAACTCAAGAACTTTGTCACTGCTTTCAAATAAACTTTGTTCTCTCAAATTGTCAATCGTCGATAGCAGTCTTTTGTTTTCCAGTTCAAGTTTTAGAGCCCTGGCTTGTGCATTACTAGTTAATTGCTCTGATAAACTATTTTCGCCAGATTCCAAAGTACTCTCACCTTCGTTATCGGTATCTAAATTACTATTATTACTTTCACTTAACACGGATTTTGTGATATATTGTAAGTGATTATTTTCTTCTATTAGCTCCTGAATTTTCTGTTGGTCAGCATCTCTTTCCTAAAAAACATTAGATATTTAAAAGATATTTACATTAACAATTTAATAGTACACTGCTTTCAGTTTTACTCACCAAAGCTATATCATTGACCTCTCTCTTTAATTTAATCATAGCAGCTTCTAAAGTTAGACATTGTTCAGCACGCTTTCTTGCTCTTTGTAATTGTTCTTCTAAAGCGTCTCTTGTTTCCATCAAAGCTTTGTTATCTTCACGCAATTCTCCGACTCGAGTCTTATAGTATTCTGCGTCAGCTAATCGATCCCGATAACGCTGAATTTCTTGTTCTAATCTGGAATTATAAAAAAGCAATTGAAAAAAGAAATGGCTCTAGGTCGTATAAAATCCCGATGAGAGACTCTAGCAGGACATACGCCTCTCCTTGGAAAGGCCTACTATGCCACGCTGGTCAGATGGGTTGGTATAGGGTTTGTTTCAAGTTTGTTCATTTTTTCAAGTTCAAGTTGTTTCATTGAGGCGCTGGGCTTACGGGTGGCCCTAGATAAGACGGAGGCCCTGTTATTTCATGGGCCCCGTCGTGGTCCACCCCCTGGCGCCTCAATCGTGGTCAACTCGGTCCTCGTACCGGTTCGGGCCCAGATGAAATATCTGGGCCTGATCCTCGACGGGAGGTGGCTCTTCGACGAGCACTTCCGACAGCTTGCTCCAAAGCTGGTCGGCGCTGCGTCTGCCCTAGGGCGACTTTTGCCCAATATGGGTGGACCCAGCGTCGCGACAAGACGGCTGTACACGGGGGTTGTCCGGTCAATGGCACTATACGGTGCACCGGTGTGGGCGGCGGCTCTGACCGCCCAGAATAGGGCACGCCTCTGGCGCCCTCAGAGGGTAATGGCGGTCAGAGCCATACGCGGTTACCGCACCGTGTCGACGGAGGTGGCGTGCGCGTTGGCCGGAACTCCCCCGTGGGATTTGGAGGCGGAAGTGCTCGCCGAAGTTTATCGGCGAGTGGCTGACTCCCGGGCGGAGAGCGGATTTCGCCCTCCGCCCGAGGATGTGCGCGAGTGGCGCGAAGCCGCTCGCCGAGCCACGATGGCTCGTTGGTCGTTCCGGCTGGAGACTCCACGCGCTGGCTTCGCCGCCGTGGAGGCTCTCCAGCCGGTCATCGCCGAGTGGGCAGGGCGGCAGCACGGGACCCTTTCCTTCCGGCTGACGCAGGTGCTTTCCGGGCACGGTTGCTTCGGAAAGTACCTGCACTCGGTCGCTAGGAGGGAACTGAGTCCCGCCTGCCACCACTGCGACTGCAGTGAGGACTCGGCCCAGCACACGCTAGCGGTCTGCCCCGCATAGGCGACGCAGCGCCGGGCCCTCACTGCAGTTATCGGAGTGGATCTCTCGCTACCGGCCGTAGTACGCTCCATGGCCGGTAGCGACAGTTGTTTTACCGCGGTCGCAACCTTCTGCGAGGAAGTAATCTCGCAGAAGGAGGCGGCGGAGAAGGCCCGGGAGGACGACCTCCACTCGGACCCGATCCGCCGCCGGCGAACCGGGCGGCGGAGGCGCGCCTATCACCGCCTCATGCCGCCCTGAGTGTGGCCGCGGGTGGACGGGGTGGGTTTCCCCTCCACCCGCATTAGTTTGGCCAGCCGCGAGGGGGCGGCGTCCGCGTGTGCCGGACGTCGCCTAAAGAGAGGAAAATATTGAGACGGAGGGGAGGAGGAGGGGTCCGGATGTCTTAACAACAGCTGTTCCCGGATCCCTCCTGTTACAGGCGCAGAGTGGCACACCGTGTGGTTTTAGTCAGTCCGACACACCACCCCGCCGCAAACCCCGGTGGGGTGACGGTCCGAGGGGATTTCCACACGTTAAAAAAAAAAAAAAAAAAAAAAGGGTTTGTTTCAAGTATTTCTTCCCTTTGCAGTGCTGTTGTCCTGCGTAGGTTTCTCCCTTAGTCGGCTGTTACGACGACACCCATGGGATGCATAGGGGTGGTGACACTGTATACTTAATCTGTCACCACACAGATAGGTAATGTGATAATAAATATTTAAGGAAAAATGCTTTTTCTTGAACACAGAGATGAAGAAAGAAGCAGTTATCTTTTGAAAAATTACTACTTATAGTCTGGTAAAGAGAGCCATCTTTTATATGAAAAAATGTGCAACGAAATGTGTAAATTAAGGTGCTATTGTTGTTGGTAGGTTATTTAAAGGTACTACAACCCAAGTACTATCCAATATCGAAGTACTATAGATTGACCGTTGTCAGGCTATATTTAAAGCAACAACCAAAACTAAATGAAAATACACACTGCTTATTAGATACAAAATAAAGTATTTTAACCATTTGTTTTTAAAAGAACTACTAATCAATAATAGAGACAAGATTTCAATATGTTTTTCAAACCGCATCGTTGGCAGTATTTTGTTAGTCAGTAGTTGTCTTGGCAAACAAGTGTATGTAGGTAGTCACCTGTTGATGTAGTTGGTGCTTGGTAAGTAGTTGTTTTAACAAAATAAGATCCAAATCATAGAACTTTATAAAATTTACCTGTCACATCTATCAGCTTTTTCTCTAAGTGCGTCAACTTCGTCTCGATAGCCAGCAGCTTTTCGAGCTTCATTAAACCACTCCTGACTGTCTGAACGCAGTTTAGCTAATACTAGTTTCGTATGCTCCAATTCTTCACGGCATTCTGATAACTGCTCTGATTTCTCTTCCCTACAAATGAAAATTACAAGGACATAAAGACATACATCATTGCCCACTTACGTCTATTCCAGACGATTTAGTCACCGTCCCTGCGTATTTTTAACTTACAATTCTTGTCTTTGCTTCCGAAGTCTAGCTTTCCAATCCGCTAATTCAACAGCAAGATGTTGACTATCGCCATTATTCTGGTTCACATTTTGAGTGGATCGACTTTTGCCATTTTTACTTTCATTTTCATTTTCACACAAGCCTTCATGTAGAACTGAGGAAGTCCAATTTTGGAGGTAATGGTCACGTTCTTTCGCCAGTCGTCGCATATGATTGAACATTGTCGGTGATTGGAAGAGATCGATGGCATCCGGCGTTAGTACTACTGTCTGCATGTCGGTTACCTTAAAATGTGCACACTTATGAAAATACCGCACTACTACTACCAACCTGTATAACTTTAACTTTGTACCATGACAGATCAATATATAAACTAGAGCCTTGTAAGTTCTTTTAGCCACTTTAGAGCATATATTGTTTTAAAATTTTAGCTTTCTACACATTTAATAATAGGCTATAGAGCACAAAAAAAATTTTAAAAAGGATAGAAAACTCTATCTTTATAGGAACTTGACAGTTCTTATATAATATACAATTTATGTACGAGTATACCATCATCATCACCTCAGCCTATGCTTGTCCACTGCTGGACATAGGCCTCTACCAATGATATCCAGCGGGGACGAGTATATATTATATACAAAATCACATTTATTGCATGATACATGTCCACTATGTAATTTTTTTCAAGATTAAATTTAAAATCCTTATCTCTTTAATCTGATGAAGGTGATGTGAAGGAATGATTATCAGAGGGCCTAAGTGTGAGTTTATTTCACATCAACTCGATCGTCACGATGACGGCGTTCGGTGTTGCGATTGTACAGCACTGAAACCTTCACCAATGAATAAACTCACACTAGGCCTAGTGCAATGGTCTATGTTAGAACAATGCTGATGGGTATATTTTGATCAAATATCTCGTATCTACAATCATATCCTACCTTGTAGAGATTGATGGCCCAGTCCATCTTGATAGAATATGAATAAAATTAAAACAATACTTAGAAAAAATTGCTCCATTACTGAAATATTTTTATAAATGTTATTTGTCTAAGTTGTAAAGCAAAATGTCCTTCATTTTTTGTCACTAACCAAATTGACACATTCCAATTTGGTTAGTCACAAAAAATGAAGGTCATTTTGCTTTACAAGTCTGTAATCATGGTCAACCCATTGACATAAATTATACATTAGTCAATATGCTAATGTTAACATAATGCTTGTTATATAACATACTACCAGCAAAAGTAGCTTAAAGAACATCCATACTTATATTACAAGGGGATTGTTGATCCATACTTATATTATTGAGATTGTTTGTTACCCTTTCACGTCTAAACCACTAAAACGACTTAAAAAAATATTTCACTAATGCAAAGCTACATTATCAGCGAGTAACATAGGCTACTTTTTAACATGATAATCGACATACACACGGGCAAAGCCTTGGCAAAAGCTATTAGTTCTATAATTTTTAAGATTTTCAACTGTCTATTATAAAGCAAACATTCTTAATGTTGTGCCATTGTAATGTTATGCTTGACCTGTTCAAAAGTTATCAATTGTTATTTGTGTATGCCTTTTAAGTATGTAGTTACTTGTTCCTATGGATGAGTAATTAGCTATTATAAATCAATACATCTACTATGCCACAATGGAACTCTAAATTCAAACCTTCACAGGTACTTTGAGGTACTACATACTACTAAAGAAAATGGAATAGATTATTTTATTGTAGGAATTAAATTAAAAAGTTGTAGAGTTTCACTATCTTTTCTATTTTGTTTACTGATTGGAAAAAAAATAACATACCTGTTTAATACACTCCACAATGTTATGCTGTAAATCAACATGCAATTCCTTGATCCTAGTTATGAACAACTCCTTGTTAGGACACTGGACTGCAGCACCAAGAAGCAGTAATATCAAAAGCTTCATGGTTTCTAGTCCCTCTCTTGATTCTGGTGCTTTTCCTAAGCATATACATTCAGGAACCACTAACAAAGTCATGCCAAGTTCTTCTTCATACAAGCCCTTTACATTCCTGACGATGGCATCAAAGTTTTTCACTCTACCTAATATTAAGGCTTGATCTTCCAGCCCAACAAGCTTTGTGATGTGACATGATGGTTCTGGATCTATCTGGAGATACACTTGATGCAGGATATCTCCATTGAATAAGGTGGAATACTCTACAATGATATCTGGATTTGGAAGGCATGATTTTAGCTGAAATTGTAAAAAAACTACCGCTATATACTTTATTTTTACTTTTTTTCTAAAAACATGTTAATAAAAAACATACTATCTTGATAGTTTCACAGTGAAATTAATGCACATGTAAGTATGCTGCTTTCAATTGTAACACATACCAACAATGGATCAGTGAGTATGCCTGGGAACACTCAAAGATGTAGAGTACAAATATATTGTAGACCATTTTTTTTTGTGATTTGTGTTAAACACTAACACATTTTTTTATGATATTTTCTATTGAACATTAGATAAAATGTGCAAAATTATACAAAAGACAAATTTTAACACATTTTTTTTGCATTAATTAAATTTCTTTAAATAATTCATATTGTCATTAATAATAAACAAAATTTAAAAGAAAGTAAATTTTACATGTAAAAATATGTCAATACAGTTTCTTTAAAAACAACTTTCTATGTGACATTCACCTAATGTAACAGATGGCAGAATGTAAATAATAATATACACAAATTATTTACATCCTTCTGTTTGATACTACTTGTGTAAAGTGTAGTATTCACCCAATATCAATCTTGATCAATCGAGTATGACAGGACAGCATAGATAGCTATTTATGTTCTTACACTTTATGTGACATTGATACAAAAAATAAATAATAGTCTCGGAGTATAACGCAGAGAAGATAATATACTGCCTTAATTCGTACGGAACGGTTCACAATATCCATTTCATCACTCATTCCTACACGCTGCAATAAAAACAGACGCACGAATCGTTGTGCACTCACCCACGAAACTAGAGGCCCGTTCAAGAAGTCGTCGATTTCGGTACCAGACGCGGCCATCCTTGCCATGCGTTAGGATGAACGGAACCTACTCCTCTGGGATTGTCCGGCACGCATGGCATCGACCGAGTGTTCAGTATTGGCACGAAGAGCAATTTCACTTAACATCTGCAGTAATTGTGAAAGAAACCCGTACCTCAGAACACAATGCACAATGTTCTAAAAACAAATTGACATTTGCCATTTATGACATCCGCTAGTCACAGACTATCACATAGTATATAGACCACAGATATTTAAAAAATGTAGTAATCTGAATTCATCAAGTTATGAAGTTACGTAAACCTCTGTTTTGTAGTAGACGAAAGATAACATATGGATATAAAAAAACTAACTGAAATCCCAAACTCCAAAAAATAGCAGGCGTGTCACCTGATGGTATGTGAACTCCGCCTTCCATAAACACCTGCAACACAAGATTGATAATTTGCGTCCTCCCTTCCCAGAATTTGTCCCATTTTGTGTTATACTTACAGAAGCACAAAAAAGTAATAATAATAATATTCAATAATAGATTGCTTTATTTTACACCAATTATATACAATAATTAACAAGTGACGGCCTTATCACTCAGAGGCAATCTCTTACAGGCAACCGTGGCTTATTTGTAAATAGTTTTGTTCATGATGATGGTAATGATGATTACCCTTTCATACAGCCTTCCACTCACTATCACTTATATTTCTGAGTGAGAGTGAGTGGGAGAAAACAATAAAGGATTTGTCCTTCAGTTATTCACTCTTCCGCGCATCCTTCCAACATTGCAGTATCCTTTTCTAAATTGCTATCTGTAAATCTTCTTTTTAATCCACTCTTTTTATTTTTATTTCATCATTCCAATCAAACTTACATTATACAAACTTCAGTGCTCGTAATGTATCATACGTCGTTCGGTTAACTTCGTGGCTAGTTAGCCACGAAGGAAAAAATTATAGTATAAAAAAAATAATTATAGTTTTAAAAAACTAAAAAACACGCTTTCTATAGAAAACCAAACTAAAAAATAGAAAATAAATTTTTAAAAAAGCATTGGGTGCCTGTTGTCAATAGTAAAAAACACCCAACGCTTTTTTTCAAATTTATTTTCTCTTCTTATTTTTATATTAGTGTATTGTCATCGGTCCTCGATATATCTACAAAGTTTAAACGAATTCTGACCGTTTAAAGTCAGTCAAAATTACGCCCAAAGGAGTCGGTTACATACAAACAAACATACAGGTGAAGCTAATAAAAGCGTGTTAAAAAGAATCGCACTGGACGGCAGCGAACTAAACTCAGTTCACTGCCGTCCAGTGCGATCTTTTTTATGGTGTTTGGGGCAAGCGAGCAGACGATGAGGGTCGGAAAAGGGAAAGGGGAGGGTTTGGGCTCCCGTAACATCTCTCACGATAAATGGTCTAAGGACATAACGGAGTGGCGCCCGAGATAATACAAAAGAAGGAAAGGGAGACAGCGTCGTAGATGGGAAGACGAGATTAAAAAATTAGCGGGACTTACTTGGGAAAGACAAGCACATAATCGCATTCGATGGCGAACTCTAGGGGATGCCTATGCTAGACAACAAGACAATCTTCACGTACCGGTGTCAAACAATTAAATAAGTTATTGTAACAAAGATTGTTAAATAAAGGCTATTATTATGATTATTATTATCATCTCTCACTCGGTGAAAAGCAAAGAAAGAACTACTTTCTTTTCTGTGAGGCGGTGGAAACAAAGTTCGGTTATGTGAAAACGATATTTGCTGTAACTATTATATTGTATCTTATTAACGTTTCAAAATGCACTGTAGCATTGGGGTTGCTTGATTTTTTATTTTGCAGGAAATATAACGTGTTCACAAAAATCTTCTTATTTCGAACTAGTTATTTGGTTACATGCTCTGTAACCAGTTATTGTAACTAGTGACGTGAATGACGCCCACACCCATAGAGTCATTGAGTGTCAGAACCAGAACTAGTCAGAAGTCAGATCTGATCAGTCGATAAACGGGTGATTTGATATTAGTACTTTATTGGCAATTGCGGCTTTGCATGTAATGTTTTTTCAAGCAGTTTCAAATCTGAAACTTAAATAATATAAACTAGATAATGCACAAAAAATAGACAAAAAGATTTCTTAACAATTGATTTTAGATATGTAACATAGTGATCTTTTGAACCATGTTTAACAAAAGTTCGTACAGTAAAGTGAAATTTCAAGATCAACAACTTGATGATTATGTTCTTGAGGTACTCTTATTAATACATTTTAAAAAAATATTACAATTAGGTAATGATCTGATCTAAAAAAAAAGTTGAGCCGACGCGAGACAGACGCTTGCTAGATATGAAACATTGAAATAATTTTGTAGAAATATTTAGGATAACAGGATATATTGTATGAAAGAAAATAATAAATAAAGCAAAATTAAAAATATAATTCAAATTGTTTGAAAGGCACCATGTGTCGCTATGCCAACAGCCGGTTTGGCCCTCCGCATTAGATGTTTCACATAAAAAAAAAAAAGTATTTCATGAATATTGAAATTATGACACGACCTATCTCTTGCTTGCGGGGAAATAATGTTTTGGGTCAATCTTATGATAACTGTAACATTAGAAATCTTATTCACACTATAATTACAATAAAATATTTACTCACATTATAATATTTAAGAGCACTTTAGTTTTGGGTTAGCTTTATTTTAGTAACTGCATATTTAAAACATGCCTCATAGGTGTTAAGTTGTTATGATATATAGAATTATTGTTTCAGAACTCTGTATTAAAAAGCAAATTACAAAGTAAAATAGATGCTCTGTCAATAATGAGTAGAGAACTAGACAAAAGTAGTATGGAAAGAGATAGATATAAATTATTAGTTGAACAACTTACGTCCAAGAGGGCAGCCCCTTTAAAGTCTAGTCCAGCTTACAGTAACACTGCATATAGATTGACCCCCACAAATACTATCAGTGGTGTTGAGATGCTAGCTAAGACTCAAGAACACAACAACATGTTGAAACTAGAAGTAAGTATTTCTTGTTTAGCACTACTACTACAGTTAAAAATTGTATAGACATTACCCGTGAGAGTGATTTTGCAATATGATAGACAAACAATTAATGAAAAAAAACGCTATAGTCTGTTATAGTAAGCTAATGGCAAAATTGTCTGGATTGGATTGTATGGAAAAACAGACCACTGTCTGTAAAAAATTCACAGTAAAAATATCCAAATGTACAGGACATTTACTTTATTTTTTACATTTATTGTAGGTAATTTATGTTTAAGTTCATTAATTTGTTTTGAAAGAGGCTTATCTATTGAGTTCCTTGTGGCACTTCTCAATAGACCATTCCTGTAAGTGCTAGTAGGAACAAGGATTAAGACATGCAAGTGAATTTCTTGTTCTTATGTCTACTTCTTCACTTGGAAAATAAATACTTTGAATATTTTTGATTACCACATCCATCTTTAATATTGATAAATCAAGTAACTATTGTAATTTTGACTACAGGTTGAATCCCTTAAAAGTAAGTTAGAGGAAGCTACTGGTGATATCTTAGCTCTAAGGAAGCAATTGCAGAAGAAGGAATCTGGTCTTGCAGAGGTAGATGGAAATAACAAAATATATGGTATATTCACCTATTCCAATAAGGATTATGAGCAACTTGTTAGTGAACTAGAGAAAATTCATAAAAAGGTATAATTAAATTACATGAAAGTTTTTTAAGTATCAAAAATTCATATGGTAGAAACAATTACTTAAAATAAATAAATTTGCCTGATTGTAATTAATTCATCTCTTGCAGAAACCTAGTCAAAGGTTATAATGCAGCAATGTTGCTGTCCCTTTTGAACTAGAAGAAATGCTAGACCTCAGATTGATTGTAAGGACATCTATGATCCTCATATTTCCAAATATTTATTTAAATTTATAGAATAAATATTTTGTAGATCCAATTACGTTTTTGCTTTATTCTTAATCTAAAACCTACTCCTTACAATAAAAAGCAAATAGTTAGGTCTAAATGACGATGCATTTTCTTTTTTATTTAAATAAATGGTAAAACGGACACCTATGTCAATACGACACGTGCGGCTTTAAAACTGTAGCAATGTTAAACAATGCCATAGTTATTCTTGCACCAGACCACAGTATTTAATATATTAACATATACATATAGTTCCAAAACACCATAGAATCTTAATGATTCATCATCTGCCTACCCTTTTCCCAATTTTATTTGGGGTCGGCGCAGTATGTATGATTTTTCCATTCTTCTCTGTCATGCGTCATCTCACTGTTTACTCCCTTCCTAGCCATATCCTCATTCACGCAGTCCATCCACCTTTTCTTCGGTCTGCCTTTTCTGGTACCATTCAACTCCCACACCTAAAACTTTCTTCGCCACATTTTCCTTATCCCTCCGAATGACATGTCCATACCAAGATAACCTATTACTTCTTAGCTTTTCATCCAGTGGCGCTACTTTCAGACTCCCGCGTATATACTCATTCCTAACCTTGTCCATCTGAGTCACACCACACATCCATCTCAGCATTCGCATTTCGGCTACGTTCAGGCGTCCTCTCATCTTTTTTCTTAACAGGACAACTTTCAGAACCATACAGGACGGCAGGTCTGATAATAGTTTTATAAATTTGTCCCTTCAGTGTTAAGGGGAAACAAGGAATCTTGATGACTATGAAAGATATTATGTAATAACTCATTTTTTATTTTTACAGTATCGACAAATACAGTTAGATTATAGAGCTACATTAGATGAAAAAGAGGAATTGATATCTGACAGAGACTATTACAAAACCAAAGTGCAGAGATTAAATCAACAAATTAGCTATATTTTAACCAATAGAGTACAAGTTCAAGATGGAAAAGATATCAATCTGCCAAAACCTATTGTTGACCTTGATGCTTTAGTAACTGAAAATAAATATTTACATGAAAGAATAACACAACTACAAATTGAAAAAGAAATCGTTAAACGTACATTAACAAAATATAAGGTGAATTTATTTTTAAGGCACTATTTAATTAATGATTTCAAGAAAGTATCATTTGTAAAATATCTTTTGTATTGTTTTGCAGACACTTTTGGACAATAGAAATAAAAATAATTTTTCGCACATTAAGAAAGGATTTGCAGATGTTATGACCCAAAAGCAAGGTAAGGAAACTGAAAAAAAACAACTTGATTTATTCATAAAATTATAAAAATATGTATTTATACTCGAATGTACTCATCTCAAGATTGCAAAATGAAAATTGATAAAAAAATGTTGCAGTGCGTGAATTCCTGGATAACATTAATTCTAAGAATAGCATGAAACAAGCTTCTGCTAGCGAATTAAAGTCTTTGTGTCTTGGGTTGTTTGAAGCATTGAATGACAAGTCTATTGCACTTCAACATCAGAGGAAGACTAATCAGTATGTGTTTTCACTTTTTTTAATACCTTAGAGCATGAGTATTTATTATGTTGTATCTCGAATATGGCAGATAGTATTTATTACACATGGATGCACCGGCTTAGGAGAGGTCAGCGGTTTTCTTTGTACACTTTTAGTTGTACTTATTATGTTACCTTCCTTAGGAAGTATAAATTATGTTATGATTGAAATTCTGCTAGCCCCCATTCTTCCAAAATAAAAACTGTTTGTACTAATAAAAATATATGTTTTCATTAACATAGGGCAGATGTTTGTTTTTAATTACGTATGACTTGTGGTTAATATTCCCTATTTTTTATTCTTGAAACAAGCAGTTACTTGTAACTAGAAATATTTCTATGATTGTTTAACTCAATCGCTTGGTTCATTTTTGTCCACTATGATAATTTGTTTCCAAAATCCTTCCACATTTCAATATTTTAAACCGTGTGTAAACAGATAACTTATTCCACATATTAACGGAAGCATCCCACATAAAATATGATTATATTGATTACTATGTAAGCATTTGAGTTTACATAAATAAATTAAAAACACCTTTTCAGGATTCTAGCAAACAGAATAGCTGAACTTGAAAAAACATTAGAAAGTTGGTGCAATGGTCAGAAGTATATTCCAATATTTCCATCAGAAATGTTAATGGATGAGTTTCTGACTGATTCGGAGAAATCTGTTCAGTCAAATGAATCGAAAGAAAAAGAAAAGTCTCATGAAAATAATGAACATAACAAGTGCAAGTATTCTGACAGTGATGATGAAATGAATAAAGAAAATAGTGATGGCTCTTCTGTGGGCTTTAGAAACAGTTATGGCAATGATGATGATGGCCAACAAAATGGGGAAAATCAAAGCATGTCTAAAACAGTCCTGCCCCAAGAACTAGAAGAACTAGTGAAAGAAGCTCTCGCTCAGTTAAAAATGTCAGAGTTGAACTAACATTATTTTTAACCACAGAATTGGTTGTTTATGACTGTCATCAAGAATACAAACTTGATTAATTTAGTTAATATGTGATGTGATAAGCAGTACACCAAAAACAATTCAAGCATCCTAGTCTATTTGAATCAATTATCTAGTCTTTATTATTATTATCTATGTATAATTATTGTTATTACAATTTTATGTCAAATAATATACAATATTTTAATGTGCGCATTGGTTTTACTCTTTCGGAATGTAACTTTAAAACTAGCTTAAGAAGCATTGATAGATGTTGTCATAAACCCCAGTTTTAAAAGTGTGTTTATAAGCAACTTACAACTTCTTAAAATAAAGAGTCTACTAATCATTTTAACTTCATGGTCACAGTCTGCCTGTGATCTGCTCTATATTGCTAGCTCTATTGTTAGCTATAGCTATATTGATAGCTCTTGGTTGTTGAGTGGATTGCATCAGGAGTCGGCAGGAAGGTCATACAAAAATATTGAAAAGCACGAATAAGGCTTCAAAATATAAAGGCATACCTAAAAGCAAACTGAAGTGAGAAGTAACGTATTGGTTTTTAAGAGAAATGAAGAATTACCGAAATTATTATAATGGTTTTCAACGTAGAGCAAGTAATAGGTACCTATTGAAGTTTGTATACTCCGGCAATGTGTTATCGGGGGAGGATCGATGCAAAGGAGTCTCATTTGTTCAAGGTGTACCGAAAAAAGTACGTCTGGCAATTCATAATGGCATACTGGTGACCATCTAAATGTATAGTAGCGAGAGTTCGATGTGGTAGTAAGATTATGTCTTTCACGAATATATATTTACATACGGGCCAGTTCTTTCGGAGTGATACCATGGCCTCGCAGAAAAAAATTATTTATTTATATATTTGTTTATGATAAATAAGCTTACAGTTGAGGAACCAAAGCGCTCAGCCCCAGATCTAGGTGGGGAAGCAAACAGGGGTGTGGAGGAACGGGTGTCATGTCCCTCCAACACAAAGGGAGGATCCTCCGACCAGGCGAGGTGATCATGCCTGGCGGGCCGCGGCCCAATGGTTGATGTTGGGAAGTTGTATATATGCTAACCGGCGAGGGAATTCTTTATATCGCGATACAGGATAAGCAATTCTTATTTTAGTAGTTACTCCGTAGTTCGGTGTGTCTTCATTAGATGGCGCTGTAGTGTGTTTCTGTTTCTTTGTATGTGGGAGTCGCCACAGGGGCACCCAGCTTTGAATAACAATTTTATTTTAGTACAACAATTAACATCATTGACTGAAACAGAAAAACAAGTGCATGATTATATTACGACACATCTGCTTATTTGCCCCTAACCTTAAGAAAATTGACGACGACGACAGTGAAATGCCCGGTAGAGGTTGACTATGCAAAATATAGCAGGAACAAATTGACCATCGTCCGTGTGGTGACGGATTAAGAATACAGTGACACCATCCCTACTCATCCCGCGGGTGTCGTAAGAGCCGACTAAAGCAACAATTTACGCAGGACAACAGCTCTGCGAAGTGAAGGTAAACCTTACAAACCCTATACCGACCTGTCTGGTCAGTATCGTCTGTCTGGTATAGTAGTATCAGCCTGGTATAGTAGGCCAAACCTCCTTTCTAGAGAGAGGCCTATGTCCAGCAGTGGACTAGCAAAGGCTGTTAATGATAATGATGAAATTGACCATGTGGATTATAAATTTAAAAATAGATCGACTCTGCCACGGTGGTGCAGTGGTAGCGTATGTGACTGCTGTGCTGAGGTCTCTGTTCGATTCCTGGGTCGGAAATGCTCTGCAAATATTTGTTTTGCAGTTTGGGTATTTTCTTTGTATAATATGTATGTATTTACAAAAAAGTATATTAGTATTCTATCAGTAAATGTAGCTTTCATAGTAAAAGATCTGCTTAGTTTGAAACTAGATGGCGTTTTGTGTCAGATGTCCGACAAATATTTATATAGTTTCTGGGCTAAAAATCTTGACAACTATTTCCAAATAAAGAATTTATATACTTTCTTATTCTGATGACTAAGCAATCTGTTACACAGTATTTAACCTCACCACGGAACAGCTAATGCATGTGACTTAATTAAAATAAACTCACAACTTGATTGACAAAAATAATTTATTATAAGATAACAACATACATAGTTCATATTTTAAAATTATTTCTATACATACACATATCAAAAGTGCTTATCAGTAACTTGACACTGGTTAAATTTCTATAAAATAAGTAAGTTGTTATTTTTAACGCAACTATTTTATACTTTATATAAAGTAGTTGACTAATAAAATGAATCTCATTTTGCTAGTCATGGGCGTAAGTATACAATAAATAAAAATAGGCGGATCAGAAACTACAAGGAAAACCTTTCGAGACTAAATTCTGTTTCACGGTAGCTTGACTGATGTTTAAGTATATTAAGACATAAAACTGATGTCAGTCGGCCATCGTTCACTATGTTCTATGATATAGACAACTGTAGAGTAAAGGAAAAATAATTGCGTGGTTGCAAGACTAAGTCTTCTCTGAGGTCTTTTTTGTATCAAATATGGTCGTGGCATGTAATTTTAAGCCAAAATATAGCGCTACAATGTAGTTTTGTTTTAAAAACAAGCGTTGCATAGAGATACACTTTAGATGTGTTATTAATTGTTAAACTTTAGAAAGATTATAATTTACTGGTTATAAGAAAATAAAAAATATCCTAAAATTGTATACACCTCTAGCCATTTCATTTTTTCGCTTTTTAACTAACTATATTAAAGAAAGACAATAAATCTGTCAATCTGTCATTTCACAGGTATATTTTAAATGTTGTTCTTCATCATTCTTGGCAGACCACTACAGATTAGAACTATCTACTATTAGGCACACACGCAGTTTTTAAGGGATCATGGTGTCAGCGCACATTTTGCTGTGATATTATCGAGATATGTATATAGGACTTGTGGTGTTCATCGTAGTTTATAATCCGCTAGATTAACAACCATTAAAAATAGTTACAAATGCAGTACCGGGGATTAAAACACAAAAAGGTAACATAAAGGTAAAACCCCTTAAAAATTATGATCATTTCAAAACCATAAATACATTTATAAAATAGTTAATTGTAAATATAACTAACATAATAGCTAGACATGATCTTATCATAAGTAAGGATAACGCATTTAGCCTTTTTTTATGTATAATCACTAAACACTTGCTTAAATTTGTCACCATCTTGGATCCTTTAAGTATTTATACATTATTGACACTTTTATTTCATTGATAATGACTTTATATTGCTAGGATAAGAAATATTTAAAAGTTTGATATGGCAATAACTAAGACGACGAAAATAATTCACGAGGCCTCTTTTAAGTAATAACCTGTTTGAAGGTTACGCTAACTAATAGGCATTAGCATTTATTTTCATTATCCTGATGCGATTAACATCTTATATGAAGCAAAACTATATTTATTAGGCTTGTGACAGCAATCTTTTAATTTACCTTGTATGTAGAAATTAAGCATTCAAAAACAAAAAACACGACAAAAATAATTAAGCAATGGAATTTCTAACAGTACACAGTACACACGCTACGCCACGGCGGTGTAGTGCTGCAGCGCGGCGGCGGTGTGGTGGTGCAGCGCGGAGGTGTCGCTGCGGCACGTACACAGTACACAGTACACACGCTACGCCACGGCGGTGTAGTGCTGCAGCGCGGCGGCGGTGTGGTGGTGCAGCGCGGAGGTGTCGCTGCGGCACGTACACAGTACACAGTACACACGCTACGCCACGGCGGTGTAGTGCTGCAGCGCGGCGGCGGTGTGGTGGTGCAGCGCGGAGGTGTCGCTGCGGCACGTACACAGTACACAGTACACACGCTACGCCACGGCGGTGTAGTGCTGCAGCGCGGCGGCGGTGTGGTGGTGCAGCGCGGAGGTGTCGCTGCGGCACGTACACAGTACACAGTACACACGCTACGCCACGGCGGTGTAGTGCTGCAGCGCGGCGGCGGTGTGGTGGTGCAGCGCGGAGGTGTCGCTGCGGCACGTACACAGTACACAGTACACACGCTACGCCACGGCGGTGTAGTGCTGCAGCGCGGCGGCGGTGTGGTAGTGCAGCGCGGAGGTGTCGCTGCGGCACGTACACAGTACACAGTACACACGCTACGCCACGGCGGTGTAGTGCTGCAGCGCGGCGGCGGTGTGGTGGTGCAGCGCGGAGGTGTCGCTGCGGCACGTACACAGTACACAGTACACACGCTACGCCACGGCGGTGTAGTGCTGCAGCGCGGCGGCGGTGTGGTGGTGCAGCGCGGAGGTGTCGCTGCGGCACGTACACAGTACACAGTACACACGCTACGCCACGGCGGTGTAGTGCTGCAGCGCGGCGGCGGTGTGGTGGTGCAGCGCGGAGGTGTCGCTGCGGCACGTACACAGTACACAGTACACACGCTACGCCACGGCGGTGTAGTGCTGCAGCGCGGCGGCGGTGTGGTGGTGCAGCGCGGAGGTGTCGCTGCGGCACGTACACAGTACACAGTACACACGCTACGCCACGGCGGTGTAGTGCTGCAGCGCGGCGGCGGTGTGGTGGTGCAGCGCGGAGGTGTCGCTGCGGCACGTACACAGTACACAGTACACACGCTACGCCACGGCGGTGTAGTGCTGCAGCGCGGCGGCGGTGTGGTGGTGCAGCGCGGAGGTGTCGCTGCGGCACGTACACAGTACACAGTACACACGCTACGCCACGGCGGTGTAGTGCTGCAGCGCGGCGGCGGTGTGGTGGTGCAGCGCGGAGGTGTCGCTGCGGCACGTACACAGTACACAGTACACACGCTACGCCACGGCGGTGTAGTGCTGCAGCGCGGCGGCGGTGTGGTGGTGCAGCGCGGAGGTGTCGCTGCGGCACGTACACAGTACACAGTACACACGCTACGCCACGGCGGTGTAGTGCTGCAGCGCGGCGGCGGTGTGGTAGTGCAGCGCGGAGGTGTCGCTGCGGCACGTACACAGTACACAGTACACACGCTACGCCACGGCGGTGTAGTGCTGCAGCGCGGGGGCGGTGTGGTGGTGCAGCGCGGAGGTGTCGCTGCGGCACGTACACAGTACACAGTACACACGCTACGCCACGGCGGTGTAGTGCTGCAGCGCGGCGGCGGTGTGGTGGTGCAGCGCGGAGGTGTCGCTGCGGCACGTACACAGTACACAGTACACACGCTACGCCACGGCGGTGTAGTGCTGCAGCGCGGCGGCGGTGTGGTGGTGCAGCGCGGAGGTGTCGCTGCGGCACGTACACAGTACACAGTACACACGCTACGCCACGGCGGTGTAGTGCTGCAGCGCGGCGGCGGTGTGGTGGTGCAGCGCGGAGGTGTCGCTGCGGCGTCGCGCGGCGAGCACGAGGCGCGCCAGCAGCGCGCGGTGCTCCCGCTCGGTGTAACGCTCGTACGACTCCAGACCCTCTTGAAGCTTGAGAATTAAGCTGTCATAGTTTTTTCGAACGACTTCTAAAATCTGTAAAATAATTGCGTTTGGTTTATTTTACATTCCAATGCTCGCTACTAATTCACATACGACTTTAATATCGGGTTTTTGGGGCGTCGCTCTCTGGTCAGTTGCGTCGCGGCACGAAAGACGCGTGGTCTCGTAAAGTCGAGGCGCGGGCGACTATTATTCCTTCACACATATCGATTCATTCACTTTGACGTCAAATGAAACGACGAAATAGCAGCGGAGTCGCAAAGCAGCCATTGCCGACGAAATGGCAGCGAAGTCGCAAAGCAGCCATTTCCGACGAAATAGCAGCGGAGTCGCGAAGCAGCCATTTCCGACGAAATGGCAGCGGAGTCGCGAAGCAGCCATTTCCGCCGAGATAGCACCCTCGTTCCCCCTCCGCATCGACCCATCGTGCCGCGACTTCAGTGTGTGAACGCACTGAAGTCTTTAATTATTTTGAATTTATTCTTTAAGAAAACCTTAAAGCGGCGCATCGCTCGTGCGTTTGCACCTCAATTCTTTCTCGTGTGAGTGACGTTACCAAACCAATCGATCGATCGTCGATCGAGGGCTCGATCGACGATCATTATGTCGGGTATTACAGTGTCATACATTGTCGTAAGTGTTCGCGAGTGTTGCTGTGGATTAAATACAAAATAAGAAGCAAATAAAATCTGTGCCTGTACATTACGCAAATCATCTACCCTATCACTTGGCATATGTACATAGTGCAAGGGAAACCTACGAGTGACCTTGGGAAAGTGTGTGCGCTCCCGTACCGGTATCGTTAATGCATTACTTTACGATTAAGTGCCCCATAACGCCGTAAAAACAATAATCAATAAAATATTTAAGCGATCGCCATCTAGCGTAAGCCGACGAACTATAAATCCAATACCTCTTGATTATGACTAAGTGCGGTGGTTGCGCTCGCTTCTTGTCGCTGACAGACGCCACTAGGTGTCAGAAGTGTATCGCTTACTATCACCGGCGATGTGTGGCGCTGCCTACCTCGGGTACTATTAGCACATCTTGGCAGTGCCCCGAGTGTAGGAAAAATCAGGCCACTGATAATGAGCCTGAGACGCCGGTAAGGGGTTCTGGGTCTTATAGTCTTGATGCTTCGGAGACACCGTTAGGAACTATACATCAGAGCCCGCCACTATCCAAGAACTCATCTCTAAATGTCTCCGAGACCACCCAGAATATAACGGCTGAAATTAACTCTGAACTCAGAATTTTTAGAGACACTTTACGCTCTTTAAACAAAGATCTTCAAGTGTTCAGGGAGATGACAGAGATTAGAGCTTCTCTTAATGCCTGTAACGGGCATCTTAATAAATTGGAGGGCAGGGTAAGCGCCCTGGAGCAGCAGAAACCGGCCGTCCAGGCGTCCCTGGTCGACATTGTCGAGGGACTGAAGCAGGAGCTTAACGATCGCGACCAGCTGTTGTTGGCTGACGATGTTGAGATCGCCAATCTCCCGGAGGCGGGCGAGGAGAACCCTATCCACGCGACCATACAGATAGCCGTCAAATTGGGAGTGCAACTGGAAGAGAGGGATATAGTCAGCGCCGAACGCGTCGGACCGCGGCGCATAGTCTCGACAAACGCCGCGGGCCCCAAACCCCGGCCCCGTCCACTCGTTGTACGACTAGCGCGGCGCGAACTGCGCGACCGGTTGTTATCGAACGCGCGTGTTCGCCGCGGCGCCACGACGGCCGATCTGGGTATGACCGGTCCACCACGGCGATTCTATGTAAACGAGCGACTAACTAAGCTGAATCGCGAGTTGTTTCGTAAGGTGCGAGACGTCTGCCTACAACGCGGGTGGAAATATGTTTGGTGTAGACGTGGACGCATCTTGGCGCGAAGTAAAGAGGGGGACAAGGCTGTTAACATACGCAATGAAGCGGACATTGCGCGGATATTTGGCACCAGCACGCAGTAATTGTTTAAGCTTACGTCATTACATCATACTTTTGTTGTTCACTTTCTAAACGATATTTGTGTTTCTCTAAACTGTAATATTACTTATTTATATTTGGCGGCAGCACGCAGTAATTGTTTATGCCTATATCATAATATTGCTCATTTGTTGATTTTGTTGTACTTTTTACACAATTTTTATATATCTCTAAACTGTCATAGAACATATATATATTTGGCAGCAGCACGCAATAATTGTTTTTGTAATTTTGCTTATTTGTCTTGTTTTATAATTTTGTTGTTGTGGATGTTCTTTTTAAACAATTTCTATATTTATCTAAATTTTAAAATTATTGCGTGCGCGCTTTGTTCTACCCTGACTTTAAGTGCCAATGTTGCGCAGTACTTCGTTTGTTTTGTGGGGATATTTTGTCATTTTGGCAATGCGGCGCCGGCCTATGCGCTACAGCTATGTACTCGTGGTATCGGGGACTTGTTGGTGCGCTCTATCTCTGTACATATTATCCTCTTTCTAAATATACCGGAACATGTTTTTCCCACACTGGTAATGATAATTGCATATTGTTCATCTCTTCGCTGTCCTACGGTTGAGCAGTTCAAAAATAATAAAAAGTAATGGTCGAAAAAAAAATTACTGTTGGTCTCTTTAATGTGGGCTCCCTGGGGACGAACCACGATGACATCGTGGCTATGGTGGAAAGACACAGTTTTGATATGTTAGCTATTAACGAAACTTGGTTACGACATGGAGAGGAGGGTCGCGCGCCGGCCGTTCCCGGTCATCGTCTACGTCATGTGCCGCGACCTGCGAATGTGCGCTCGGGCCGGGGTGGGGGTGTCGGCTTCTACGTTAGACGCGGTCTTAATGTGCGCACGTTAACAGTGGCTGTTGATCCCAGGTTTGAATCTATAGAGCAAATGTGGATCGCAACCACCCTGAACGGTAAAAGGGTAACCATTGGCACTGCATACCGGCCCCCATGGTTGAATCTTGACCTTTTCCTTGACGCCCTAACTGATACATTGACATCACTCGACGACACTGACCATTTTATTCTCCTAGGCGATTTTAATGTGAACTTACTCAATGGGAGTGACAGCCGAACCAGGGTGGTGATGGATTTTCTCGGTTGCCTCACTTTACAGAATCGAGTGAATCCCTAATTGACTTAGTCTGTACAAACCTACGCGCCAAAAATGTTACGGTTGAACCGTGTGGTAGTCTGATCGGACATTCGGTGATTATATGCAGGTTTTGTGTACGGCGTGATAAACTTCAACCATACTTGACAAGGTATAGACCCTTCAAATATATTAATACTGATGACCTTAATAAAAGCTTGATGCGCATTGATTGGAACTATATTTTGTCCTTAACTTCCATGAATGAGATGGTTGATATATTTAACAGGCACCGATTAAGACTTGCCTCATTAAAGAACCGTCCCTGGGTAACGGACACAATAAAATGTATGATGAGATTGAGAGATAACGCTCTGAGTGTATTTCATAAATGTAAAACCGAGAGCAAAAAAGATTATTATAAGCAGCGCCGTGAAAAAATAGCATATTTTAATTTTAACATTAACAATAAAATAAAAAATCCTAAGAGTCTATGGAAGAATTTAAAAGCAACCATTCTGCCGAACAAACGGGGCAATGATCTCCCATCTCATTTCTCTGACCCGGATTTAATTAATCGTCACTTCCTTAACGTCCCGGGTAACCCATCAGTGAGCCTATCAACAATGACGTTCTTTGAATTCCATAGTCATGGAGAGGGCATCTTCGTTCTTTCAGCTGTTAGCCAACAGGTCATTTCTAAACATCTCTCAGCCCTTAAATCAAATGCGGAGGGTCGTGACGGTATCAATTTAGAGATGTTGATGCTGTCTCTGCCGTATACATTGCCCGCTATCACACATTTGGTGAATACCTCCATAAAGACGGCAACCTTTCCCGATATCTGGAAAATCGCTACTGTCAGGCCGCTGCCTAAAACCAATAGCCCGGTTGATGTAAAAGACTTAAGGCCTATAAGTATACTGCCGTGTTTGTCAAAAGTTATAGAAAAGGTAGTTTGCGCTCAGTTGTCTGAGTATTTAGAGAAATACGACGTTTTACCGGAGGTTCAGTCCGGATTTAAAAAGGGTCGAGGGACCGCTACTGCCTTGCTTTATGTGACTGATAATATCTTATTAGCACAAGACCAGGGCATGTGTACATTGCTTGTCTTATTGGATTTTTCCCGGGCTTTCGATAGCATTAACACTTCTTTGTTGCTGTCAAAGCTTAAATACTACGGGTTCGACAGTAATGCAGTTAAATGGTTCCATAGCTATCTGTCAGGTCGATGTCAGGGTGTGGAACTGCATCTTGATGGTGGGGCTTCAGTGGTTTCTGAACTCACCCCTGTTACAAGAGAGGTTCCTCAGGGATCAATATTAGGACCTATTCTCTTTAGTATTTACTGCGCCGATATAACAAAATGTTTGATTAATTCACGATATCATATATATGCTGATGACATTCAAGTTTATATTTCGTTTAAGTTAAGTGATTACGATAAAGCTATATTTGACTTAGATGATGATCTGAACAGAATCGTGCAGTGGGCGGAAAGAAATTCATTGGTTCTCAATCCAAATAAGACAAAATACATGATATTCGGCACTAAAATAAATCTACACTCACTTCCCAGTTTTAACATAACCCTTATGGGACAATCAATTGAGAGGGTGAATGAGGCCCGTAATCTTGGCCTGCTTATCGATTGTAATTTAAGGTTCGAAAAGCACGTTGCTGAATTAGTTCGAAACTGTTTCTATAGGTTGCGCATTTTGTACAAGATACGACCGTTTCTGTCCGAGAGCCTGCGTATGTGGCTGGTTGAGTCGTTGGTCCTATCAAAATTAAACTACGCCGATACGGTGTATGGGCCACGGCTTCTAGCTCGCACGGATAGGTTGATTCAGAGGCTCCAAAATGCTTGCACCCGTTTTTGTTTTAGGATACCACCAAGAACTCACATCACTCCGTTCCTAAATGACAACTATGTCCTCAAAATTAAGTCTAGGCGCAAGCTTCACTTAGCATCACTAATGTTTGGCATTGTTAAACACCGCGAACCAACTTACCTGTTTCGTAAATTGGAATGGGTGTCCAATAGACGTGATTGTACGGTGAGACAGTGCTCACGGCAACTCTCTATATTACCGCATAAAACGGCCGCTTTTAAAGGTAGTTTCCGCTATGCGGCCTCAAAGATATGGAACAATTTACCGCCGCCTATAAGATCCTCAAATACGATTGACACTTTTAAATATAGATTGCGGCGGTATCTCATAGTTGCGTCTGCATGGGAGGGGTTTGCCCATAATCGCCACGCTGGGCAGGCGGGTTGGCGATCGCAGGGCGTAGCTTGTCGCACCGGTAACGCTGCTGCCCGTCACCGGCCTGTTGTATTTAGCTACGCCTATTGGGATGGATATACCGCCATCGGTCGGTCGCCAGAGCCTCGTTCGTCGAGCCCAAAATCGATCTAAGTGGCGTGCAATGGGAGAGGTCTATGTCCAGCAGTGGACTGCGATAGGCTGATGATGATGATAATGGTATCTCATAGACGCACAGCGGAGACTGGATATGGCCATTGTGAACTCTTCCCTGATTTAACGTGAGCGCTGTCAGAGTCAGGGATGAGGGGCGTGCGCGCTTTGGGGACTTTAGATATTTATAGATTAACGTTGTTGGATATTGTGTATATTATTTGTAGTGTATTTTATTGTGATCTGCATATCTGTAATTTGTCTTGTTATATGTTATATATTATTGTTATATGTTATTAATGTTGTGATGTATGTATACAATGTGTACTACATGTGTTATTAATGATCTGCAACAGGGTTTACGCATAGCTTCATTTTGGGCCCAATTGAAAACCAGCGTCAGGCTTCCATCTGACATAAGGCTGAATTGGGTCCGTTTTTGGCATCGTTGGTAATCCAAGTTGCAATTGTTCAAAATGTTGTATTATTGCCAAAATAAACGATTTTTCTTTCTTTCTTTCAAGTTTCAGCCTTATTGCTTCATTCGTTTACGAATATTCGCCTGCTAAACAAGTCCGGAAGAAAACTGAAACTATGGAGAAAATTGAACACCAGCTGTGATAAAATTCCTTACCAAGCAAAGAAAGAACGCTCAGACCATTTTGAATGAAATGCAAACCGTTTATGAAGTGCCCTAGTAAATCAATGTTTTACAAGTGGCTTTGGTCTTTTTAAACATGGTTGGGCGTCGATTGAAGACCACCCCCGCTCAGAAAGGCCAGTTGAGGCCAACATGATGTGGTGGCCTCAACTGGCCTTTCGACATCGTCGAAAAAGTAGAAAAAATTGTACTGGAGGACACCCGATTGAAGAAAAAACAGTTATCTGCATTAGTTGGAGTATCAGATACCAATATTTTGCGGAATCCTACGTGACCACCTGGGTATGACAAGTCAGTGCAAGATGGATACCGAGAATGCGCACGCCGCTTCAGAAACTGCAGCGCGTCGATGCGTCAAAACAATTTTTGGAGTTGTGTGGAGATGAACCTGCACAGATTTTGGAGCGGATTGTTACCGGAGATGAAACATGGATTCATCACTTTGAGCCTGAGTCCAAACAAGAGTCCATGCAATGGCATGGAAAGGGACATGGAAAGGGGCATCCCCCTCGGGGCGTCATCAAACCGGGGTTTGCGGTGGGGTGGTGTGTCGGAATCGGACCGACTAAAACCACACGGTGTGTCACTCTGCGCCTGTAATAGGAGGGATCTAGGAACTGCTGTTATTAAGCCATCCGGACCCCTCCTAGCGCCTGCCCGCAATTATGCGGGCACCACCTTCGGGTACATTCTCTATTTAGGCACACGCGGACGTCACCTCCTCGCGGCTGGCCATTATGGCGGGTGGAGAGGAAAACCCGTCCCGTCCACACGCAGCCACACTCAGGGCGGCATGAGGCGCTTATAAGCGCGCCTCCACCGCCCGGTTCGCCGGCGGCGAATTAGGTCCGAGTGGACGTCATCCTCCCGGGCCCTCTCCGCCCTCCCGCCGGTAGCGAGAGATCCCTCCCGATAACTGCAATGACGACCCGGCGTTGCGGCGCCCAAACTGGACAAATTGCCAGCGTGTGCTGAGCCGAGTCCTCACTGCCATCGCAGTGATGACAGGAGTGACTCAGTTCCCTCCTAGCGACCGTGTGCAGGTACTTCCCGAAGCAGCCATGCCCGGAAAGGACAGCGTGCTGCGTCAGCCGGACGGAAAGGGTCCCGTGCTGTCGCCCTGCCCACTCGACGATGACCGGCTGGAGCGCCTCCACGGCGGCAAAGCCAGTACGTGGAGCCTCCAGCCGGGACGACCAACGGGCCATCGTGGTTCGGCGAGCGGGCCACTCGCGTATTTCTTCGGGCGGAGGCCGAAAGCCGCTAACCGCCCGGAACTCAACCGTCTGCCGATATACTTCGGCGAGCACTTCCGCCTCCAAATCCTATGGGGGCGTTCCGGCCAACGATCACGCCGCCTCCGTCGATACTGTGCGGCTATGGATCTAACCACCAATATCCTCTGATACCACCGCCACCGCCACACTGAGCCACCGCCCCCACCGGTGCACCGTACAGTGCCATTGACCGGACAACCCCCGTGTATAGCCGTCTTGTCGTGACGCTGGGTCCACCCAAATTGGGCAAAAGTCGCCCTAGGGCAGAATCAGCGCCGACCAGCTTTGGAGCAAGCTGTCGGAAGTGCTCGTCGAAGAGCCACCTCCAGTCAAGAATCAGGCCCAGATACTTCATCTGGGCCTGAACCGATACGAGGACCGAATCGACCACGATGGAGGCGCCGGGGGGCGGACCACGACGGGGCCAATTGAAAAATAGGGCCTCCATCTTGTCCAGGGACACTCGTAAGTCCAGCGCCTCAATGCGCCCGACCACCAGAGAGACTCCCCTGGTGGCTAGACGCGCAGCCTGTTGAAAGTCCGCACCCTAGGCTGTAACTAGTGTGTCATCGGCGTAACAAATAACGCCCAGCCCGGGGGGAGGCGACCTCGAAGGGCCTAGTCGTAACCAATTTTCCACAAGAGTGGTCCGAGAAGAGACCCCTGCGGAACACCGCACGACATGGGCCGACGACTCAAAGCACCATTTTGGTTCCCGTACATGACTGCAACTAGCCGCCTCAGGTACTCTGGCACCCCATGATAGTGGAGTGCTTCCCTGATGCAGCTGAATGGCAAACTGTTGACTGTTGTTGCGTTGGCGATGTCAAACGACACCGCCAACAGCACGCCACCACGGCTCACCGCCTCTTCGGCCACGGTCCTGAGGCGCGACACAGCGTCGATCGTCGAACTCCCCGCTCGAAACCGAATTGGGCGTCCGACAAATCGGGGCCCATCTTGCAGAGGTGCCGGGCGATGCGGGCAGAGAGGATCTCTCCAAAAATTTACCGCCGCTAAAAAGAGTACACCACCGCTAAAAAGGGTACACCACCGCCAAAGAAATTCAAAGTGTCGGAGTCGGCTGGAAAGTTGATGGCTACTGTTTTTTGGGATTGTGAGGGGATAATACTCATTGATTACAAAGAAAAGGGAAGGACCATAACCGGAGAATACTACGCAACGATACTAGAGAAATTAAAGGAGGCCATCAAAGAAAAAATTGACCAAGGGTGTGTTGCTCTTGCAAGACAACGCGCCAGTTCTCAAGATCAGAGTTGCAATGTCTGCTCTGCATAAGCATGGCTTCGAAACACTAGTCCACCCACCCTACAGTCCAGATCTTGCCCCAAGTGATTTTTATTTGTTCCCTAATTTTAAGAAAGACTTAAAGGAAGGAATTTTTCCGACGACAATGAGGTAAAGGAGGCAATTTTAGCTCATTTTGAGGCAAAAGATAAAAAATATATTTACGATAGTTTAGAAAAATTAATTCATAGATGTAATAAATGTATTCAGCTTAAGGGTGATTATATTGAAAAGGAAAAATAGATTTATTGTTTCATTTTATTTAAAACCCTTTCATTCCACGAACTTTTGGACCTCCCCTCGTACTCTTCAATAATACATTTCGAAAGAAAATAATGGAATATAGCCGGACAAAACCCCTTACGGAGAGTCCTATTTATGTTGTTACTGCGTAACTATACTTCAACACGTATGAGTGGGCTCCATTAATGATACCATATGGCCTCACAGGAACAGGGCGTTGAGCAACAACTTTTTTTGCTTCTTTTTTTATGAATTAACATTGCTGGCCATGCGTCCGATTTCTCTGTGAACCATCTCAGTATTGATTTCAATATCGATACGGGTGTAAGTCACAATAGAAGAAACACTTACGCGTAGTGATTACTTAGCTGTTTGTCGATTTCACATTAAAGTGTGTAATTTGTATTTAACTGTGTAATTTGTATTAAACGACATTAGGTACTATGCTATTATTACTCTTATTACGAGAAAGTTTTTAAATACACGTGGTTTTTTTCTTTATGCCGTAAGAAAATGAAGACTAATTTATTTGTAAATATTACTTTTTTTTTTACAGACTTTAAATTAACGCACTTATCATTGAAAAAAAATGAAAAATTTAGAAAGTTTACCTGATCTTCACTAGGCGTGGACAGGTTCTGTGACGCGAGCCAGGCTTCTATCTTCGGCGAGAAGTGTTGAATAATGGCGCGCACGTTAACTAGACAATTCGCTAAGCGCAATGCTTCTTGTTTGAATTCACCATCACTCGTGGAGTACCTTAAAGCTGGAGAGTTCATTATAAGAATGCGTTTTCAGTATTGTCATGTATTTTAAAAGAATAATCTATCGAGATGTTGTTTTGTGATGCCCATCATCACAAAACAACATCTCGATAGACGATAAAAAGACGATAGCCAAAAAGTTACAGAGCAAAACAATCCAGCTCAAGGCGTATTCAAGGCAATGGCACGTCAAATGTATGTCTGACAGGCAACCCGTGGGATGAATAGGGGTAGTGACTCTGTATTCTTAATCCGTTACTGATTGGCAGTTTCAAAGAAACATCCCTTTCAAGACGTAAAAAAACCCTTTTTTTTCGATTTTTCAACAATAATTTAAAAAAAAGTTCGTTTTTTTTAATCGTATGGAATTCGATGTTTAAACTGTTATAAGTACAAATATTGGAGTGTATCAATGCCATCCGATTTTGATCAAACTCACCCCTACTTCGCCACCCACAAACTTCATTAAAATTACAATAATAGCCAGTAATGCCATACGCTACACATCATTCTAACGAATATAACTTGACTTTTCCACCATTTTAGGGCTTATAATTAAATCTAATTGTTTATAAAAGAGTTTCAATAATTTTTCATTATAATATCTTTCAAGCAACCGCATCTTTAGGTATACGGCTGCTTCGTAAAAAGTCCAGTTGAGGTCAATTCGGCCTATACGAAGGGCTCTGTACTACTCCAAGGCCCAGATTACCACTCGCCATCCGGTTGCCTTTCCGACTTACATTTGACGTGCCATTGCTTTAACTTTAGGAAAAAGTATCTGATTTGCAACATTTATTGATTTTCTTACATATTATATTTTCAGTTAAATGTAAATATTAACATTCGGAACACCAACTTTCTTATTTAGATGCATTGACACTTTATATTACACTATTCAACGTAACAGTAACAAACAAAGTGCCACTTACCCATATAAAAAAGATTATCGAAGACTTGATGCATTCTAATTAGTTCATAATACAACTGGTCATATGAAGCTGGAGTTGGTAAGAATGTGTCGCCAAACGTGATAAACAAGTTGAAGATATTCACGACCTGGAAGTTAAGAAGGAATAACGTTTAATTAACGTACATAAATACAATAAAACAACCTTATTTTTAGTATGGGTACCCTGAAACCCTGATTGAAACATTTAACTCCATTGATTTTATTTATTGCAAAATGTATGAACTTGACAAAAATATTTCAATTTAGCAACTGTAAATTAAAATTATTCCTTGTATTTTTAGTAAAAATTTTTTGAAATACTTGTTTTTTTCTGTAACGTGTGGGCCTAAAAGTTGGCTACCTCTTTATTGTTGTGTCTTTGTGTCTCCACAAAAACACTTGTATTTATTTATTTAAGTAATATTTTAAGTTTAGTCTCACAACCAAAACGCTTTTATGCTATTCAGCATCTGCAGACTGCAATACAGACCACAGCACTGCACATTATTATGTAAAAGTATACATTGAATTCAGTGGCGTAGCTACGCGTGGGCGAAGTGGGCCGTCGCCCACGGCCTAGCGCTTGAGGGGGGGGGGGGGGGGCAACGAGACTAATTTAACTGCGATGCCCCCAGACTTAACAACAGTTATAGGGGTGGTGACACTCTGTATTCTTAATCCGTCACCACACGGATCACATTTATACTCGAAGTGTATTTGTTTCGGACCTTCCAAGAAGCCCCATCTTAAGTGCGACTGCGAGGTCATTGTAACTACCTTTAAAGACCGCGAACGTTAGATTGACGAAACACGAGAGAGTCTTGTCAGGCATTAATAGCTATAAGCAGGGGCGGATTAAAAGCCTTTTTTGTTGACGGGTTTGGCAAATTCCCTGGGATATCCAGCGCTTTGGAGACGTAGGAGTTAAGAGTATTTTTTTTTTCTTTCTCCCGGATCAACGCCGGCACTAACTAGGTCCTATCCCGGATCAACGCCGCACCTAACTAAGTCAATCACTACTTCGCCCGGCCATGTTTTGATACAATTGCTGGCGGGGACAAAATCATCCGGTTCGATCTAGCAAGACCTCTCGTTTAGGAACCCCCGCGGGGTACTTCATGGTGGTCAGAGGCCCAGACGGCCGCGCAGGACAGGCATTACTGTCTACTCAAGTCCGATCGAATTCAGGCAATCACTAAAGCAACCATGCCCGAGGAGTACGTGCATGAACTGGTAGATGACACGACCTGCACGGCAACGGCACTATAAAACGCGTTGGCGCACATTTGGAGTTTCTCCAGCCGCACGCCTTTGAATCAGTGCCTGTGGGTGAATGCTTAGCGGCATTTTAATCTCGTCCTGAACCTCGTGTCCGTATCCGCCAGGACATCTAAAGGCACCAAACGAACCAGGACTATCACCGCCTCCGAGGAGATTGTGCGGTATCCTCATTCAACTAACTCAACAAATCTCAACAAATTAGTTTTTAAATGAAAAATTTGATTCAAATTATAAATTAGACGACGACATGCCTTTATATTCTCAATAATTCAATTCAATTTAATACCTATAACATTGCTTTGAATAATTTTTTACATTGTATTTTATAATCCTCAAGTATATTTAATAATTCTTGACATTTTATTTAATCTCTTTTGACATTGTATTTTATAATTCTTGACATTGTACTAATCCTTCCTGGAACTACGCTGGAAACAGCAGAATATTATGGATATTATGTCTAACACCTGTACCTCAACAATATTCTGACAAATAAATATATTATTATTATTAACTAATTAATTAAAATATATAAGCACTAGATATGCAATAGTAGTAATCTAAAGGCGAGTCAATTAACAGTTAATAACCTGCCTTATTAAGGCATTAAATGAACAAAAAACTGTGTATTGGTGGTATGCACATCCATAGAGCAAAATCTTTAAATCTTGAGACCTATTAACAGTCTAGAACTACACGTCATTGATTTAATCAGTGAGCAGTTAGGTTTCTTAACTTAATTTACTACCAGATTTCCACTTTTTATTTTAATATACTGTTTATTTGACATACCTGCTGCGCCATAATAAAAATGTTATGCCTTCTCAGCAAAGTGCTTTCATTAGCAACTAGGAACTTCAACAAGGCTATGAGCGCTGCCCACAGAGGCCGCCAGTCCCTCGCGAGGCGAACACGGCAACGCTTCTGGTAGCTCAACAGTCGTAGCAACACTCCGACACATAGCTGGTACAGCTCCCCGGGGAATTTCTTCAGTAGATGGCACATAATAAACTCGACCAGCAGATCTGAGGTGTATGAATAAGCTGTATTCTTGTAAGTAAGTACTAAATTAAAAGTAAGCTTACATAACCTGTTTCATTGGTATTTAAGGCTTTAATTTGTGATAAGCGTTAACCCAACTGTTTTAAATGTAGTAAGGACACACAAACTCTGCTTTGAACAGTTCTTTCTTCATTAGTTTAAGATCAATTTGAAATACCATACACCACGGCACCATAGAAAACTAGTTAACACTATTGATGTCATCATAATAATACTCGTATGATCATCAAGAGCCTTTAAAAGTCTACTATTGATGTGCTTAACAGAAATTCTTTCGTTGCATCTCACCGAGTGAGTGAGACGTTACCGAAGGCTCATTTCTCTTCTAATACTGGCGGCCGCTTAAAGACCAGCAGACCAAACTTTTGATAACCTTAGGGATAAACGGGTGTTATGTGCTTCACACTTACAATAGGAGAGAGTAATCATGCCTGGCGGGCCGCGGCCCAAAGGATGATGTGGGAAAATTTCGTAGCTAAGTTATGCCATGAGAACTTTTCATATTGCGATACAGGAATATTGTGAATTAATCAGAAAGTGGCTAATGGAGTACTTTACCAATCAAAGTAGACGCAAGTGGCTGCGATGGTGGTTCTTCTAGTACTATTTTTCTATGGCGCATTGGTAGCCTATACAACTGGACCTGCAAAATCATGACGTAATTGGTCTCACATTACTGAGTGGCTCCTCCACTCAGATGAGAGGTAAAATTCGCGAACACTTTTAAAATAAATAAAGTGATCTGACATTCTTTTGGAGAAGATAACAAATATTTATTTTCAGGATTGCGCACTATCTCAATGCAAGAGATGCGAGCATCCATTCGAATATAGGTGACAATTACGTATGCAGGTGGGCTAGGTTCAAATGCGGTAAAAACCTGTGTGATTTATTCGTCTTATATAAGTGGGTCAACTTAACGGATTGTTAAATGTAAAGCAATTGTGTTAAAAAAAGGACTGATTGCTGGTTCACCCATTACTAGGATCTGTGACACTGTTGATCGAAACGCACAAACTGATGGACTACCAGTCAATCCATCGATCGAAAGGTAGAGTAACCTAAAAGTTTTTGATTCCGTTACTGCCTGCCAAAAATATTCGAATACTGTTAAACATTATCGTGATTGTGATATTTATGTAGGTGTCTATGATAGTAAAATACTTGCCTTAAATGTAAGATTTTGGTCATGCATTATAGAATTAGCGAACTGCTCTTCTACTATACAAGTAAGGATAATGAAACAAAGACTACATTTATTTATACTGGATTCACTCCTTGTGTCAGCCATTACAATGGAACTGGAAATAAAATAAATTTATATAATTAATTTAGCATAGCCATAACTATTAACTCATAACTCTTCAGCAATGGTCGGAATAGGTTAAATGATGTTATGTACTTTCGCTGTATTGACCTCATGATGTCCTTACGCAGAAAAGCCTTCTTCACAGAACATGCGGTACGTGTATTTTTATAAATGTCTTAATTTTTTTAAATAGTAATTACTGGACTAACTACTATAGTGCAAACACTTATTGATTCACCGCAGACACCCTGATTTTTGCGATCAATCTTCATAAACCATTTTATCTATTCCGACCAATAGTCATTAACTATTACAAAACATATTATGTAGACCTGCTAAAAACACCTACAACGAGGGGTTTAAAGTATAAGCAATAAATTCAAAAACTATATAAAATTAAATACAAACCAATATTGGAAGAACGTGACTAGTAAATTCGTTGGTTGTTCGTTGTCAAGGGCTTGTATTTGGGATAAATTGGGGGGACTCTGTAACAAGACATTTATGATCGTATATTAACAAATGACGTTACGTGCGTTTTTTTTTATGGAATAGAGGGTAAACGAGCAGACCTGATGGAAAGCGACTACAGCCGCCAACTCAGGAGTCACAAGCGCGTTGCCAGCCTTTGAGGAAGGAGTACGCTCTTTTTTTGAAGGTAAAATAGCATAGTAAGTAAAATAGTATTAATGTACCTGATGAGGGGGCAGCGTAGCTGGAGGTGAAGGAGGAGCCGAGGAAGCAGCGGCCGAAGACGAGTGTGCCAGCGTCGTCATAAAGTTACGATTCAAGTGAGCTGCCTCATATAGTGCAAGCAACATGCCTTCTTCACCTCCACTGTTGGGAACGAATTGTGTTATCTTTTATTTTTTTCTGCCACTATGTACCATATATATTCTAATGTACTGTACATTGCTAATAAGAAATGTATATCAAATAGTGTACAGTGAAAGGTTTTTACTTTCAATTATTTACTTATTTGGAACTTTTGTAAATTAACGTGATGTACTTACAGTTGTATACGGGTATGATATCCTGTATATAAATAATCAATAGATTACCTTTGCTTTTAGTTTTTCGTACCTGTTTCTTTGGCCTCTAACAACAGGTTGTGTTTCGTCACTGGTAAGGAATATCCCACCGACCATACTTGTGAGGGAAGACAGCCACCCGCCACCGCCGCCTCCGCCCTGCATGCCGCCAAACGTCGACATTACGTAGTCGTTCAGCGCAGCCGTTATTACTTGTCCATAACTTTGAAAAATGTACTATTAGACATAATTATTTGAGGCAGCAGAAAAACAAACATAGCACAACCGTAGCATACTTTTTAAAGTCATTCACGACATTTGGGATAAAACTCGTTTCAATGTGAGATCAAATTTTTACTTAAACATAATAACTTGACAATAACATATTTATATGCATAAATCAATTTCCTATCGCTATCATCATTTAGGACTAATGAAAACAGATTAGATTCTAATTTGATTATGTTAATGTGCGAGTGTCTTATCCAATATAAAAACAATTGAGCAATTTTATTTAAAAAAAAGGTGAAAGTGCATAATCTGATATTGCTTACCCATTTAAAGCCAATTCATCATCTAATATTGACAATTTTACAACATAAGGATTTGCAGATTCCTGTTTTTTGTAATTCACCAAGAACATTAAAAGCATTACCACATCATATCCTGAAAATGTTTATATTATTTAATTATAATTATTATTTTTAACAAATATTGTGGTTAGTTCAATCAAAGACAAATAATTGAACATAGTTATATAACGCGATTTTATTTGACCCATTAAAAGTTAGTGTGAGTGCCTTTTTTGCATTCAAATGTGTAGAACTTGTGATAAGGGAGGAAAAAAAAACTAAAAAGCAAATTGATTGCAATTGAAAACAGAACAGTCAATAAAATCTCTTGCAAAGTTACCATGATGTTGCCTCTCTGTGGATGTGCATAGAAGTTGAATGAGGGGCTCAAACAATGAGTTTTGCATAAAATATTCAACTAGTGAATTTTCATCTATGTTATCGATGCCCGTAGCTATAACTAGAAGGAGTTTTAGTACTGTTGACTTTAAACTGTCTGGGACATCACCTGGAAACATAAACATTATTGATGTTAATTATAGCTAGTTTATGTCCCTCTTCAATGGTTTCATTTTAGGCAACCTTGGCCTTTACTAGCGACCACAGTCTTAGTCTTGTTTTCGATGTCAGACTTGTAATACCTGCTATCTCAGCTCTCTCGCCTTGTCCATGTTCATTAACTCCTCACGGTGCGTTACACTGTACAGTGCTTACTGGTGAAAGCACTGTACAGTGTAGCGCACCGTTAATAATAATAAAAGAGTTAATTTACTTTCTGTCTGATTCGAAAAAAAAAAACAGGATTGGCATTTGCAATGTCCATATTGCACTGAGATCAAATAAAATTGGAAAATGACAATGATGATAGAGTTAAGTAATTGTCGTTTAAAATCAAGTTTATTAATAATATGGCTTTTTTTTTTGAGTAATCAATTTTATCCAGTGGACATTCATCATAGTGAAAAATGATTTTGACTTTCAAATATGGTTTTTTGAAGTATATATTCATCCCATTTATTTATTATATACTTCTTGCTAGGCATGGGACATAATCACAGTGAACCGTGAAAGATCAGTGTTATTTAGCATTCAATTTTTTCTTTAGGTTAGGGTTGCTACTTTTTCACTTGTTGTTGCCGATAAGCTGTTCTCAGACTATGCAAAAGAACTATTTCGCCTATTTAACAGTAAATCTAGTAATTATTTTATTATATATAGCTACCCTTATATATCCCTACATAATAATTAAAAAAATACTAGATTACCTGTTAAATAGCGTCTAACCTACATACCAGGGTCCTCAAAAATCGAATGATAAATCACAGTTTGCTGTGATTTTGTCCCATGTCTACTTCTTGCATTTTTGTATTGCACTAGATAAACTTAAAATCTAAAAGATGGAAGTTCACACTGATCTGGTAGGTAGAAGATATTTCTTGCTTACCTGACAATATAACACTACAATGCTCAAATAGCTTTTGCATTTTACTGTCAGCATCATCAGTTCCAATCAGAATTGTTTTTATATTTATGTTAGAGTCTTGTGCAGCTCTTTGATACATAGTAATTAGTAGTGCACTCAGAGTTTGTAGAGCATAGACTAATCTGAAACAATATTTCAAGTGTGAACAATTAATAAGCATCAATAACTCAACTCAAAAAAATCTGTTAATAAATTAGATTATTTTATATTTTTCTGTTATAATTAGAAACAAAGTAGATTCCTTTAAGTGTTTTTTTTTTACTTCGATTGACACTATTTTCAAGTTTCATTATAGCACCTTTGTTTTATAATAAAATTAAACTTTAATCTATTTATCAAAAAAGTAATCATGATGAACTCTTCTTGATTACTTCGTTAGATAAATGGATTACTCTTGATAACTATCAATAATAATCAAGAAGAGTTAGAAGACTATGTTTTATTGAAAGACTTTAGACACTAGTCTAGACAACACACAGTAACAGTAGTATATAAAATATACATCAATATATGTATCTCTTAACTGTTATATACATTAATTCATTTTGTTAAAGGGAAAGGTGTCTATCTGACTTTAAGAACTTGATTGTGTTGAATCATAAAAATAAGAAACTATAGCTATATGAAACAAAGTATAAGAATGGTTCAATTTTTGTTCACAACTGCTTATCTAACTGATAAACATGTTTCTGCAATGGCTATCTAAACTGTTTAGATTATAGAAACACTACAATTATTTAGACTATAACTTTCTTAGATAAAACTAACTGACTAGTTTAAACTATTAAAATTAAATTGCGAATAAGTTTTAGACTCAATTAAAATATTGTTTGTAGAAAACACCGTACAATATTAAAATGCTTATATCAGAAGTGTTTTAAGCAAATTTATTCTTAAGTTTCTATGACATGTCTAGACTTCTAGCATAACAGATGAGACATAATATGTACCTATATAAATAGGTTTGACATTAGTTTTTATCTCTGAAACGTCAGAAATATTACCTGATATGATGTTCCTGCCCCAACATTTCAATACATTGAGATACCAGTAGATTCATACTGTCTTTCATGTTCATTAGTTGCTCTAACGATAGTTTGTGTATTTCGGCTTCCAACTGAGGTATCTTAGGCTTTAACAAAAAGAACTCATCCCAGAATGTCGCATTATCGGTCGTTAAATCTTCTCCTCTAAAGAATGACTCGTAAATCTGTACCACCTTCTCTTTTAAGTGCCTTTTAGACCCTGAACCGCTTCTCTTTCGTGTGGCCATGGCGAGTTGAAACAATTTTTTCTTTTTTATTTCTAAATACTGCACGATTTTTAAATAAAATTGGCGTGTTCACAATATCTTATCGAAATCTTATACCCTTATAAGTAACGAGTACTCAAATGATTCCATGACGAATACTGTTTTTTTTTAGATAAATTATTTGGTACTTATATTCCTATTTATATTTCTTAATGATATTGGAATGAATAGAAGCAAATAGCAATTCACAGAACTGTAAAGTCAACAAACCGTAAATCGTAAACTTTCGTTGGCCACTTGACACTTGTAAGTCATATTTATGTCAAAATTGACAAGCTGTGTGACAAGATTTTTGTGTAGATTGTCTATTGCTAAAATCAATTTATGCTGATCGTGTCAAGATTAATCATTTTTTGTTTAGTGCCTAACAATTATTTAAAAAAAAGCCAAATAAAAAATAGGCTCATAATATGATGTGTTTATTGCATGTAAAACATCAACTATCAAGCATAGGACACGACACGATGCATAAAGTCCGTGAACGAGAATTGGCTGAAAACACTGTCACAATAGATGGTCTTACAAGTCGACTATACACGAATGTTTCAGGATATTGAGAAGGAAATAACTGGTTTCTACCAGCACTTCGAAGGTTACAGCGACATTCAACTCGTAAATAATCATATCGAATTAATATTATTAACCAAAGCAAGAAAATGATTTTAAAATTTCGATTTATTTGTTCTTGAAACAAATATTTTTTTATTTTATTTCTGATATAAGCTAATAATAATAATGTTTAATTCTCCCTCATTACAATATAAACAGATGTACAATGTTGTCATAACACAATAGTGGGAGACTGGTTTCCAAACTAAGTAAAATACTTATGTTATGGATAACCGGGCTTCCATCCGCGAAAAAACATGTATAAACTGTACAAAGTTGACACTTAAAATTTAAGAGAATATTACAAAGAAAAAAAAAACAGAAAAGAGACAAAACGGGTAACTGAATTTTAAATGTGCTAGTTTTTATTTTTAAATGTGTGTGTGGTTGTATCTGTATGTTTATGAGAGCGTGCGTGTGTATTGTGTGTGTTTGCGCGCACATAAGTGTGTGTTAAAATATGAGGTATGTATAGATGTGTATTACTATTTTTCTATTTTTAGCAAGTTTTCCGTTTGTTCGTAGTCCAGGGTTAGTAAAAACTTTGATACCATCAATTTAACACACGTTTTAGTTTTCGAATAAATATCTAGAGATTTATTTAATTTATTATATAAAAATCCGCCTAAAAAGGAAAAAGATCTGTGGGAGAAATGGGAACACGATGAGGTCGGACATACGTTATGTTTCCGTCGTTTTGATAGTACAGAGGGGTCAAAAGGTAGTAAAGAATGTTGCTTAAGAACTGTGTACAAAATAAATAATTGTCGAACTGAGTGCAAGGAGCACCTTTGATAGAGTTCCACAGTAGAAAAACGAAATGGAAGAGATAATGACGTTTTTAGCACGGCTCTTTGTGCCCTCTCTAGCTTCAGGAGTGAGGATTTATAGGTGCCACCCCAAACTGTGATACAGTAGATCAGTAATGATTGGCAAAGTGCTGTATATACCATTCTAATAGTAGTAGTGTCAGCGACCCCTCGCATGCTCCTGAAGACATACATTAGTTTGCGCATTAGTGCAGTAAGCAATTCGATGTGACTGTTAAAATTCAGATTCTGGTCTATTAGAACGCCAAGATATTTTACAGTGCTCACATTCTGCAGTTTTGGACATGTTCACTAGGAGTTTGCGATTTCAGAATTAGAGTAGTAATGGGCTACTATAGTCCATGGGTGGTCAACTGGGGAACCTCGTTTTGAAAAACATATTTTGTTTTGTCCGCATTTAACGTTAGGATGTTTTCATTAAGCCATTTCGTGACAGTATCAAAGCCAGTCTGCGCGTAAGCAAAGACCTCATCCCATGTCGGTGCCTCAAATACTAGGACTGTATCATCCGCGAAAGTAATTATTAATCCGTTAGTCAGTTGTAGGTTGCAGAGCTCATTAATATATATATGAGGAAAAGGGAAGGACCTAAGATACTACCCTGCCGTATTGAACAAGTAGGTCTTCGCTTACATTTTCCCCAATTTTTGTGCTTTGGATTCTACAACTCAAGTAGTTTCTAAACAATTTGTGCTGTAACCCCCTAACACCAATATGTTCCATATTCTTTAATAAAATTGGGATGGAGACCGTGTCAAAAGCCTTGGTCAAATCTAAAAAGACATCAATACATTTCATGTTATTTTCTAATGCTTTAAAAACATAGTTTGTAAGGGCATAAACTGCATCTCCAGTGGATATTCCAGAACGGAAACCGTACTGAGAAGGGGACAATAGCTTATTCGTCTCTAGGTATTTCGTAAGACGGCTATTCATGATCTTTTCCAAGACTTTAGACATAGAAGGAAGAATGGATATTGGTCTATAGTTGTTGACACGATCTCTAGCTCCCCCCTTATGTACCGGTATGATTAGAGCTTTTTTGATAGCAGTTGGGAATGTGCCGTTGATGATAGCTAAGTTGCATATGTGAGTGAGAGGAGGTACAACAACCTCCTTATTAAGTCGAAGAATCTTTGCACTTATGTTGTCATATCCGGCGGCATCGCTTTTTAGCGATGTGATCTACCTCGCATTCGTCTGTGGGCAAAAACACGAGAGAGTTAGGACTATTAAGAACTTTCGCGTGAACAGAGGAACTAGCATAACCCTTGTTTACCATTTTTTCTGCCAAGACTTTGCCAACATTCACGAAAAAATCATTGACACTGTTGACTGCAGCCGTAGGATTACCGTGTTTTTTTACTAGTTCAGTCGCAGTAAGTTTTATTTTCTGTCTGTTTGTGATGTCATTGATAGATTTCCACAATAGCTTACAATTGTTTTTAGCTTTATTAAGTTCGTTTCTTTCATAGTTTTGTTTTACCCTTCTGAGCAGATTATTGCAGTAGTTGCGGTAGCGTTTATATGTGATTAAAACAGTCTCATTGTTAGGATTCTTTTTAACTTTTTTGTGTAGATGATCTCTGTTACGCATGCACCTTAATAATCCAGGCGTAATCCAGGTTTTTTATAATAAATCTTCTTCTTGAGTATATGGTTTGTTTAGAGTTTGACTTCATTGCTTTGGTGATGAAAGATTTCAAAAATTGGTAGCAAAATATACGTCTATTGAGTTAAATAGTGGCTTTAGATCCATATTACCAAGACTTACTGCAAGGCCCCTATAATCAATAATAGATGATTTTTTTTCAGTATTGTGGTAAGTGTTAAGTTTCATTTTAAGAAAGAGTATTACTGCTTCATGATCGGTCAGAGATGTTTATGCAACCAGGGTAAGAGCTTCCATCTTAGTTTTCAGGAGGACATGGTTAAGGCAATTGTCTTGTCGAGTTGGTGGTGTGTGAGCTGGGAGTAAACCATGGTACGCTGTAAGATTTAAGTATTCCCAAGAGTTATTGTCTAAGATTTCACCGTTAATGCTAAGGTTAATGTCACCAGACAATATAATTGTTTGAAAAGTTGAGTATTTCGTTAAGATGTTGTTTAGGGCGGTCAGGAAATTTGTGATATTTTTGTATGACGGTGAACGGTATATGGCAATAATCGTGGTGTCCGAATTTATTTGGACTACAAGACAATTTGCATCAGGGAATGCCGGCTCATCAACTATTGCAGCGATATGGTCTTTAATATAAATTACAACGCCATCATTTTGTAATACATTTGAGGTTGTCCAGAATTTTTCGTAACCTTGTAGAATCGGTAAGTTGGAGTTACGTTGTAGCCAACATTCAGTTAAAATAATAACATCCCAAGTCACACCAGACCTTGCTATTAGGGCTTCTTGTCCGGCAAAGTTACACGATATGCAACGAATATTTTGATTGAGTAATTTTAGAAATTGAACCGGGTTACCAATAAGTCTATGGCAGTCATCTATATCACATTTAACCGAGTCAGAAACAGAAAAATAATCAATACTGTTTTGTAGGTTTAGGTTATCGAATTTTAATTAAATTATTTAGCTTATGATGCTTATGATTAAGGATCACGACGGCAAGACTTGTTCCATAATATTATTATCTGAATGGATCCAAAAATATTGATGTATGTAAATAGGGCTACCAGTTCTATTAGAATTCTTAGGTAAGGAAACTCATTCAGTGAATATGTGTGTTTGTTTGTGTATGCGAGCGTGTTTAGATGTAAATAAATGTTGAGATAATCGTAAATTATTTTTGTTCGTTGAAAGTGTACTGAAATATGTGAGTATTGGTAAGAATAGTGTGATAAGTAACATACATTATAGATATTTAAAATAGAAAGAATATTTAAAGTTATATAATATTTTGACATACCGAAAGTGAGTAGTTGCATAAAAAACATAGTCATTGTTTACTTATAAATGTGGAAATGCAACTTTCTGTTTTAATTTGAGTGGGTTTATCTTCGTGACTTTTACGCATGAAAATCTTTCCATTTAAGCTCCAACAAGATAGCTTATGAATCATGGCAAGTTGACGACATTCATAAAAGAGCTTCCTCAGTGTAGGTGACAGATGATCAGCGTCATATATAGGCTTCTTTTCACCAGGTAATCCAATAGTGTGTATTCAGCTTGTCGATAGTGGCACGCTCTTTGTTGAAGCGACGCACTTTGGACAGAAAGCTGAATAAAAACTGTCTGAGTTGATTCGATTCCAGTTCTGAAAATACACAACGAAGTTCCATAAGAATTGTCGGAAAAAAGTCTTGTTACACATTTTTCCGTTTCGTTCCGATCTACCGGTCATTAATCATTTGACTGGTCTTCAAAGTGGGTACACGTTTTTATTTTTCTCATATCATAATACATTTTGAAAACAATAATTCACTCTTTAGATCTAAGCAGCTTTTTCAATGTTTTTACTTGAATATGAATTTGAATGAACCACGGACATTAACGTTGTTTCAATCGAACAGCATTTCATTTTTATTTAAAGACAAAAAAATAATAGCATAAACAATTAACGCTATTTTCTTATGATAGGGCAACACTATCAGTGTCTCTGCTTGCTGCGAAGTGCGACTTGCAACAGAGAAAGAAGCTTGCTTGCATTTTGTTTTTAGTTCGGTATCGCACCGACCGTGCCTGTGGTATTTTTGTGAAAGTTGTGATTTATTGCAAAAATGAAGTCTAAGAAGCGTCATCATACTTCTTCAGACGAATCGGAAGATTCTGATGCTAGTGGGAGTAGTTCGTCGGACAGTGAAACTGACGACTCGTCGGTATCCGGACATCATTATAATAAAAAGAAAAAGAAACGTGCCGATTCTTCGGATTCGGATAGTGATAGCGACGATCATAAACGTTCAAAGAAACGTAAGCACAAGAAAAAGAAGAAGAAGCATAGCAAAAAGAAGAGGAAATCGGACTCGGTAATTATAAGCGGTTCAGAAGAGAATTTTACCTTCAGTGAGGGTGAGGAAACTTCAGTAAAGAAAAAGCGTAAACATAAACACAAACACAGCAAGCGTCCACGCAGCTCATCTGTTAGTCAAAGAGGTAGGAATTTGAGCTCAATACGTACTATTTGCATATTTTTAAATGTAAATATGTTCTGAAATACGTTCTAACCTCTGCAGGCGAAGAACACAGTCAACGACGTCTGCACAGTGTAGTAAAAGAGCGTCGCGAAGCATCCGCCGAGGAAGGTCAACCTACACGAACTTACTATCAGTATGTTTTATCTTGTTACTAGTAATTGTTACATTTATATCCTTAGTTATAGTTTAGTATATGCAACTTAGTTATCATGGTATCTTTATGGTTTACTTGATTTTTCTTATATGTATATTGTTTTAGGAAAGAATATCACAGATCAGAGTCACCTGAAGATTATGAACGGGAACGGGAAGTACAGAGGTTCTACCGGGGCTCCAGTAAAGAAAGGAGACATCAGTATCATCAAGAGCAGTACCACAATGAGCGTGCTTATAATGACAGGTTAGCTAACTGTAATATTAACAGTGCTAGTGTGTATTATAACATTAGATTTCATGAGATTGAATCATTGCAGATTTGCTCAATACCACCAAGAGAAATATGATAATAGAGAGAAATTTGGCCAAAATTCACAATATACTGAACCAAATGAAGAATACATTAGGAAGCAGAAAGAATATAATGACTTTAAAAGGTATTATTGTTTACTCATACAATAAGATCTATCTTTTCTTGGATTTATTGTATGTTGTAAATTGATGTAATAGGTTACACTTCCCTATTTAAATACTAAGTTGTGATTGTTAACTTTTATAATGTGGAACCACTTTTATACATAGACAAGGCAATAATATCACAACTTGGTTAAAGCAGTTAGAAAGGGTTTTATTGTAGTTAAAATACAATATTTAAAGAATACGTTATGTATGTATGCAAGGAAAAAAACAGTTGAGTAACTTCTAAACAGTCAAATGTAATTATAGTAATGTCAGCGATAGATCAGTTGTAGGAAGATATGTAGTCTCTTCACACCCTCAGAACTTTTTAGAATTTTTAAATTCTTTTTAGACTAACTTTTCCACTCAAATCTTCTAGATTAGAAAAGTTAGTCTAATGTTGGGCCAAAGAGTGGTTTGGTAAACATGTCTGCCAGTTGTCTGACGGATGGTACTTGTTTCACTTCAAGTTCACCGTTGTTTACACATTCACGCACAAACAGGAGCTTCAACTTAATGTGCTTGGTCTGCCTATGGTACTCATATTTTTGATTGTGTGAAAGCTTTATAGCTGATTCATTATCTAGATAGAGCACAGGTTTTTGTAAGTTGGCCAAGTCTTTCAATAAGCTGTTCAGCCACAAAATTTCTTGTGAAGTTTCACTGGCAGCGATTATCTCCGCTTCAGTCAACGACAATGATACTATAGTTTGTTGCTGACTTTTCCAGCTAATAGCTTCTCCTGAAAGTAGGCACACCATTCCAGATATCGATCTACCTGTTGTATGATCTCCTGCGAGGTCGGAGTCAGAGTAGTATACCAAATTGTTTGGTGACTCCATTGTGTGCCTGTATACTAGACCTTTGTCTATAGTCCCTTTGAGGTAGGGTAAGATCCGTTTCACTAGCATGACATCAATTGTAGTGGGTGTCTCTAGGTTTCTGGATGCTTTGCTTACAGCATAGGCTAAATCTGGCCTTGTTCCTACTGCTAAGTAAGTAAGAGCTCCAACGGCCTGTCTGTATGGAAAATCTAGCCTGCTTTCAATTTTAGGTTCTGTATCGTTGACACATTCTTTAATTATTGGAGTTGGTGTGGACTTACTGTTCATCATACCAAACTTCTCAAGAACCTTTTTTATATAGGTCTAAGCCTATTATTATTATGCTATATTATTCTGCCTTTTTCTGCTTTTATTTCCATGCCCAGAAAGTAGGAGATGGGTTTCATTGTGATGTTGAAACGAGCTTTTAGTTCATTAATAAACTCATCTCCTGCAGCATTTGTATTAGACGCCACTAGTCCATCATCAACACAAAGTCCGATTAAGACTGGGTTGTCCTCTGAGTCTGGTATATAAGCAAGGGTCTGCTTCACTTTGTTTAAAGCCAGTTTTTATTAGAAATTCGGAAATGCATGAATTCCAGCATCGCGGCGCTTGCTTGAGTCCGTAGAGACTGCGAATTAGTTTGCATACCCGGTTAGTTCTGTCTTGGAAGCCTACGGGCTGTTTAATGAAAATTTCTTCTTCAACTGAACCATTTAGGAAAGCTGTTGCTACATCAAATTGACGTAGATTTAAATTTTCTTTAGCACTTATTGCAAATATTGCTCTTATAGTGCTGAGTCGAGCCACAGGACTAAACGTTTTACTGTAATCGACTCCTTGTATTTGTGAGTACCCTTTAAAGACAACTCTGGCTTTAAATTTATCGATGGAGCCATCCAGATTCGTTTTCAATTTATAAACCCATTTGCAAGGTAGTGCTCTCACTCGCTGCAAGTCCCAGGTTTTATTTTCTTTCAGTGAGTTTCTTTCGCTCTGCATGGCTTCTAGCCATTTTTCCTTATAAGGCGAGTCCAATGCTTGTTTGTAAGTCACTGGATCCTTAGGTAAATTTTGGACTTAACCAACAGCTGCCAGTACAAAGTCATCATACCGTTGTGGCAATTGTATTGCTGATCTATCTCTAAGAATATAGTGATTTGGTTCTGTTTCGGCTGTGTTTTCATCATCAAGGTCCTCGTGATCAGGTATTTCATGGTACTGTTCACTATCAGTATCAGCTTCTTGATCGTTATTAGAGTGCTGAGTAGAATCTGCATTTACGACGTTTTCGGTAATGTCGTTTTGTTGAGAGTGTCAGCGTCATCAATATCTACTTGCGTTTTCTTCATTTCTGCAGACGAATCACAATGCTTGTTTTCATTGTATAAAAAGTTGTTAACATTTTCATTAGGGTTTGAGTAGTAATTTCTCTTTACAACTCTTACGTCCCTGGAAATAAGACTTTTAAGTTTAGAAGGAACATAAACCCGATATGCTTTGCTGGTGCTTGAGTATCCAACAAACATTTCTGGTATTGCCTTAGGAGCAAACTTATTGTCTCTCGGTCCTTTCTTCAGTACGAAGGCTTTAGATCCGAAAGGATGGAGATGATTAACGGAAGGCTTTCTTAAAACCCATTTCTCGAATGGTGTTTTGTTACCAATAGCACTGTTTACAGACCTATTCGATAAGTAGTTTGCAGTATTAACTGCTTCTGCCCATAACCAATGCACCGGTGCTTTTGCATCAATAAGCATAGCTCTAGCTTTATCCACTAGTGTCCGATTTTTTCGTTCAGCTATACCGTTCTTTTGTGGGGTATAGGGTGCGGATAAACATCGCGCAATCCCATGTTCCTTAAGATAGGCTTGAAATGTGGCGTTGTCATATTCTGTGCCATTGTCCGTTTGCAAATGCTTAATTTTGTTACCAGTAAACTTTTCCATTTCTAGTTTATACTCTATGAACTTGTACTTCAGATTTGTTTTTCATGAGGTAAATCAACCCGTACCTACTGTAATCGTCAATGAAGGTGATGAAGTACCTATTTTTAGCTTCAGAAGGTGTACTGATTGGACCACATACATCGCTATGTACAATCTCTAGACGTTCAGTAGTTCTAGGAGTAGTCCGTTGGGGAGGGCTTGTCACTCGAGTCATTTTCGATTGTATGCACGCTTCGCAATCTGACAGTCTCATTTTTATTGACGTTTAACCCAATCAATATTTCATTATTGAGAACTAAGCGGAGGTCTTGGGTGTTCATATGTCCAAGCTTTCTGTGCCAGTCAAATATTGAGCCTCGTTTCGTGTTTGTTGAACTTTTTGCTGGGGTGGCCGCAAAGCTGTGTTCAATGTTCAGCGATCTGACATAATAAAGGCCATTTAACTTTGTTGCGGTCATTAGCAACGTTCCCGTTTAATTGCGTATGACTGCTTTGTCTTTATTAAACTCTACTGAAGCACCATGACTGGTAATACTCGGTACTGAAAGTAGATTTGTAGAAAGTGTGGGTACAAATAACGTGTTTTCTAGGTGTATTCTCCCAAATTTATTGTTCAGCGTAACTCTGCCTTCACCCATTATTTCAGTAGTGAGCTTCTGATGCAAAGTTGAGTTATCTTGAGACTGTTTTCATGTCTTTAAATTACTCTTGCTGTGGCGTCATATGAGAGGCGCAGCCGCTATCAAGTACCCAGTCATCCTCGTTGTGACGGTTCGAAGTTAAAAGACACTCTTCAGCGTAGTGAGAGTTATTATTTTTGTTAGTGTAGGACTTCTTTTCTTTGTTTTTTGTCCAGCAGTTAAAACATATGTTATGTGTCTTTTTTTTAAAGATTTTGCTTCCAGTCTTCTTACAGACTTTGCAACAAACGTAGAGTGCGTTTTCTTCTTCATGGTATTGTTGACCAAGTTCAAAGTTTTCATTGTTATGATGGCGAGCATCACTTTCTTCTATAATTTTAAGTTCTTCTGGTTTTGGCAGGACGTTTTGACTCTATAGCAACACGGAAATTGTTGTATTCCGAGGATAAGCTGTATAGCATCATTATTGTTAGTTGATCCTCATGAATTTTTAAGGTCCATATCTGCCAGTTTATCAACCGTGTCCATGAACTTGTTTAAGTGTGTGCCTACATAATTTCCTTCAAGTTTTGAAATAATTATTTGCTTAAGATATGCTTTACGCGCAGGTCCTTTACTCGCATGTATTTCCTTAAGTTTATCCCATAACACCTTTGCAGAGGTGCATTTCTTTTTTAATTTAAGTTGAGAAGGAGAGATTATTAAAATCAATTCTGATTTTGCCTGTTTATCTCCTTCGACATCGTCTGCACTTGCGTTTTGATTTAGGGGACTTACAACGTACCTCCATAGTTTGTTTTTTATCAACACAGCTTCAGCCCAAGTGTCATAATTGTCCTTATCTAGTGGATCAATGTGAAATGTCTTCGGCATGCTTGCAACGTAGGCACGAGAGTAATGCCTATTTGCTTTATGTAGTGACAGCGTTTTTTCACTTCATTCGCTCTGCTACCATGTTAACTTTTATAATGTGGAACCACTTTTATACATAGACAAGGCAATAATATCACAACTTGGTTAAAGCAGTTAGGAAGGGTTTTATTGTAGTTAAAATACAATATTTAAAGAATACGTTATGTATGTATGCAAGGAAAAAAACAGTTGAGTAACTTCTAAACAGTCAAATGTAACTATAGTAACGACAGCCATAGATAAGTTGTAGGAAGATATGTAATCTCTTCACAGTGATCGACTAATGTCAGTTTATTATGTTTTTGTTGTCTATGTAAATTGACATAGAGTAGTTTGTATGTATGACTTTACCAAATCAGATTTTTAGTTTTTATATGTTACCAACTTAATTTTGCAGCTGCCACACAGATATATACTAATTAAGTGTATTACTGTGTTTAATACCTGAGGCTAATAGAAGCAAAAGAACTACATTTTAATGTTAAGGATTAGCTAAAACTACATTTAATAGTGTAATTTTTCTAATCCTATTTCATTGTTTGGTGGTATTGGTAATTAAAAAGATGATTGTAAAAATGTGTTTTCTTATTAGCTAAATGAAATCATGTAAGAATATATATATGAGTGAAAGTGCCTTTAGTATCTGTTGCCTTGATATTTCAGTTTGGCACCTTTTGCTGTTACACAGTACTTAGAAACAGCTCCTATACAGTTTTTTACACACAAGGGCAATATTGTGTTTGTAAGTTTAAAAAATAGAATATTTTATAACTATATGTTCCATAGAATGTTATGATCAGTTGTTTTTAGTTTAGTTGTACAAGTCTCGAAACAAATAAAATGTGCGTTATGTACTCAAAACCATTTAAGGGGCCATTCATTAATTACGTAAGGATGATTTTGTCGATTTTTGACATGTAAAGAAACATAAGATTTCTCGATTATTATTATTAAAAGTAAGTTTTTAAATAATGTTATGGTGAACAAACATAAATCATTAAACAACCTTTAAACGAACTCATGACTAGTTTTGAATTACTCATGAAGAAAATAAATTTCACAGTAAAAGCTAATATGTGGGAAGAATGCACTATAATTTATATTATAGTGAATTCTTATTATTTACGTCATTTAAAATGGATGAAAAATAACATATTTAAGATTTTAAAATTTTCATAAACAAAAATTTGTAAAATAAGATGTAAATCGAAAAGTGCTCATGGAATGAAGAACATTATTCAGCATCCAAAATAGAAATAGATATTTAATAATAAATTTCGTAAGAATGGATTTTACCCCTCCAAGATGGGCATGTATACGTAATGTGTATACTTACGTAATTATGAATGGTCCCTAAAAACTATTTTAAATGAGTGGTTAAAGAAGACAGTGTATGTTATTGTAGGAATCAACGATATGAAGATCATAGGTCTGCTGAAGAAGACTATCATCATAGAAGGACCAGAGATCAAGAAGAAAGGTATCATCAAAGAGAAGATCCAAGAGGTTCGTGGTTACATTATTATGTTATTGTCGATTCTCTTAGGTACAAGGCATTTTTTTTAAACCTGGTACTTGGTCCAAATAGATCTTTATAACTATTTATTGCATACTCTATTATTCATAAACACAAAATTAAGATAATCACATTAAATATTAGAAGTCTTAGTCATAATTTCAATAGCTTTTTATTAGTCCTCAAAAGACTTTACGTTGACTTTGACGTGGTTGTTCTGACGGAATGCTGGTTGGGCGATAGTCCAATACTGTACCACATTAAAGGCTATAAAGCATTCCATACTACAAAATATATCAACAGAGCTGGTGGCTATGGTGGTGTAGTCGTGTACGTAAGAGATTCTTGGTCACCGCGAGTTTACGAACCTAACATTGATGATGCGGAATGTATAGCCGTAATAATCCCTAACGTCATAAATGTATTAGGGGTTTATAGGTCCCTCTCGTTTAAGAATATTGGAAAATTTGTTACTTCACTACAAGTCGCAGTACAAAAATTTAACTTGAAGGCGTGCACGATACGATAATGATCAACCAAAGTCTAGCTACAGTGATTGTCCCACAAGACTGGAAGACTATGTATGTTTTCACAAAACAGTTCGTTCCTCACCTTCATCAAGAACAAATATTATAATTCATACATGTAGTCAAATAAGCACAAACATCAAGTGTAAATGTGGAGAAGTACAAAGAACAGGGTCCATAAGATATCTTGGTGCAGTCATTGATGAAAAATTAACATACAAGGGACATATTATAGCACTCTCAGCTAAAACCAGGAAACTAATTTATGTAGTTAAAGAAATTAGGGATGTTGCCAGTATCAATCTAATCAAAACTATCTACACCTCATTCTGCCAATCCATCTTAACGTATTGCATTGGCTTATGGGGTGGAACAACAACATCGCACCTGTTACCTCTAGAGAGAGCGCAGAGATCAATCCTTAAAGTCATGTTAAAAGAACCCATTAGATTCCCAACAACAGACCTATACCGAGAGGCTAGTCTATGGAGCATACGGGGGCTCTACATACTACATGCAATTATATCAGCTCATAAGCTGGTTCTAAACTCGCCCAACTACAAAAACATCTTGAAGCGAAGAATTTTTAAAGTCACCACTAACAAAAGTAACACACCGTTTGCTAAACGATCACAAAAATACATGTTTCCGTACTTAGACAACAAAATTGGAGATAAGTACAAATTAAAACATAACATGACCCGTGAAGCCCAGATTAAAGTAAAACAAATTATCAGTGGACTGAACTATCACCAAATGGAGGAACTATTTGGAATAGTTACTTGAAGAAGAAAACTAAAAGTGACACCTAATTATAACCTAAACCCTATCACGTGAAAATCAACAGTAAATTTAAAACAATCACAAAGCGCACGACACTATCACATAACACACTCATATACACAAACTACACTTACTCGCATTTTCGAAAATTTGTTAAATCATAAATCATCATCAAAAACATAAATCGCCTTTGTTCGAAAGCCGCGATACAGCCTTCGCCTAGTGCAGCTTTCACTGATATTATAATGACATGTATCTGGACTGCTAATAAATATGCTATAAATATTATTATTATTATTTATGTGTTTCTATGTTATTACACATTGTCAAGTATATTAAATCTATCAAAATATTAAGCCACTCTTAATGCAAAAGTATGCCCTATTTTTGCTAGTTTTACTTTTAAGTAAGATGTTAGCAATATTATTTAGAATGTACGAGGGGTGATCAATAAGTAATGATAATCAATATGAAACAGAACTATTAGATTAAAAAAAGTATTTTATTTTTCAACATAGTCTCCTTGCAAGTTAATACATTTAGTGTATCTTTTTTCTAAGCCCATGATTCCCTTAGAAAAAAATTCTTTGTCTTGACCCTCCCAAAATGCCTCTACTGCGGCCATCACTTCACTATTGTCCTCAAATTTGTTGCCCCGGAGGTGTTTTTTGAGCCGAGGAAAGAGGTAGAAGTCACTGGGAGCTAGATCTGGCGAATAGGGAGGGTGTTCGAGCAGTTCGAACCCCGTTTCTTCAATGGCAGCCATCGCAACTGCGGCTTTGTGAGCCGGGGCGTTGTCTTGGTGAAACAGCACTCCAGCGCGCAGTTTACCGCGTCTTTTTGACTTAATAGCTTCTCGCAATCTTCTTATTTGGCCTGCATAGTAAGAGCCTGTTATAGTGGCCCCCTTTGCCAAATATTCCACCATAATAATTCCTTCTGCATCCCAGAAAACAGACGCCATAACCTTTCCCGCTGAACTTGACACTTTGAATTTCTTCGGCGTTGGTGAGGAAGCTCGTTTCCAAGTCATTGATTGTTGTTTGGTTTCGGGATCAAAGTGATGGATCCAGGTCTCGTCCATGGTCACAAAACGCGACAAAAAAAATTCTTTATCGGCCTGGAACTTTTGAAGATTCACCCTCGAAATGTCGACTCGTTTCTTTTTTTGCTCGTCGGTTAACATTCTCGGTACCCAACGCGCAGAGACCTTTTTCATATGCATTTTGTTGACAATGATTTTTTGAACGCTGCCATAGGAGATCCCTGTGACCTCAGCTACATGCCTTACGGTCACCCTTCGATCGGCCAACACGATATCTTCCACTTTTTTGACGTTTTCTCCAGTAAGGGACGTGGAAGGGCGTCCCTCGCGATGTTCATCTTCAGTGGAGGTTCTGCCCAGCTTAAATTGCTTTGCCCAGCGTGCGACTGTGGAATATGGAGGAGCAGACTCCGACAATGTTTCGTCTAAGTCGCTGTGTATGTCTTTGGTAGACATTTTTTTCAGGCAGAGGTACTTGATGACAGCTCTTATTTCATTTTCTCCATTTTGATGTTTTCTCTTCGACAGTTCGTATTCAAATGAATGTATCTCCCGGTAATGGTGTCCTATTTATACATTTTTTTGAAGCTGAAGTAGTGGATATATAAGAAAGCAGAAAAAAAATAATTTGGGTTTTTGTGCGTTGTAGAAATACTCGATTATCATTACTTATTGGTCACCCCTCGTATGATTGTGATCATTTATTAAAATTCTTAATTATAAATCATCTGAATCGTTTTCAGGGTTTAATCGCTATAATCAATATGAAGATCGTGGACCTAAAAGGCGAGAATTTGATGATAGAAGAGATTATCGGGAAAGGTAAGACAACTCTAAAGTGTTTATAGTAATCATCTCTCATTCAAACAAATGTATGTATTCATTTTGTCAATGATGCTAAATTATTGTTTTTATTGATGACCTAATTTCTTCTTGATGCACATTAAATATGCATTAGCTGTGTAGGTAGTTTACCGATGTGTATCCATAACTTAATCCTTTTTTCATATTAATAAAATAATAGTAATATAGTATATATATAATATATTATTTAAGTGTCCATATGACTTGTTGATAGGGCACTCTAGTATTCTGTTTGTCTTTAACAAAGTAGCTAGTGTTAGTAAATGTAACAGGGATCTACCATAAAACCTTTAGTAATGCTGTAAAAGAAAAACTATTAGTTACTTACTTAAAAAGATATTTTACAGACGTGGCCCACCTGATACCAATCGCTTCCGTGAACGCGAGTTTCCTGACAAGAAGGAGAGGTATCACGAAGATGAATTTTCTTCTGAAAGGTATGTATGTGCATAGATTTCTACAGTTGCATTAAATTTAAGGTAAAAACAATATACAGGTGTTGAAATAGTGTAGTCTTTTTGGAAACAAACGTAAAAGTGCAGTCTTTATTTTTCTATACATTTCAAACCTTCTTCTTAACTGAACACATCAGTGTTGTTGCATGAGTGCTTACTAGCCAACTTGGCTGGTAACATTGTGTCTGCGACGTTAAATAACTATATTTATTTTTACAGTGACCACTCTACAGAAAAATGTTATGATCAGAACATGTCGGTGTTGCAAAAATATTTTAATATTTGCACATTAAATGATAATAAACAGTATAGGCACGTATAATTTATTGGAAAATTATTTGCAAACAGATATTATTTTTCTGTCTGGATTATGCAGGGGCTAAAAGAACAAAGACAAGATAAGACTAATGCACTATCCATTATTGTTCAAGTTCTTTATACAACTGTTTGAATGAAAGCAGATGATTGCACACCAACTGAATGGTAACTTGGTAATTAGGAAGTTTTATTTGAGTTTTTTTGGCGTTAGATGAGTTAAGATAAAATCCCAACTAGAAAACTTGAAAATTACGAAGTTGAGACAAATGTTGAAGCTGACAAGATAATTAATGGCAAAGATTGAGAAAATCGAAAATGTACTACTATTATTTATTATTTTAAAGTTAAAATACAAGATCACTTGACATCAAAGAACTTCTACATAAGGGTTTACTTGAGTTTGAGAAGAAACTGAACTAATGGAATGGAAATGGAAACAAGCTGTATCCAGACATTTTGACACACTGTGGTTATTTTATTATACCTATGTATGTATTCAATGTATATTTAAATTTGAAGTATTAATGTAATTAGGTTCCAAGATAATTTTAGATTGGGACTTCACACAGCAATATATAAAGCTGTTTTGGTAAGGAAACATTGAATGAAGATTTTTTGGTATTTCCTGCTACCTGTTATTTCAAACTGATAGATACTTGTGATCACATAATAAGTAGAAAAAATGATGCACTCCTTTTTGAAATTACCAATGAAAATATTATGATTAGACATAAGTTGCATTACAAAGATCTTTTCAAGGCAACTTGTACTCTCAAGACAATTATATTTTCGGAAGAGCAAGTTTAACTACCTTGTTTCTACGTCTACGTTTTATGTAAGAACGTCGAATTATTATGAATCGAAAAGGATTGAGGAACAATGTATTATATTCTGTAGTGATTAGAACATAACTGGATGAAACTATTTAACCAGCAAATATCTTCATTGATTGAAAGAAAAATCAGGATCAAAGAGTGATAATCCACAAAGATGATATGATTAGAATAATAAAACCATCTGTTCAGTATAAGACGTGGAGTATACACAGAATTGTGTGCTTGGAAGGAATTGAGATAAGTCATGTGGCTTTTATTGTTTACTCACAGGCTGGTTATAGATAGATTCGTCTACACTAGCCTAAAAGTACTGAGAATGACTGAACATAGTAGGTATGTTCGTGAAATCATCATTCTAATTCCAAAGTAATGGTAAGTGTATGATTTATAGGAGTGACAAAATAATCTTCGCGTTGAAGATAACCTTAACGAATATATTGTTGCGATCAAACATTTTTATCTATGATAGTACGACTCTTACATTGGATTTTTTATTTGTGTCGATAGACTCCAGAGGAACTCGTTTAAGATAAAAATGATTAATTATTTGTGTTCATGTGTTGGGAAACTTTTAAATTTTATTCGCGTCGACCATAATAAAAAGACTTTTGAAAGAGATCTACTTCAGGTAACACTTCATCACATTTATATACAATATATTTCTTATTCGTTGTATTTTATTTTGTTTAAGCTTTTTCAACATTTAATGGTGGACCCAGTTTTGCAATGATTTATCTGTGTAAAACATCATAGACATGAAACTGTTTGAGGTTTTTTCAATCATGTTATTTATCGGTTACAGAGGTCGGGATGTTCGGCGGGAGAAGATTATGAGCAATGCTGGTAGAGTCGAGAAACCACAAGCATCACACAATAGGTCAGATCAAAATAATATGTGGATTTTGCATATATAATACTGGTTACAGATATAATGTTTTACTTGTTAATGTGTATTTCGGGGTTGCTACATTAGTTGCAGGCATAACGGAATTACATCAATCAATATCAATCTTTGCTGAATATTTATATCACTTATGGAATTTATTATTTATTCCTTTTTTCTATAAATATGTTGTAATAAGCAGGATTGTGTCGTTTTTATATTTATAATGCCTCGTGTGTAACAAACTTGGCTCACAAATTTGTGACTAATTCCAAATTCTAAATAAATAATATATATATATTCCTAGTCTAAATTTTTATGTTAGTGTTGCCATAACTTTTTTATCTGCGTGTTATTTATCATTTAATTAACCAGTTTTAATAACAATACTTACTTCTTTTATAGGGAAAGATCAAGATCTCGAAGTCTAGAAGAGCACTATAAAGAGAGGAGTCGTAGACCCGAAGCAAAGGAAGAGCGATATAAAGAGGGTCGAAGTGATGACAGGAGGGACAACAATCCAAGGGAGGATAGGAACGCGGACCGCGAAAAACCTCCCATCAAAGCGGAGTCCAGGCAACGAGAACGGAAGAGTCGGTTAGTCAATACATGCTTTACCTTTATTATTTACCGGCCGGGGACGGTCGCTAATCCTCGCTAACTTTGTAAGGGTGAAATGATTTACAATGTTATTAAATAAGATGTTTTGTTGTCAATAAAATCAAAAAATTTTTTAGTCCTGTCAAGTACTACGTTTTCAGAATACGAAACGTTGTTTGGCAGGACTTATTTTTTTTTTATTGACAACTAAACATTTTTTAGTTAAGTTAGTTTTCGAACAACAGGATTAGCAAGAGTGTCGAAGTTTTATGCTGCAGTTATTACAGAATATTATACTCAACGACTCAAAGTGCATACGTTAGGAACTCACTTCAGAAAACGATTAGGTGTTATCGACTTCTCTGTTCCGATCTAATTCGAATTCGAATATTCTATTTCATCATCTTACAAAAGTTTTTTCGCAAAGAAAGATTATTTTAATTAATTTAATTGCATTGTAGTGAAAAAATATTAAAAAAATCGGCTACTTTTTTAGAATCTATGTGTAAAACAATTTTTGTTTGGGAAAGGCTAGGAAAAAAGATATTTATTAGTTTTTTTTGCATTTTTTTTCATTCATAAAAAAAGTCTGTTATGAGACAGTTGCATTATGTTTCCTTTATTTTATCAATTTGTCTATGGCTATCGACTTTTCAAATTGGTTTTTGTATTGTGTTACATAATTATTTCATAATTATAACTTTGTGTGCCATTTAAAAAAAAAGATAATAAAGAATTATTATAGTCCACTAGCTGTAGAACTTTTGTAGGTATATTTTTATGTCACTTAATGTACGAGGGCGGGTCAATAAGTCCGTGACTTTTGGAATAAAACACAGATTTTTTGATAAATAAATCATTTTATTTTTCAACGTAGTCTCCCTTGAGCTCTATACACTTTGTCCAACGCTTCTCCAATTTTTTTATCCCTTCCAAAAAATATGATTTGTCGAGGTCCTCAAAATAGGCCTTTGTTCGCGAGATGACATCATCATTGGAGTCAAATCTTTTTCCACCAAGCCATTTCTTCAGGTTTGGGAACAAGAAGTAGTCACTCGGAACCAAATCTGGAGAATAGGGCGGATGAGGGAGCAATTCATAGCCCAATTCATGGATTTTTTGCTATGGCAACTGCACATGTGTGCACCCTTGCATTGTCTTGGTGGAAAAGAACTTTTTTCTTGGCCAAATGTGGTCGGTTTTTTTTCAAATCGTCATTGAATCGGTCCAATAAGTTGGCATAATATTCCCCATTGATTGTTCTTCCCTTTTGAAGGTAGTCAATGTGGATTATCCCGCGTGCATCCCAAAAGACAGTCGCCATAACTTTATTGGCTGACAAACCCACCTTGGCCTTCTTTGGCGCCGATTCACCCTTAGAAACCCACTGTTTTGACTGTTGTTTGGTCTCTGGTGTGTTGTGATGGATCCATGTTTCGTCCACGGTTACAAAACGGCGCAAAACTCCTCCATATTGCGATTAAACAACGCCAAACTTTCCTGTGAAGTTGTTACACGATTGCGTTTGTGGTCGACTGTGAGCAATCGCGGCACCCATCTTGCGGAAAGCTTTCTCATGCCCAAGTGATCATTCAAAATCTAAACCACTGAGCCATGCGAGATCCCTACGGCTTCCACAATCTCTTGCACTTTCAATCTTCGGTCGGCCAACACCATATCGTGAATTTTTTCGATTGTTTCGGGTGAAGAGACCTCAACTGGGCGTCCAGGACGTTCGGCATCTTCAGTGCTTGTACGGCCACAACGAAATTCAGTAAACCACTTTTTTACCATTGAAATCGATGGTGCAGGGTCCCCATAGTATTTATCAAGCTTAGCCTTGGTCTCGGTAATGGTTTTTTTTTTGCAAAAAATAATGCTTAATAAGCACACGAAATTCACTATTTTCCATTTTTTCCTCAAATTACTGGGTAGTCTGATAAAGATAGCTGTCAAACACAAACTAACTGACGCAGCAAGTTCAAATTTTGACAGGAGTCAACTGACAGATGCCTGTTGACAGGAGTAGTGTTGCTTTTTCAGTAAAGAGGTCAGAAATTCAAAAAGTCACGGACTTATTGACCCGCCCTCGTATCTGATGCATGAAGTAATCATCATATACTTATGTACATCTACATATATAATATTCAATAAGTATATTCCTTTTTCTAAATTAAATTTCATTTAAAATTCCTTAAGTAAATTCTAAACCTAATCTAAATATAAATTCGCGGCGGCCATTCGCCGCCTGTCGAGTCATACTTTTAGTTTTTATATATAAACACAGAGTGCAGACGTCTGTCAAGTGTTGTCAAAAAGCCCGCTTTTTTCAGCTTTCAGTTGCCACTTTTTTTTACTACTTTTACTACTGTTTGTTGTCTTATATTCCATTACAGGATTACAGATTACAGGATTGCAGAGCATACATAGGTCTTTTTTGATTCAGTACTTAGAATTATAAAACTATTATCTGATTACCATATTACTATTAAGTGACTACGATATTACGACACTTTATTGGACAGTATTTAAACTACTTGAAATAAATGGCTGTAAAATGGTAACACTAAACTGATAAAGGCAATTAAATTAATCAAATACGCATATAATATTGTTCTTTCTTTTCCTGGGGTTTCACTGACTAAGACGATACTTTCAAAAAACATACTAGAATTAGTTTCCTATGAATGATATTTTAAGACGCTCAAATCATACTCAACTACGAATTCGCCATTGTCCTTTTTATGATGAATTTCGCGAAAAAATAGAATACACAATATTTCGAAATTGATGTAAAATTACAGTCGCAATTAAATTGTACAATTTGGTTGCACTCTTACAAAGCAAGTATGATTTTTTCCTCTTGACCTTTGGTGTGTTCACAGGTTTGCAGATGCAGAGGATAGTAAAGAGTACAGCTGGGGTAAGACTGAAGTGAAAAAAGAAGGTGGGAAAGAGCCAGCAGATAAAGAAAAGCCTAATTTTGGACTATCTGGTAAACTGACGGCCGATGCCAATACTGTTAATGGTGTGGTGATTAAATATACAGAACCTGAAGACGCTAAACAGCCTAAGAGGAGATGGAGGTAAATAATATTAACTCTCAAAAATCATTTTTATTTCAATGCAAACTTAATGGCAGATGCAAAGTAAGCAGGTATCTAGAGTCAAGTCGACTCGACTGTACGTAGACAGGAATATGCGCGCGTGCGCAGTGTACGGATGTAACTAAAAGGCATGCGTGTCGTGTGTCGCCCTGCCCCCGCGCATTATTATTGTGTTCTGCACATCGAAACGAAAGATGTGCCGAGCAGCCATTAAGTTGGATAGGACAATGCCTATTTTGATTTTATATCTGTATTTGATGTCGACGATCTCGATTGACCTTAACGTTAGGTACTTTTATCAAGTTAGATCAGTGTAACACAATACCTCGTATCCATAATTAGTACTACCCCGGTTATAGCCCTTCAACCAACTTTTACTAACTTTTAAACTGAGCTATTCAACAAACTAAATACATCTTTTGTTCATTTCAGATTCTACCCGTTCAAAGGCGACAAAGCATTGCCAATTCTATACATTCATCGACAATCGGCGTTCTTGATCGGACGCGATAAGAAAGTGGTTGATATTATGCTTGAACACCCATCAATAAGTAAACAGCATGCGGCGTTACAGTATCGAGCTACACCGTTTACTAGACCCGATGGCTCACAGGGAAGGCGAGTTCGACCTTATGTTATTGATCTCGGTAAGTACAACTTAGTAATTTTAAAAATCTGACTTTCCAGGAGGGAGGTCGATAAAAGCCGGCAAAAAGAGGATTATAGTTGTTCCGTTATGTTTTGGCAAACTATCAAGGTTAGATGTAGTAGTAATAACAATACTAAATGAAACAAAACTACCTAGCTACTAGTGGAAGGAAAGATGTATTTACACAATTTTGAAAAGTGAATGATAGTGTTACGTGTTACGGTTCATTATATATACTAATATTATAAAGAGATAAAGTTTGTAAATTTGTATATATGGAATAATCTCCGGTACTACTGATCCGATTTTGAAAACTTCCGATTCGATTTTTTTCACTGTTAGAATGGTACATTATTGCTGAGTACTATAGACTACTTTTTACCGCGATAACCGACATACGCGCTTGCGGAGCCGCGGGTAAAAGCTACTTTGGAATAAAGTCTCTTCTTGTGAAGTCTTGAGAGATTTTATTTATCAACACACTTAAAGAAATCCAATCAACATTTAAAGGGTAGTCCAAATGATCGCTCTGTAGGCGAAACTGAACTGTCTTATCAGCGAAGGCGTACCCTTATTTAAACTCACTATGCCGAGACATATCTCAAATTTAATCATAATTTATTCACGTTTGTTTCTCAACATATTGTATTAAAATAAGAACAACAAATTAACAGTTGATGGTATTGTTCACAGATTCAGCAAACGGCACATTTGTAAACAATAAAAAGATTGATCCACGTCGATACGTAGAGTTACTGGAACGCGACGTAGTCAAGTTTGGCTTTTCTCAGCGCGAGTACGTGCTGCTCCACGAGAACAGCAAGGACGACGCCCAGGACGACGACAACCAGGAGCACGCCGTCGGGGCCAACGTCGCCACCACAGACCAAATAAAACGAGAGAAACGAGCCAAGGCGGAAATCGTAGAAGACGGAGACTAAAATTTTATCATAAAATTGGTTTACTTAAGTATTTAGTTATTTTTTTAGTTATCTAATCAATTAGTTAATTTTTTCTATCGAAAAATGATCTAAGTCATGCCAGAATAGAAAAATCCAACATACCATAGGATGGTATATATTTTTGTTTTTAACGAAAACTTTTATTGTTGTCCACCGCCATTACCTGTTGCATCGATCCACGCTGGATCTAATAAACGATTCGGTAGAACTGAACGACATTTTTTTGTTCAATATAAATATATAAAATACTGAATGTCATAATTAAATTGTGTAATTTTAACGTTTAATGCATCCTTTTACGATGCCACGTGGTCACAGTGCTAACTAATAGGTTCAAAAACTTCTTCTCTAACTTATCGTCGCCACCCCTTAAGCGCAACACACACATAAAGCGGGTGTGGGTCAGGACGGGAGTGCGGCAGGTCTAATTTCTTGTATTTATATAAAAGACAACACACTGAAAAAGTGCACGGGTCGTCCCGACCAGCACCCGCTTTATGTGTGTGTTACGCTTTAATTCGCCTGAACATTGACACTTTCACTATGCGGTGACAGATTAAGAATACAGAGTGTCATCACCATTATTCATCCCGTGTGTGTCGTGAGCCGACTAAGGGAGCAAACTACGCAGGACAACAGCACTGGAAAGAGAAGGAAAACTTGACACAAACCCTATACCAACCCATCTGGGCAGCATGGTATAGTAGGCCAAAAACTCCTTCCTAAGCAGAGGCATATGTCCAGCAGTGGACTATTTAAAGCTGTTAATGTGATGGTCCTTAAAATGTTGATATAAATGAAAAGTATTTGGTATTTAACAGATTTATGCGCGGCCAGTCCAAAACATATCTTGGAAATTATGTGGAATTAGGCGAAGATAGATTACGTGCACAGGCGATGTTACGGGCCTCGACTGTACTTATTTTACATTAAATATTATAAAAGGTTAGTTGGCTATCCATTTTATTTTATGTTATTTTGGGACCGTGGCTCACTATGCGAGCCGATGAAAAGTTTTGTGTTTATTGGTGCAATTGACAAAACCTTATAGTTACAAATCATAGCAAACGGGTAATTTTTTCCTTTAAGTTAAGGACTTTAATATAAATTACCTACATAGTCCATCATGTTTTACAAGGAATTTGACGGTAACAAAACACTGTTATTTTTAGGCATGCTAAGTGATAAATATAATTAAGGTATTGGGCTAATTCATTGAATAATAAACATGAATTAGCCAGTAAATTTATAGTAGCACATATTACGTATATCAAATAAAACATAAGTAATTCGATTTCATCGTTTCATTTTATACCTAATTTCTTTTAAAATAATATTACTGTATCAGCTTTGAGCTATTATTGTCCTAAAGTACGCGGTTCTTAAATCTTAAGTCTCGTATAAAACGTCGAGCTTTATTATAATAATACTAAAATATTGGTAGCAGTTTAGTGTTCCGTAGTTTCACCAAGAGAAAAAGAAAGAAGTTCTAGTTTTTGGTAAAGTCAAGTTTTCCTTCCAGATTTTCAAGCCGACAGTTTAGCATTTTTTCGTTTCGTTTAGACGAGAAGTCATGCGCTTTTCTTGTCTTGTCCTTATCCTTCGCTTTCTTTTCTTCCTTTTTGTTTGTTTTGGTTAGTAATGATTCCATAATTAAACCCACGAGTGGGGGAAAAATGAGTCGACCCGAGCAGAGATCCCCCAATACCCGGGCAAGTACCTCGGCTGGAAGAGCGCTTGCGACTGAACTACCCTTTAGAGTCGTCCACAACCCAACCACGACACTCCTTTCGGGATTACGATGTGCCAACGGGTTCAAGGAGACACAGTCCCGTAGCTTGCTCAGTGGCAGTGTTAGTGCTCACCGGACCCGTCGTCGTTCCTCCACTTTGGACAGTGGAGCAACTATAGGTGACCCAAGAAGGGCCCCATCGAGTATCCTTAGTCTGGAGTCTCCCTCTGAGCCAATCCGGAATGAGTGACTCTACCGGCATAGCGTGAGGATACAGTTGGTGGGGTTTTTGAGCGACCCCGCCCGAACAAAACCGATGCCAATCGATACCTACTCGGCGATACGTTACCGACAGCTACAGTCTTCATTTCGCCAGCGATACGACTGCGACCCGATACGACGCTACAAATATAATAAAAAATAAAATATAAAGTTATTCTATAATTCGAACCCACAGAAAGGAAGCTGTATTCATTACCTATAATAAGTAAAATCATATAAAGAGTAAAATGTGCACTTAGTCGCTAGCGGATAGACTGCTGCGCTCCCTTTTATCTATACTCATATTATAAAGCTGAAGAGTTTGTTTGTTTGTACTACTACTACTACTGGTCTGATTTGAAAAAAACTTTCAGTGTTAGATAGCCCATTTATCGAGGAAGGCTATAGGCTATATATCATCACGCTAAGACCAATAGGAGCGGAGCACCAATGAAAGAATGTTTCAAAAACGGAGAAAATTTATTACTATTGAGAGACGCAGACGAAGTTGCGCGGGTCAGCTAGTTTAAGATATGTAAAAAAGAGATAGATGCGCGTGTACAAATGAGCTACTTAGAGCGAGTTGCCCGTGACGTAAGATAAAGTCAGTAACAGTTAATAGTGGAATATATTATGAATAGTTAGTATTAGGAACTTCTTTCTTCTTTTTTTTCTATTCTGAGGTGTAGCTAGATAACCAAAGGCCGTATTGCAAAAAAACTGGAGTCCTACTCTCATTTACTCAATTGTGAATGGAATCCAAACCATACTTTTTACAAAATGAAATTAAAACTGTGATTTTTCATACCTAAGCCTGTGTAAAATGTTCAAAGTTCTATATATTTTTACTGGTTCACTATAGATTTACAAAAATTTAACGAGGTCATTATCTTATAATTATTTACTAATATGCTAAAGCAAAAAAAAAACGGTAACTGAACGGCAGCACTACCTAAAAGTCGTGTTACGCTTGTTTCTACTTATTTCATTTACATTCCAAAGATGGGGAGATTTTTTAGCTAATTTAATACGAGGTTAGCTGGTCAGGGTCCGAGGCCTCCCTAAGCTTGGGGGCACAGCACCGCCTAGCCCTTCGGTAGCAACGCCACTGTTTATATTTCTTCTTATAAATATATATGTATACGAGTAAAGACAACATAAACAGAAGAAGTCTTTGGCTAAGTTTAAAATTATATGTTTAGTGTGTTTAATAAACTCCGAACGCAAAAAAATATGGTAAATAAAATAATCTAGCAATTTAACATTCAGTTTTTAGGTTATAATGATAACTTTTTTGAACTTCAAATTCTTTATTACAATAATTATAAAATCCAATAAATGCTTACAACCGTTTTAGGTGTACAAAGTAGACCCTCCCTTCCAAACTAGGTATTCCTGTAACTCGGAAGACAGTGTTCCACCGATGGCTCGTTCACAGTATTCCAGTATAGTGTGACTGTGGAGTATGTGTGTAGGAGGGATCGGTGTTGTGCGATAATAATGTGTCGGAATCTATTTTTTTTCACATAAACATGGACTTAGTTGTGTTTTTATTGTGTGAGTAAGCAATGCTTTGGTCTGCCGTAGACCTGTTCTCACTCGCACTCACGTTATCAGATACTAGCAAGCGTCTCAAATCGTACATGTAAATAAATAGTAGGCAGAAGCATGAAACACGAGCCTCCACCCATTCACTGTTGTCGTACATAGACTTATCACTTATTTTACATACACTGTGGCGGTATAGATATCACAAAAAATGAAATAACAGATAACACGGTTCAATATACGTCGGTTAAAATAAAAAAATAAAAAATTAGTACGAAAATACAGAAATGCAAATTTAGAACAAACTAAATACAATAAAATAATTTCCGAATTAGAACACCATTGATAACATGAGTCGGTGAACTGTACCTACACGGCAGCGTCGCAATGTCGGCGACATCAAAACGACGCCGCCGCCGGCGCCCGCCGCCGCCGCCTTTCTTTACATTCTTATTACCTACCTACCAATCACTTCACTTGCTTTTAAAAATCTATTTATAAAGAATGCGATTTTATTCACGTGTTTATTTCGTGAATGCTCGACTAGCTTCCGACCCAGCAGTACGCGTCACTCCTTGAAAAAGTAGTTACCTTGGTTGTCTCGTAATCTTTGTACCGCCCTTACAAAAATTCGGCAGTCTGTAGGACATACACGATTGACTCCATACGTGTCCGTAAAGCAAAAGATGCGTTTTGATAGAGTTTTCCATAAATTAACATCATAGCAGGATATTCCGCGGCTGTGAAGGTCACTCACGGCATTATGGATGTTGATATCGATAACCCAATAAAATTAAAAGACTGATAATGCACTCAGTTTCACACTACACTACACACAGAACCTAATAGTGACTTTTCAAAATAAAATTAGCAGGACTCCTTACATTACGAAGTCTTGCGCACACGATAACATTAATTGTTCACACCATTGCCGTGTATTATGACGAAAGCAATAAGACTAAACAATTATTACCACAAGAAAACTTCTCTAAACAAATATGTATCTCATAAACAACAACAATATTATTATTACGGTTATTTGTCGTGAGCGCATCTACAAGGATACGGAATAGCATAAGCTCGCCGGTGGCCAAGGGCCGACTGACTGTCCTTACTGGATGAACTAATTAAAAACGCGTGTTGCATCGTGATGACGTAATAATCAACATTTTCGTTCGATTCGGGTGTAGTAAAAGCGGCAACGTGTGATTACCGCGCCGCGCCTACAGCTGATCGCCGCCTGAGGTCAATGTATTATGACTGCATGTACACATGATGTTGCAATTTACGAAACACAAAAATGAGTCCTGTGGCTAAACTACTGGATATATTTTGTTCATATTTTGCAAATCGCCTAGAAATTAAGGGTAGAATATGTGGCTTAAGTATTTGTGAAAGGAAATGAAACTCTCTGTATAAATGTAATGGGGCCTGTCCTCTCGCTCACGGAGTACAGTAATACCTCTCGCTCTCCAGGATAAACTGCTGTTGGTTTTTAATATTCTTTTCGTTCTCATTTCTCTACAACATGGCGAATCTATGTCATTCCTTAATATCTTATTCTTTTTGTCAATCCAACTTAAACAACGAGGCATATTGAACTGCTATCTTGCTAAAGTGCGGTAAAGTGTTCTCGTAAATAATTCAATAAAAAAGACATGTCATCATATGGTAATATATTTACTTAACTTGATTGTAATAAATGCGTAATGTTTTCCCCACAGCGGTTGTTTCTAATTTATTAATGGCTGTAATAGAAACACAATAGCTTATACTAATATATACAACGAGATTCAAATTTATTTACAAGTGCTATCTAGTGAAAATAAATAATATTTCTTTTATTTACTTAAATCTACAACATTCTCATTCGGTGGACAATTTATACATTGCATTATTTTAACTAATATCACAGCTTAAAATGGAGTCTTGAATAAGTGTTTATCGAAGTCAAAATCGATACGTGGTTGGTGTCTTGACGAGGACGCACAAGGTTCCTGTGACGTCATTTCTTCACACAGCGAGGCTCTTTTGAAGATACCGTTCCGTAGAGGAATAATTGTGGCGTTTGGAGGCCGCGTGTGAGTTCTTAAGGAATGTGTTCTATATAAAGGGGGTTTGATCAGTCTATTAGGTGCGACACCAACAATGCTGTGTCTCGAGAATGGGGCCATATATGTAAGTGGGGCTCTCGGTATCTCGTAACCGTCGCAGACAGTACCTGACGCCGAATCACTGTCATACATAAGCTCCAAATACTTTGGCACCCGTTCAGGGAGTAACCTCGACGGTTCCATTTGATGCTCAGGGAATTCTTCATCTGTAGAATATTATTATTGTATTAAAACAATTATTAGGTAGATGCATGGAGACCAAAAAGGATAGCAAGATATAGTAACAAACCTAAGCAGGCGTTGTCATTTTCGTCCAATAGGTAGGTGCGGTTGTCGACAGCATCTGAACATGCAGCCATGCGCAATGCTTTGGTTAGTTTGTGTTCTATTAAATAAATTTAAGGAATTTCAATCTAATGCAATAACATAAAAAGTTAACGAAAATAAAATGTCGACATGCGAGTAGTTCAAGTTATACATTTTCTGTTTGACCTAAAACATTAATCTGCGTTGGTAAATACTTAATCATTTTACAAATAAAAGTAAATAAAATGTATCTGACTAATTATTTAGTGCTAATCTCTTTCTGTCATTATGTCTCCTTCTTTCTTTCTGTTCTTCAAAAGAAAGTCAGTTAATAGAAAGAAATAAAAAATATAGATAATAATTTACAAGTTATTTCATAAGCGAAAGAACACCCTGATTAGTGCAAGGTATTAAGTAGTTCCTTTTTTTTTAAATTCAGATATCGGGGTATATTCAGTTATAAAAGTTAGTACGTAATTACTTTAAGTTTTTATTTGCACCATTTAGCGTGTTAACCAACAATTGACGAGCATTAACGCCATGGTTTGGTATGAATTTACATTCCGAAATCGTGGCACTTTGGTATATACGGCATGAAATATTAAGAAATATTTGGTAATAATTCATGCAATCTGAAGTAGTTCCCAATAAGTAGTAAGAGATATATCTTACCATCACCCAGTAGCGTAAGGTAATGCGGCGCGGGTGTGGGCGTCGCTGTAAGCGTGATATTCGGTGATGTCTTATCTCTCAAGGTAGTTACAACCTCTAGACAGTGTCGAAACGATGGACGCGTCTCAGCTGAATAGCTCCAGCATTTCTGGAGAAGGTCGTAGCTGAAACAAAGATGTTAATAACGTTTAATACGAAATAAATACTAACCTATGGACTCGTCTATAGGTGACTCGATTGATTATATTAGTTGGGGGTCCTGGGACTCATTCCATTATACCCAACTAATATAATCAATCGAGTTAGCTTGTTCTTGGCAATAGCAGAATCATACTAACTTTTCAGTTATCGCGTTCCATAATATATAAGTTTGTATTACCGGAATTTATGGGACCACCATAGGTATGAAGTACATTCTTTCGAATTGCCAGTCAGTCCATGATCACGTCAAAACGTCAGGCAATTCGTGAGTGCGTTAATTCCAGCAATACATAACTATACATTAGAATCTGTGCTTTACATAGACTATCCTCCATAGTAAACAAAAAAGCACTTCTTACTGCTTATTACGGTATAGTGGAATCGCGCTTACGCTACGGCGTTATATTCTGGGGAAATTCGACTGATAAAGATGCAGCATTTAAGGCTCAAAAGAGATGCCTCCGATCAATGTTCAAACTTAAAACTACTGACAGTTGCAAACCATATTTCAAGCAGTATAATATTTTGACATTACCCTGTATTTATATTTTAGAAGTAGATATATTTGTTAAGCGGAACCCGAGTCGTTTTGAACGCCTGGCTGATGTGATTCAAAGAAACAAGCGCGACAACAGAAAGTTCCGTCACCAAAGTTGTCAAACCACGTTAATGCGTAAAAGTGTCTATTGTATGGCACCACTAATCTTTAATAAACTGCCGGGCGGGTGGAAAGATTTGGAAACAGATGTATTTAAGAGTAAACTACGTAAATTTCCTTTTACCTGACATTAATTGATTATTTTGACTATAGTTTGACTTTGAATGTTGACATTGTATGTATCACAATCTTATTATATTGTTTATTGTTATTCTTATGTACAAATTGAAAATTTGCTCACCCATAGTGGTAAAGCACAGTGAACCTGTTGTGAATGAATACCATGTAATTAATACCTGTGTTATGCAAATAAACAATCTGAATCTGAATCATGCATTAATTCCTCAGTCTTACGATACGTACCTATACCATTTCAGTATAAATAATAACAATTGGTAGGTACTTACAATACGGAGGGGCAATTCGGCGGTCTGTCCGGTGTGCCTCCTGCTCGGACATATGCCAGCACTTGGCGGTTAGTGCGTGCAGGGTATGGCTGTTGGCCCAAGGATAATACCTAAAATATAATACAGGTGCTTTGAGTAACTTTGGTTGTTTTTAGATAATATTAATAAAAATTACTGGTGTTTAACAAGTAACTTACCTCCCAGCATAATACACCCCAAGCCCATACATCGGATTGGCAAGAGAATACCCCATCTACAAGACATTCCACCGCCATCCATCTTACAGGCAGCAAACCTGTAAGTTTAATTTTTTACTTTACGTTTTAATTTCTTCCTGTACATATTTTATTTATGCTTTGTTACTCATCTATAATACGAGTATTGGATTCCATTTGATGATTGTTAATAAGCTTTATTCTTAATCTTTTCGTTTCGTTTCTTTTCGTGACTTCGTCTATTGTATTGCACTTTCAGTGGATGTAAGTTAATTTTACATACTTGATAGAAAGTATTTTTTTTTAACAAATGTCGTATGTCATTGTTGCCAACGCGATTTGAATAAAAAAAAATACTACACTTACTCGTAATAAGATGATTTTTTAACCATTATCACAAACAATAATTATTGTTTAAATTACAATCAGTGTTTAAATTATAATTTAATACAATAACCTCACACATCACATATGGGAAAATTATTTTTGTACTCATCCATGGTAACTTCTGAGTAGATTTAAATTTGTGAACTGTTTGCCACTTATTGTTGATATTGAAACCTATGTTTTTTTTCTAAAATGTTCATACCTTCTCCTTCTTTTCTGTAGTAATCATTTTTGTAAATATCCCTTGCAAGTCCAAAATCTCCTATTTTGACGACACGTCCATTCGATCGATGAGCCACTAGGCAGTTTCGACAAGCCAAGTCGCGGTGAACAAAATGCATCTCTTCTAAATAACGGCAACCCTTCGTCACGTCCACGCACATATTAAGAAGATCCAGAAGGGTTAGAGATTCAGGGCTGTACTGTAAGAAGATTTTTTCCAAATTAGTATGACTCTATGAATGGCGTAGTGGTTCGATCCCCACATGGAACAACACTTTGTGTGATTGACATATTACTGTTCTGAGTCTGGGTGTTCTTTGTGTCCTCCGATTTCGTAAAGTCAGTATTTATTCCTAGTCCGGGAGCTGTCTTTTAAAAAGAAAAAGAAAAGTATACACATTTTTCCAAACAAATGAACGAACTGTAGAAGTTCATGTTTTGATGGAATGTGTTCGGAACCAACCACTTAAAGAATAAATAAAAAAAATGCTTAATGATAAGTTGATGGACACTGGAAGATGTAACAGCATCCTGGCCAGTCCCTTGACAGATACAGCTAACGATATTTATACTTTGTATTTTCAATATTTAAGTTAAGTTTAAAACAAAAAATGGCTATGATGGAGCGTCGAAGTCATCATTGTGGCTAAGCGCCGTAAATAAAGATAAAAAAAAACTGTAGAAATTATGTATGTATATGTGCAGTATTCATATATTTGTTTATATCACAGAAATATATCACAATCATAGTATAGAAAAGGTTATAAGTTTTAAAGAGGTCCCTAACCTGTAAGTATATAATCATATTTAGAAATTCAGAGCTGTTGCCGTATTAGAGTCAATCATCCAAAATTTTGTCGGTGTGAGAAGGCTGTACGAAATATTTAACAATGTAAAGAAATGAATATGTGAGACTCTTACCAACGAAGCACGTTTAGCTCTTAAATAGCTGAGTAAGTCGCCTCCTTCCATCAACTCCATGATGATATAGTTAGGATCATTGTCCAAACATACACCCAAAAGACTTAATATATGTTCATGCTTGAAATTTGACATCAAAGCTGCTTCCTTAAGAAATTCAGTTTTTTCTTGTTCAGTAGCGCTCTTTCGTAATGTCTGGTATAGAGGAAAGCAACATTCGTTTTTTATTTAGGTAGTCCACATGTAAGAATTATGTAGAACGTCTATCATACTATTCGTCATCCCACATCTAATAAATTTATGCTTACCTTGACAGCCACCTTTGTATCAGCAGTACTGCCGTTGATCTGCCTGGCAATACCTTCAAATACTTCTCCGAACGCTCCTGATCCAAGAAATTTGGTGAGAGTTATTTGTTCGCGGCGTATATGTGGCAGGCCAGCTAGTTCTGCGTCCGTTGGACAGTGAACACCCTATGAAGATAAATTAATCGAAAAATTCGTAAACTTTTTATTTATTAGTATGTTCTACGATAGCAATGTATGTCACCATGGTTTTGCTACAGTTAGTGATTTTCGATTTAATGTTCTGTGTTAGTGTTTCTGTGTCAATGATGAAAACTTAAATTAAAAACAATCAAAAAACATTATTTACGGCCTATGATTTCTTACAATATTATAATATAATTGTCTTAAAATAATCACCTGGTTGTAAAGTATATTTGTGGAATGTCTCGTGGGTAGTTGCCTAAGCGTCGCCAGCTCCACATCTGGTCCTCTTCTAGGGACGTTCGTTGTTAATTGGTTTGCTATTGCGGCCTTTTTCTTGGCTCGGCTGTTGTATGCTATTGGAATATGACAATCAAATTAATAAAAAAAACGAAATTTATAGCATAATTTCTAATAATAAGGGAGCAGCTCAAACTGTTAAAATTATGCTTAATTAAATTAAGTATACCTACTACTAGCTTTGTTATATTAAAGAAATTTTTCGGTAATGTTCTTGTCAAGGTTTCATGTGAAACTTTTACCATATTTAATTTTCAAATTAAATGAATTTGCATAGGCATATTTACATTTATTAAATAAAATCAGACTAAAATAAATGATAATGCATCGCTAGGATCAAGATATTTAAGTCAGCTTTTGTACATAATGTACCACTTATCATTGATACCTCATCAATCAAATTACTTGTAGGTAATCTACGTAAACAAAATATCGAAAGCTTACAAAATGGAATATTTTATTACCATAGAAAACTGTAGCTACTACACCCAGTAATATTGCTAGTAACGCAAACAAGGCCACTGCTAATGCTACAGCTGGGGGTCTATGGGGGGCAAGAGCGGCTGCGTCCAGTTCGGCGGGCGCCGATAGCGCTCCCCAACCGTTACTGTTGCCTGCCTGCACGCGGGCCACCCACCCAGTGCCTACAGACCCACTGCTTAGGAGCCAGTATGTATCTGCAAGAATATAGACAGGCACTTCAGTAGATTGCAACACCGCGGTTGATAAAAAGATTTAATGAATTTACCTATATAAGTAGTTTGCATGTTAACATAACTACAAATGAGATACTAAAGCGTCAGTTTGTAATTACACTTTTTGGAGAAAAATATCGAGTTTTGCGTACCTTATCGTAAAGTTTAAAAAGTGTGTGTGTCAGCTCCGACACACGACTGAAGTTTACTCCTTAAGAACGATTCGGCTGCACACAACTATACAAGAAAGGTGCGCACGATAGGTTGCGCACAAAAAACGTAACGAGGTCATTCGATCACAAAATTTTACTCTTCATATTTTTCATACCGGGCGCTTTATATGAAAATTGGTTCTTAAGGAGTAAACTACAAAACCAAAAAAAAATACGTCTTTAGGATTTTGTTAAAGTAGCTTTTCGTTTTTATTTACTATACAAAAAAAAACTAACAATAAGAACCACACAATGCAACCTGTAACCCTAAAAGGAACTCTCATAATTTGCCCACGCCACGCATCTTTACTAGAACTAGCGATCCGCCCCGGCTTCGCACGAGCACACTGAAGATACTACTAATAATAAAAATGTGGTATGGGTGTGAACTAACTAATTGTATTTTAATATTTATAGGCCCGCTCCGATCTTGCCTAATGCATATGATTAATAAGTCAAGTTTAATCAACATTAAATGAACAACGTATGTAATGTATTGATTTGATTAAGGAATAACACTGTATTTTTCAAAATAGCTTGGTTACTGTAGTACATTATTTTTAACTATCTCGTAAGGTTTAACCAGCGTTTGCAAAGTAAGCGTACAAAAACATATTTCTCGGATTTCCTCTAATCTACTGTGCATGTTTTATACATATATACCCGCCTCTTTAATCGCTCTCTCTAATTGTGAAAACCGCATTAATATCCGAAATTAAATAATATTTAAGAGATATTTGATATGAGAAACTGTTTTATATATTTACTCGTATGTCATAATAGAAACTAGAATGACAACTCCAAGCAACTTACCAGTTCCATTGTGCAGCAGTTCGAGCCCTTCACGTGCGATACGCATTTTCATATTGTCATCAATATCCGTAGGGAGGTCCGAGGGCAGCAAGTCACTGATGTTTCTCGTCATGTTGTCGTTGCCATGAGCAATTCTGTACAAACAATACCGAATTGAAAAAACTCATGCTTATACTAGACATTAGACTGCCTCGGTGGTGCAGTGGCAGCGTATACGACTGCTGTTCTGAGGTCTCGAGTACGATTAATGGGTCGGACCAAATGTTTCTATGATGTGCAAATATTTGTTTTAGAGTTTGGGTGTTTTCTATGTATAATATGTAGGTATTTATAAAAAAGTAAATAAGTATTCTATCAGTCGCTCTAGCTTTCATAGTACAAGTATTTATCAGAGGCCTTAGTATACATACATTATTTACACTCATGCCTTACATCCAAAGAAATATTGAAGATATATACCATTTACGAGTATATCTTCTTTATCTAAAGGGTGTAAGGGAAATCATGAAAACTGAAATAGTGTATGCAGACCATCATTCTGAGTCGAAAATCATTAGAATTTTCTTTCAGAAAATTAAACTTTTTATGCAATCAGCTGTCAAAGGTTAATTTCATTCCCCGTAGGGATCGCACAAAGGTAATAACTACATGTGTATTCCGGGCAAACAATCTACGCACACTAACCGGGGAAGCCACAGCTGCCACCGCTGGGTCTAGAAACATGAAATTTTACACAAATGTTCCTTAGGTGACGTAGGTGTGCACTAAGCAAGAATTTGAAAAAATGCCTCACCTAAGGGTGCAAAATGGGGGTTTGAATTGAAATTAAACTTCCTAAATTTTGGTCGTTATTTGTTTTTAAACTCACAGTAAATACTCTTTTAAAAAACTTCTTTTAAAAATTTTGTATGTAGAACATTTTTTTAACTAATTGATTCCAAAACTCAGTATAATTTTATTCTCTATCAAAAATAATAATAACGTTGTTCGATCAGTCAGTAAATCAGTCAGTCAGTTATAATATGTCCTCTTTTATACATAAACCTATAATCTTGATGCATTGAATCCTCTACAGTCTACGATGTCTATTCTCGACCACCACGCAGACGAAGTCGCGGGCAAAAGCTCGTTTACCTATAATATACTACCTGTGCTGAGGTCGTCCCCAAACGCGGTACGCCGTAACAGGAGATCCTCTTGGGTCAGGTTCAGTCCACCAAACTCGTAACACTCTGTCCCCAATGCCCTCCACTCGTAAAGGACCCGGAGGACCTGGCACGTCACCTAGCCACCACCAACCAAACGTGAGATAAGTAAAGCTTTTTTAGTATTCAATATTCTTCCGTCATTAGATTTCATAATATTTCATGTGTAATTTAGTAAATTATTTTAGGATTCTAGTTCTCCGAATCTTATGACGTTAGTCTTGCCATACAAATTCTGGGATTCAATTTGTAGCTACTCTTTTACGAAATGGCATTTAATGCCCCAAATGAGAAAAGATCCCTTTACATCTTTAGCAGATTTTTTTTAACAGTTGAAGTGGAACAAATTGAAAAAATTAAGATTATTAAAATCAAATAAAACGTACCGTGAGTTTCAAAAGTGAAGCGGTCGTCATGTGGCCAAAAGTAGGGCGCTCCATGAGTTACATATTGCAATCGCAGACGAAATCGATATCGTGTTTTCGGTCGAAGTTCACCGGCCATCCATTGATCTCGTTCAACGCGGGAGCACGGCCTCCAATGTCCTATCGAAGGGCCCGCTTCTGCGTATTCGACTCGAAACCTATGTGCATACAAACACAAAGAATGAAAACATCGTAGGCTTTAAACTCATATTATTAATAAATTGGCAGTTTGAAGCTAAGGTTGTTCAGTAGTATTTACCTTTCGGTTCATTTACACATTCGTTAAGATTTTGTTCGGTTGATATTCCTTTAGACAGCCTAATTTTTACTGGTGTGCATACTTTAATGCCTGTGAGCTTAGAAATCAAACAAGATTTATGAAAACTTACTGGTGTAGCTGATAAGCTGTAGGAGGTGGCCACAACACGTTGATTTCGTAAGGCGTGACATTCTTTAGACTAAGGGGCGGTGGTGAAGGGTACGTGCGTAGACGTAAGGGAAGAGAATCGGCTACAACTGTACTATGCTTAGAGCACGCACGAACCCACACGTTATATGCCGTATTTGGTGATAAACGAGTTAAGTTTGCGCTGCGTCCTTCAGTGACTCCAAATGTGTTATGTTCTGGAATTGTTAGTTTTGGTTTTAGTACACTAAATCTTAAATAATGTAAGAACTAGTTTGTATTATTTGTCTATACTTTAATGCCTCTCGGTAACACTTATCAGGCTCGTGATAAGAGCAAAGGCGACTGGACGTTACTTTCGACGTGATACCCTTGTCGGGGCCACCAACTATGTAGACTGTATTGACGTTTATTATCAGTCCAAACATTAAGTGAAGTTATTAGGGGAGAATAGCAGAGTTTTACAAAACTTTGAGGACAACAAGGAACTTTTAAAGAAATGTAACGTATGGAAATGTAATGTAATTTAATTGCACCTTTTAATTTATGGGCTGGTGTAGGATCATCTGTGCGCCAGTGCACTTCGTACCAAAGCCCTGGATCTGGCTTCCATTCAACAAGGGCGAGTACTGGACTTAACACCATTCCTGTTACGTCTTTAGGAGCCGTCGGAGCTGAAAAGTGCATATATTCACAACGTCTAGTTATAATTAATTAATTTATCATTTTAAAAGTATTTTCTTTTTAAACAATTTAATTAAAAACTTTTTATTTGTTTGCTTTAGTTTTAAGGGATTTTAAAATCCGTTTGGCAGTTGACGTAACCGTAACTTTTTAAACTGTTATTTCTTTACTTTTTTGTAGGATATTGTTTATACGAAATATAGAGAACGAATTTTGATTCGTTTGTGTACCTAGTCGAAGCTGTGGTTTTGTAGACAGCTTTGCTTAAAATACAGATAACAGCCATTTTATCATCATTTATCCATCAGACTAGTTCTATGTAATATTTCTAGAATCCCATTTAGTTATTTTTTTTTTAATCAAAGAATATTATGAAAAATGAGGTTTTAAAACTGTATTTGTCAATAAAATTTCTTTAAATAATATTAGTAAAATCTCAAAGTGGTTTAGGCGCCTAATGTCTAATTTACAAAATGTTCATCGGTCGTAAAGTGTCCAGTTCGCAGAATATCCGATTTGCAGGATGTCCAGTTCTCAGAATGTCCAGTTCGCAGAAAGTCAAGTTAGCAGAACGTCCAGTTTCAATTAGCAGTGTCCAATATTCATCATAACGTTGTCACGTTGGGTTTTGATGAGTTGTCAAGTTATTCGTTAAAATCATAATGAGCTTTAGTTTTGCCATATTGCGTGTCACCTTAAACAAATACAAAAAAAAAACCACCCTAATCAATACAAACTCGTTTACACTAAACATGTACAGTTCGTTTCTGGTTCGTTGTTGGTCGCAGTACAAACCTAACCTATCGTTTCAGTTTCTGTAAGCTAGTGGAACTTTTCATTTAACTACAACAATGCAAGCAGTTCTGCTTCCGCTGTACATTTTGCGAATTGGACATTCTGCGCCTAAACCCTTAAAGTAAAACCTACCTTCTGCAGCTGTTTGCAAGGTCCATGGAACACCGACAATTGGGTTAACTTCATGTAACTTTGCATAATAGTTAGTTGCCTCCAACATCACTGAATAATTTGTAAACGGTTGTAATTCCTGTAAAACAACTTCAGTGTTCGTAGTTGTGACAAATGAACAAGACTCTTTATCACATATGGTGGCATCATTCTTTGTTATTTTGCGGTAGGATACTGTGTAAATAGTTAATGGCAGTTCATATTCCAAATGGTGACATCTGCTATGTTTGTCGACAAGAGGCATCTGCAAAGTTATGCTGTTGGCTGAATTAGATATCACTTTCGGTCTTAGGTCTTCTATTTTTGGAAACAAGCATTGTCTCGGAGGGTAAGGCTGAGTACCCACATCTAACGCCATGATCTTGTAACCGTATGAAGTCTTTCTTTCTTCTATATTACTTTTATGGTATTTGGTTGTGTAAAATATCTCCTTTTGAGTAGAATTGAACCAGTAAACATACCGGCTATCGACTGCAATAGACATTGGTGTAAATCCATATTTCTTTTTTTCAGTAGCATTTACTACTATTCTACATTTACATGCTTTCATATCCGTAGAAATTATCTGATGAATCCACGGATCGACCCAATATAAGGCATAGTTTTCATGTCGTGTCATATCAAGAACAAATGCTCTAGCAACTTGTGGATTTTCTGGGCAATTGCAATCAGATTTGCTGTCAGAATCCTTGAAGAATGTTTCAATATTGGATCCATTTACATGTGAAGTCATAAGCGTACCTAAACCTGGATGTCCACTTTCTTCGTACCAGAATAAAGACCTATGGGATTTAATAGAGAAGATTAGACAAGACTAGACCTTTTGGATTTATAGTGCCACTCACCATTCTTAACTATAATCGGGTATTTAAATTCTGACCATTTTTGGCTAAATCATGCAGTGAAACCTTGTTACATCATTGCAGTTGCGGTATTTCAACAGATTTTTAACGTGAGTTAATAAGATTTAACTATGTATAAAAAAATAACATACCCATATAATGGTGCAATCTGTAAACTATAAATTGGTTGCTTTCTAGCAAATAAACGAGTTATATGCGGTCGTGTATTCGGCATTCCAAGATCAGCTTTATACACAACATAAGCCTCTATAGATGTAATTTCTAGCTGCGACCAATAGACAGATCTACTGACCCAATCTACGCACATACTTGTTGCAGAACCATTTATCGATGTTAGCTATATAACAAAAAAATGTATATATTAGCAAAGTTAAGTACCTATAACGAACAATATTAAAGAAAATCAAATAATAACTTACTTTAAAGTGTCCACTGCCATTGATTCGTGACGAAAATATCTCTTCCAAGTTATTGACCCAATATACTATGTTCTCTTCAGTAGAAACAGCAAAATCAATAGGTATGCCAGTGCTCTTCGGAATTGTTTCACTTTCTCCTGAATCTAAATCGATGATTTTGATCGATTCCTGGGATGATATCATTACTTTCGGTATAGGATTCACTTCGTCTGATGAAACAGCTACTACTTCAGAATATTGACCAAAACCTGCATCCGTAAAAGCTCGTACCTGGAGTGAGGAAATTTATTAATTAAAACATCTGTGAATTAATATTCCAGGACTTTTATAAGTTTTAAGCGTTTTAAGCAGGACAAAGCCCTTCAATTCGGATGGCGTGGCAATCCCTTCGGATGGCGTGGTGGTTTAAGCGGTCGCCACGCCGCTTCCTACTGTGCTGAGTGTTGTGGGTTCGATCCCCGCATGGGACACCACTTTAGTGATCCACAAATTGTTGTTTTGAGTCTGGGTGTTCTTTGTATCCGTTTCATGTATGTTTGTAAAGTCCCCCGCGACACAGGAAAAAATAATATAAAAAAAAGCGTTTAAAGAACTTTTTGTATAAGTCAAATATGTTAAAAACGATTAATTACTCCATATTGGCTAACGTTTGATACGTTAGCCAATATTGAGTAATTAATCGTTTTCGCTCTGACTCCAACACGATTTGTCACTACTACGCTGCGTAGGCTTTTATAAAATGCAAGGATGAAGTTAACCAGCTTCAATGTGAGAAGAATTCTGTGGTACATCCTTCTTCTTTTATTGTAATTCTTACTAAATGTTGTGTCCAAACTGACTTTCTTTTGCTTAATATTACCCGACCATCAGTTTGTCACTCATCTAAAGAGGTACTCGTATATTATTACCTTAAAGAAATACTTTGAAGCTGGAGTCAAATCTCTCAGCATCAGCTGTGTATGAAGTGGCGACAAGTGCGCATCGGCACAAGCAGATGGTTTGGTGGCTGCATTAGAGTCCGTCGTCAAGACCCAGCATTGAGCTTCGTAGCCACGAATCACGCCATTGACGCGAGCTGGACTACCCCACCGAAATATTGCAGAAAGGGGACCGTCACTGCACAAAATATTAAATTGTTTAAATTATTAATTGATACTCCTAAATAATCATAAGTTTTTGAGTAAACGAAAAATATAGAATTTGTGCAGCTTCCATGTACTTTTATTAATAAACCAATTTCCGCAGAATTGTCACCATAACCTAAAGGGATATCATAAATGAAGTATACTGTAACTTTTATAAAATAAATTAAGATATTTATGAGAGTTTGGAATATATTTAAAGTTTGAAAATAGGAAATATAATATGTAAAAAATAAAAAAACAATACATCTTATTTCATTGTAACTGCTACGGGGTAAGCTTTCAAATCATGAATTTGCTCATATATTAGGTCTTTACCTATGAAATTGCCGTTTTGTATGCAATAAGTGAAAGTACTTATTTTTTCAAACTTTTTTATTTCTGTTATTCGAAGTAATCACCCATGCAATCGACGCATCTTTGCCAACGCATTGGCAATTTATTGATGCCCTTCTTGTAAAAATCAGCTGGACGGGAGGCAACAAACTCTTCAAAGGCATCTTGTACTGCCTCTCCCGAATTGAATTTTTTACCCACTAAAAAGTTGTCTAAATTTTGGAAAAAGTAATAGTCGGTAGGTGCAAGCTATTAAACATGAACAGCTCATATATTAAGAAAATAAAATTTCTTCCAGTTAAAGAAAAATTGTGATTTGTTTGTAATGTTCTGTTTTTTCTAAATATCAATGTACCTTAATGTCGTCAATATCTCCTCGACCTTTGCGTACATTATCAGGAAGTAAGTTTAAGTGTACCTAATATCTTAAAAATAAATTCTTCTCAAATAAAGGTTCAAAATAAAGATTGTAAATATTTATTTATATAAGATAGGTAACCATTTAAATAACAAGATAAGTAGTTATTAAAGTAACATCAATAACAAAGAACTTGTACCTGACTGAGGATTGCACGTAAATGCGGGGCGCTCGAGGTGCTGAAGGTGGAGCTTGTGGTGAATGTAGCACGGCTCGCGCAGCTAGCCCGCCGCCCCAATGCGTATGCGCACGAACTGTTGCTTCCATTAAGCTGTATGGTGCTATTGATCGTTCACGAACTTCTACCCAGGCTACCTCCACGGTTTTCTGAAAAACATAGCTAGCTTTTAGAGAACTTTTAGTTCAAGTAATCAGGCTGACAGTAAGCACAGCGTCCGGTTGGCATCATTGGTCAATTTAACTACGCAAAAGTAATCGACAACAATTTATCAAGTGGTAATTCCAGACACATGAATGCAAATATCAATATTGAAGTTGTTTTTAATATTAAACAAAAAATCATTTTATCAACAGCGTGGAATCCAGTGTTAAAAAACATACCACCTCGATTTTCTGCGCAATCGGTTAAGCACCAGAATAGGGTCTCATCGGTTTGCTTACAGAATAGGGACACTGTTAGTGTGGTATGTGACGGTACATGGCGACACAAAAACAACAATATCGAAAATGTGCGGGTAGATGAAGAGCCTTCTACTTCACGGATTCGACGACGGAGGGCGTGCGCCGATGAGCCAGTCAGCCTGTGACCACGGCCGGTGCAACCTGGTCGAAACGTCAGGCAAACCAGAGGTATGTAATACACTAAATAAGAGATCGCGTTAATTCCCGTAAAAATAATATTAATTATCATTTTATCAAAATCGAGAAAAATGCAGCTAAAACATGGAGAGTTTCCCTGGCCAGGCTGTTAAGTGTTTTAACCCATTCATTATTTATTATATTATCCATTTCTTATTCTCTATACTTACCTCAATTTTGTATAGGCCTGAAAAATGTAGGTTGACGTCATAATATACGTGACTGTTATTAACATTTACGCGCGTTGATGGCTCCCATGTAACATTGAAACGATCCCATTCGCCAATCACAGATATCGTCGATGAGTTTATTGTCTCCGGTATAGCTATGAACGATTCTGAAACGTATACAAAAATCTTCATAATAATAGTGTACCGCTGAATATTCGCCTTCAAATATTAGGATTGACACATACCACTGTGAGCGTGTAAAGTTGGATCTCGGACATCAATTACATTAACTCTTGGCACTAGTTCGGCCGTGTATCTTCCTGCAAGATCCGAAACTACCGCTTTTGAAGCATCTTGAACCCAGACCAAACGGCCGCTAAAGTAACATAATGGTCCAAGTGTAGCGGTGCCCGGCAGTCGAGTCACCCGCGAACCGGATACCTGAAAAATGTGGTGCAGTATAAATTAATTTTAAACAGAGCAGGCGGCTAACGAAATATGATAAAGCTCAATGCGACAAGTTATTTCGTGTGTAAGACTTACCTCGCTGATTCCATGTGATATCTGGTCTGCAGTAGGAGCTCTGTGAAGTTCAGATCCATCGTAACTTCTCACTAACCAGTAAAGCCATTTCTTCTCCAAATCTGCTGTGAGCCCCATCACTAAAGAAAAAAATGTTAGGACATACGGGTTAAATCACTCCAGTTGCCAGTGTATTGTGTGTGTGTATTGTTTGTCCCTGGTTGCAACTTTCAAACAGTTGGGCCATGCTTGAGTTGGGCTTGCATGTGCAGAGAAAGTGTGTAAAGTGTTTAGGGGAGGAAATTGATAAAATTCTAAACTATACTTTTATTGCAAAATTATATGTCTAAAGTGATTAGTAAAGTTACCTTGTTTTCCACTAAATAACTGTGCCGGATAGTAAACCATTTTGTTCTCTCCGTTTAGCCTAGCGGCCTCTACCGCATGACCTGTATTCCAATAAATGTAGGCTTCTAACGAATCTATTGTCAGTTCCTTTGCCACTGTTACAATTGGCACAGGTTCTCGATTGCTTCCATCTAAGTTGCCTCGTGTGATCTATATAAACAGTTACAATTAGAAGGTTACCTCATATGTGAGTATACATACAGGATTCATATTTTGTAGTGGGTACATACCAGTTGTTGTTTGGGATTAGACCAATAAATTTTCTTGCCAACCCAATCCACTGCTAAACTTCCGACGTTATCCATATTTGACATTAGACCATTTTCGTGAGAGGTAGTATTGTACCAAATCACCGTAGATGCGTTCGTAACCAAATAAAGCTTGTCGCGATACCAAGAAATATCCGTGATGTAAAATTTCTTTAACTCCGCTCTAAAGTCACAAAAAAATAAGTATTATATACGGTATTTTAAACGCATTGCCAAACGTCAAAAGGTAAGAGCTTACTGATGTAATAGGATTTGTAAGTTGTCTCCAGTTAGATCAGTTTGTAGAAGTCCATCCGGTCCTGACCATAACAATGTACTGTGTAGAGTATTTGGTGTTGATGCTAAAGTTTTGCCAACAAATTCTGAAGACCATGGACCTAAAATTATGTATGGTTAGTAGTTAGTATTGTCAATATTGTAACTGAAAAAGGTAATACATGACTATATATATCTAAATACAGTACTAAAAGGTACGGTACCAATTAGTTTTGCGCTTCTATTGTGCATACTTACATAAAAATATGTAAATAATTTATCTTATTACCTAGCTAATTTTGGAATACTTACAATTAAATGTGGCTTGAACACTCCATTGAACTATAAGTATTTACCTCTTTGTATCTGTTATACAAAGAGGTAAATACTTATAGTTCAATGGAGTGTTGCCACAAAACACAAATAAAAATTATTATTTTTTATATAATGTGACAAGAATTACCTGAACCTGATTCAGTTACAGCAGCCACCCTTATAATATATTCTGCATCTTGTTTTAAATTTTCAACTACACACATTGATTCATTAATATTTTTTCTGTAAAAAAAACAGTAATATTAGTTTCACAATTTCTATTTCGAAAGAACATTTATCTAAAATACATATAATTGTCCAATTTTTATCTTACATGTCTATAATTTCTCCACTATTAACGTGAGTAAGTTGAAGATGAAAAGTCCATTGTTGCCAAGCACCGCTTCCTTGATGACCTAGTAGATGAGGCGGTGACCACGATACCTTCGCTTTATTGATACCCATCACACTTTGTAAGCCTAAAGGTGGGTTAACAGGTACAGGTATAGGCTGACAGCTTCTTAAAGCTACCAAAACTTGTCGGGTTGCTATTGTCTTTGTGTTATAAGCCAATGGATATTCATTGTGGAAGTAACTGTCACTTTGTGCGTGATATTCTTCAGTTAGCATTTCTTTACCATTGGTCCAGTAAAATAATCCACTAGCATAAGCGATTGAACGTGTGGATAGAAACATTGGTGTTTGTGTATTACTTCGGAAGTCAGCAACTTCTCTTCTGTAATAAAAAAATATATAATAATTTAATGTGAACCTTTCAAAATATGTAAGGTATGTATACTGTTTGTATTTATTTTAACTCACCCGTCCAATGAGACAGCCAATACCGTATTTCTTCTAAGATGTGCAACGAGTATTCTAAAATCAGCGTGATCTACAGTAAAGGCACCTAAATGAGGGTCTCGTACAATTATTTCTGGACGTGCATCATGACGTACACCATTGGAAATATTTGCCAAATCGAGTCTGTAAAGACCTCCGCGATCACCTCCTTGTAGAGCCCAAAACAGGTACCTGAAGTTAGACAATGTATGAGTATTCTATAATCACATAGATATAAACCCTCAATATTACTTATTGTGCATCGGGCTTGGCACCGACTTTAAAGAGACTAAAAGGTACATATTGCTAATATGTATAAGGTTACCTGTAACATTGAGGATTGCACTTATTTTATTTAGTTTTTTCAATTAGATTTGTAATTTGTATTTAATTTTTTGTTATGTGTTATGCTTCGTTGATTTAGAATAATATACCATAAATGTATTTAAATATTTGAAAACGTTCAAACAATACTGAATACTAGTCCGGAATGATGACCGAGGTCGCTGGGTTACACTTCTATTCGCTTCGATTGCTTCGATGATTACCACACTGTAACTCAAATTGAACTGACTCCGTTCGAGGTCCTCATACCGTCCCGTAGGGGACGTGTGGACGCTGTTTCGGGGCGGTAGCCCCCTGTCAGCGGTATGTACCGATACTCCTAAATAGGGGTAGGTAATGGGCTGTCTTGGCTTTGGTCTTGTTTTGGAGGGGTTGATTCAGTGGATAAAGACGTGTCCGTATTTATAATACTCGGCAGACGACTTGAACGTTCTTTACAGCTTATTCTAAGGAGAACTTTTGATTTCGGAGAAATACAAACCTGTTTCAAATGTAAACAATCTATGACAATCGTGACAATCTATTTTCGATCTTATGCGTATTGTTATAAATCTGCATTATTATTTCAACTGTTCCTAGAATTCAATTGCGCGGATAAATGAATTCTCACCTTCTTTCTAGAATTTTCGTGACAGTATTGTTTGAAGTCGGTTCAACTTTTTTTTTAAAGGATTTATATGAATATCTGTAAATGAGGTAGCGTTAGATTCCCCTATTTCATACTTAGAATCGTGTTTCTAAATTACAAGCCAGCTTCTTTTCCACCCTACTGACAATATAAGTAAGAATTGGTAACTTTATCGTAGAAATCTCAAGAAGTTTGTTAATTAAAAAAATACTTACCCATTATACGCGTCTACTTCAAAATGTATCGGACGAGAATTGAACCCTGACAACGCTACAAGTTGATTCTTTCCATCAAAATCGCATCGAATTATTTCCCAGTAAGAGTAAAAAGTCAAATTTGACCAATCAGCACTCTCCTTTGTGTAATACACCTCTCCAAGAATATATAAATGACGATTTAGCCAATCCACTGATAAATCTTGGGGCTTGTAGGATATGTTTTTAGGACTAAGAATTGGCTCTGAAGTACTTTTTCTCGAAAGGGAACTGCGATATATGTATCCGTTTGATACAGATATGAAAAGAGAGTTACTAGATATATCAAGGCCCACACCTGAAATACAAATTAATCATAATTAAAAGTATTTTGAAAGTTATAAATTACCATGCTTATACTAATGATTAAGTACCCGTAATTGAGTGTTCGGTGCTGTATAACTCCACTGGATCAGAAAGCATGTCGTTCGCAGGTGCTGCGAGTATATTCTGTTCTCCTCCCAAAATTAAAATAGGTTGTTGACTAGGCAAAGCTGAAAAAATAATTCTCCGTTAGTGACACTTTTTTGGGTATTGAATAATAAAAAATAAGCGTAGCTATAAATTTTGCATTTCAACTATTGTGTTTCCCATAAAAGTTATAGTAATATACTTACGAGTGGGCAATGGAGGGGTCGATATACGAACGTAAGCACTCGGACCCTCTCCAACTGCATTTCGCATTGCCACTGAAACTTCATACTCGCGAGCAGGTGCTAAGTTTTGAAACATGTAGAATAAAGTATTGTTGGATGCTGGCATATCCTGAAAAACAAATTGTAATTTATTGAGTTTATTTAATTGGAAATAAAGAAATAGAGTGAACTCTATTATAAGTGCTATAGCTACCTCAACGGCATCGTTCGTGTTTGGCTGTGTGTCGGTAAGTCTCAATACATAAGATATGAGAGGTCCATTAGGGAATTGTCCCGGTTCCCAAGAGATAGCAACTCGGCTTGGATCTGGTGCAGCGGCTCGTAAAGAGTTTGGAGCAGAACTAGGTTTACCGCTTTCTAATGTTGATATCACGACCGATGGTGCTGAGTAAACAGGATCTCCAGTACCTCCGCGTCCAGATAAAAATATGGCAACACGAAACTGTTGAAGAATATTATCTTTATGAATGTTGGAAGCCTCCATCACATCTTTATAGTGTCTATTAGTGTCTGTCGGTCCCCAGAAACGCACGTGTATGCAGGACTGAATCGTAAACGATGTTTATGTTTAATAAAATTTATACTACTCTAAATATGTAACAAATGTCTTAAAATGTATCGAATATATAATGGGTATAATTTATCTATAATATGTATTTATTTAGAACTATATATGCACGTTTATCAGCAGTCTGGTTACCGTAGCACAGGCTCTGCCTAGTTTAAGATCAGACGGCCGTGTGTGAGATGTATAAAGTTATTATTATTATATTAGAGTATGACTGAGCTGTATTGTATTATTATAAACACAATAACAAGCGTTTTAAGTTTTCTACGATATCCCTTAAGGTATGATTCCGAACTACGCTGCACGCAGCAGTGCTGCCGCAGCAGTGCTGTCGCGGCACTACTGGTCCCCATACAATCTCTATAAGCTTATATGAGATTACATTCCGAGCTAGGCAGCAATGTCGCGGCAGCAATGTAGCGGCAGCACTGTTGCGCGTCAGTGTCGCCCTACCGCCGCGACAGACCAGTCAGTGACGCGTCTGCCGCCGCAGCAAGAGTACCTACGTGAATGTTGACAAGTAAATTGACAACAAAAGGATGAATTTCTCTGATTCAGAAGAGAAACATCTAATCATGAGCCCGATGATAGTCTCCAAGACTTTTTAAATTTATAAACTTCTTCATCATCATCAACAGCCTTTACTAGTCCACTGCTGGACATAGGCCTCTCCTTAGAAAGGAGTTTTTGGCCTACTATACCACGCTGGCCAGACGGGTTTTTATAAACTTAACTTACCTTAATGTTAAGAATAATTTTTCTTCAGCGTTGATAACTTCCTTGCGAGAAACTTTTGCTTTAATTTTGCCAGCAATTAAATTATGAATAAAACTGAACTGTTTTTTATTTAAACGACGGTACTCTCTGAATTTTTCTTTATCGCCTATCAAATAGTTTTTAATCAGCGTCTTGTAACATCCTTCCCGTTGTCTGCTTTTATAAAACGAATCTGGTGCTTTTCTTTTACTATTGGCATAAAGCAACAACAAATCATCGTCATCTTCTTCCTCTTCCAACAGTATAAATAAAAGTTGGTCATCAATCGACATCTTGTCAACTCAAAGTAAACTAACGAATACACAACAACGCATCACCACGAACAGAGCGACACTGCCGCCTTGCTCGGAATTAGCGCGGCAGGTAGCACTGCTGGGCAGCACCTTAGTGGCAGCACTGCGGCAACAGCACTGCTGCTTGTTGCCGAGTTCGGAATCACACCTTTATGGTACTCATTCTAAACCAGAAAATCTAAATAATAAAAAATTGATAATATTAAAAATAACTTACTTCGGAATAATAGGTGCGTCATCGATGTACTCTTGTATTTGGCAAATGTTACCTACATTATAAGTAAGTAATAGTAATAATATGCCTTTCACACATCACATACACGGCCCCTTATTTTAAAATTAGTCAGAGCTTATACTATGGCAATCTGATATGTTGATAAACTTACCTACATATCGATCCGAGTAAATACATACATTTTGTGGGCAAATTTAAGGTTCTCGTTACCTACTTTGAAAATCGAAAATTCAGTACAGCTTATGGCTTTGTTTTGAGAAATATAAGAGTGTTTAAAAAATTAACGCACTAATTCTACGATAGATGTTTGTTCCTTACTCAATGCCTGTTTTTTGCATTTTCAAAGTCGATCGAACGAAAAAATCTTACCCGATACTTGGTATAAGGGCGCAGGCCATCAACATTGATAATGGACTGGTCTGAGTGACTAGTGTTCGAGTAATACTGCCATGTGCTAGGCAATTCCTCGTATCGCCATTGTACCATGTAACTCATGTTGCCTAAATTGGGCGACTCCCATACTAGTGAGAGCGAGTTGGCAGTTAGGCTATCGGCCACCAAGGCCGGAGCAGTCGGTGTGCCGATCAATTCTGTAAAAATGATATAAATATAATAGTATTTATTTTCATTAAAAAAAACTGACTACTTTGATGTTAATAAAACATACCTCGTAACTTTTGAAAATAAGTATTTAGAGCCTCGTTGCATCCCATTACGCAATAAAGTTCTCTTGAAAAAACTGTTTCCGATGTCACATTCTGTAATGAGTATTTATTTAATGGTTGTGTCTAGTTAAATATTCGTAAATATTTATTTAATTTTTTAGACTTACGCAAACGATTTGACATGTGTTCTCCAACCCTGCTTGCCATAAACTGCACCCTAGTTTACACTAAAACAAAAATAATACATTATATTAATTACCATTAAAATAACATTCAACATTACTATAATGGATAGTTTGGGCTTATGCTTACTAATTTTAACTAAACAATTTTCGATTTATCTACTAAATATTATATTTAGAGCCGACGCGTCATGCATCTCTCAATTATTTAGCTCTTATAGAAAATATTTAAAACTTATTGCGACACACAATATAAAAAGCTAGATTAATGTATATAATTCAGCAACGACTACTTTTCAAAAGTAATATGTTAGTGTACTCAGTTCTTAAAATTAGAACTAATTATCTATTATATGGTTATATGGTTACCTATGCCTAAAAACCAGTTTATTTGTATTGTCTGTCTGTCTGTTCATTCTTCAATCTTCTAAACAGCTAAACTGATTTTGAAAATATTTTACTACCAGGTAGCTGTCTATATAAGGAGTAACTTCCTAATTATTATTTTTCCTTCCAGAAAAACCCTTTAAAATTTTGCCCGGTCCGGGAATCGAACCCACTAAGGCAACGATTTTCAAATTCCTCGCGAACGAAGTCGCGGGTACCAGCTAGTAAGTAATAAAGAGAAACACTTTCACTAAGTAATTAACGTGTGTTGATTTAAAAATGTTAAAATAATTAAGAATTATCCGTGCGTTAACAGGAAAGTCGTGATAGTGGCTAAGAACTTCCTTATTTAGAACATGACTTGTTCTGTCACAATTAGTGGTGCGGGTTTTAATCCAATTACCACCACTCTACTTAAATTCCTTGTTTATTCATGTTAATGACACGTGAAACAAACACAAAAATTGTTTAACATTAAAAAATTGTTCTTGAAATGGAAACTTTTTCAAATAAGTACAGTTATAAATTTTATGATAACTTTTATGTGTTTTTAATTGTTCGCAACAAGGAACGTATTTGGCATGTGTTTACATTTCACAGGCGCACACATGGTCGTTTGCCCAACCTTTCAGTTACGTCGAAACAGACACAAAGTGTCTGCACTCTCCAGACTCAAGCGAGACGCGATTGGAGTCCAAACAAAGCTCCTTGGATTGGAACTTCTGTTTAGCGGAGTCGTAAATAAACAACGCTAAAGGAAGCAGAGAAAGGTGTATGGTGAATATCAAGGTGTCAGTGTGTTTTTGTAACGGACACTTTCCCATGGGTAAGAGGTTAAAAAAATATAGCTTGTATGTAACGGATTTTCACGGTCGGATGACGTCCTTTACGGATCGTCAGTATTGTAACTGACCGGAAGCCACAGGTGCTCACCCTTTCTTCCACGTTACTTAGTTACTTAATTCCTTAAGATGTTTTAATAGAGATTGTAGTAATATCAGGTAGGTAAACTTTATATTATGGATAGACAGAAATCACTAAAACGATATTGTGACAAAAACTATGTAGTTAAAGTATAATTTTATAACATGTCATGACAATTTGTTAATTGAATTAGTATATCAGGGGTCTTAATTTGTAAACGGTTTTGCTAGCTACTAGTATAACAACAAAGTCATTAAACTAAGATAAATTAACTTAACTATAAATTTCAATATTTATTGTAATGATAGGAACATTTAGATGCCAATACGTAAAGTACAAAATCTGTGTTTCATATCTATGGATCATCCTCTCAAAACAAAAAAAAAACGATTTTTGAACATCGTTATTTGATGTTAGTTAGTTTGTATGAAATGCTCGATGTAAAGTAAGTATTAAGGGGATATAGAGACTAGAGTTCGTATGTTCCAGCCGAACGGTGTAACATTGTTCAGATGACATTTGAGTCATCTCATTGAGACTGATGTGACAATGCGCGGAACAATTAAAACGGATGCAATACAAGTGCGCGAGATCTGTGCCGTTTGTTTCGGCTGTATAATTGCGGGTCGTGGCCTAAGCCACGCACTTCCATTGCTAACTGGGACATTCGTTCGTCCCGTCCCCGTCTGTTCATACTGTATCTACAAACTAATAATAATATCTTTTGAGTTCAAGGATTGTTTATAATCGGTGCTGAGTTTAGTGTTTTTCTTTAAATAACCTTTTTTGTCGTTCACATTACCTTATTAACAAATCACTATAAATCAAATGATATATAATGAATACTTAGAAATCCCTACATTGATACCCACTCATTTAGCAACAATAATAAATGATTAGTAAGTTGGGTTGAGATAATGTGTACATGTTTCCTTAGTTTTGCGAACAGCCCTTGGTAAGCCATTTGTCATTAAAAATAAATAGAAAACATATGAATTGTTACAACTCCACGTACACTTTTTCAGTTATTTTTTTTCCTATTCCGATCGAAGTTGGCCCATATTTGCCGAAGCATGGCTCTCCCTTTTGAAGAAACAGGGAACTCGGTTAACAGTGAGCACAACAGAGAATCAGACATGAGTGCGAATACAAAAAGAAAACCTAAACCACTCGCTTATAAAGTTATTTTTGTACTTGTAAGTTTTATTAAAGTACTTTCTATTGAGAGCTCGTTTTGTTATGACAAGCGTCTGTGCTTCCAACTACTAGAACGGGTGGGTGTCCCTTGCTAACCTGGCGCTTCCGCCGTGGTTGTCACAACAGTCCGCCCCATTCACCCTCTGTCCAATTTATTAATATATCTGTGACGGATGAATAGAGTTTTCAATTTATTGATGTTGAGTTGTCAGTTTACATTAAAAGTGACATTTTTGTTAGAAACTTAATAGTCTACTAATATTTGGTTATCAAAATTATATCTATGACTATCTTTTAAGAATTGAACAAGTTCATTGTGTTACCCAGTGCGTTTTTTTCTATATATTCATTCTTATATGTTTACTAAAATGTTATAACACTAACAAGTGTAAGCGATTTCTTTTTTTTTATACAAGAGGGGGCAAACGAGCAGACGGGTAACCTGATGGAAAGCGACTGCCGCCGCCCATGAACGCCTTTAACTCAGGAGTCACAAGCGCGTTGCCGGCCTTTGAGGAAGGAGTGCACTCTTTGCTCTTGAAAGTCGTTTCGACAAAATACCGCAGACGATAACTTCTTGCAGCATTGGTTGTGCGAGGCAAAAAGTGTCTAGAAAAGCGCACAGAATCTCACTATAAATATATTATAAGAATACAGAATGTTAACACCCCTATTGATCCCGTGGGTGTCGTAAGAGCCGTCTAAGGGAACAAACTACGCAGGACAACAGCATTGCAAAGAGAAAGAAAACTTGACACAAACCCTATACAAAACCGGTCTGGCCAGCGTTCTACAGTAGGCCAAAACCTCCTTCTAAGGAAAGTCCTATGCCGAGCAGTGGACTAATGAGAGGCTGTTTATGTAATCATGTGAACGCAAATATTTGCCTTTATTTTTCAAAAGTTAATTTTCCATAGGAACACGGTAAGTTCAATACGTAATGTCCTAGAGTCACAATTTGGTCTATTCAACTTTGTGAGATGCCCAGCAGTGGACTATTAAAGGCTGAGATGTAGTCATCCTGTAAATAAAATAATACTTACCTACATACTTATTAAAACAAGAATTAAAACCATATTACACGTAAGTTAAATAAAATATTACTTATCAATTTTATTAAAACCAAAATTAAATACCATATTACGAAAGTTAAATAAAACTAATAAAGTTACGAAGTGAATGAATTAGTGGCTAATTACCCAGCTTCCTGTCTCGTGCCGTAATAATAACAAAACAATAACTACTCCCTTTACAGTCATTAAAATCGTCGCGTCGGCCTATTGTCGAAGCGATTTCGGAAACGCGCTCGGAAGTCCAATTGGGAGCGCAGGCGCACGCCGGACGCAGGGCGCTGTGAAAGCAGTCACAGATAATTTACTTGTTAATTGCTCCATATCAAAGTTCCTAGCACTTGTCTTTGTTTAACATCAATATAGACTACCACTGACGTTTGTGGATAATGGATTTTTGACGTTTGAGGGCGCTGAAACCCTAGCTCAAGTAGCTAAGTAAATCCAAGAAGCGGCGCGCCTGGTTACTACGGGAGTCTCTCTGGTGGTCAGGTGCATTGAGGCGCTGGGCTTACGGGTGGCCCTGGATAAGACGGAGGCCCTCTTATTCCATGGGCCCCGTCGTGGCCCATCCCCTGGCCCCTCAATCGTAGTCAACTCGGTCCTCGTACCGGTTCAGGCCCAGATGAAGTATCTGGGTCTGATCCTCAATTTGGGTGGAAGCTTCGCAACGAGACGGCTGTACACGGGGGTTGTCCGATCAATGGCACTGTATGGTGCACCAGTGTGGGCGGCGGCTCTGACCAATTAGAATAGGGCACGCCTCTGGCGCCCTCAGAGGATATTGGCGGTTAGAGCCCTACGCGGTTACTGCACCGTTTCGACGGTGGCGACGTGCGCATTGGCCGGTACTCCCCTGTGCGATATGGAGGCGGAAGTGCTCGCCGAAGTTTATCGGCGGACGGCTGAGTTCTGGGCGGTTAGTGGCAGTCGGCTCCCGATGGCTCGTTGCCGTCCCGGCTGGGGGCTCCACGTGCTGGCTTTGAGGCCGTAGAGGCGCTCCAACCGGTCATCGTCGAGTGGTCAGGGCGGCAGCACGAAACCCTTTCCTTCCGGCTGACGCAGATCCTTTCCGGGTACGGCTGCTTCGGGAAGTACTTGCACTCGGTCGCTAGGAGGGAATTGAGTCACCACTGCGATTGCAGTGAGGACTCGGCCCGGCTTGGGCGCCGCAGCGCCGGGTCCTTATTGTAGTCATTAGGGTATCTCTCGCTACGTCGTATCTGTCGCAGAAGGAGGCGGCGGAGAGAGCCCGGGAGGACAACCTCCACTCGCGCTTACCACCGCCTCATGCTGCCCTGAGTGTGGCCGCGGGTAGACGGGACGGGTTTTCCCCTTCACCCGCCATAACGACCAGCCGCGAGGAGGCTACGAGAATGTACCCGAAGGGGGTGCCCGCGACGTTGCGGACGGGCGCTATGAGGGGTCCGGATGTCTTAATAACAGCAGCTCCCGGATTCCTCCTAT